ATTTCTGTTTTCCTGACCCCCCATACACGGCCCCTGGGGGTCAGGATGAAAAACACGGAATATATGTGAAATAGATAAATGTTGTGAATATACTTCCAAAATTTCAAACAATAATATTAATTACTTTGGTTTAGAATGAAAAATTTATGATTTTTGCGAAAAAGTCCCGTCATTTTTAAAGCGGCGGCCATCTTGAAAATTTTTTTTGTTGCGTAAAACTATTCACCAATATACATCTTTCCATTAAATATAAAGAAAATCCGTCTACTAGTATTCGAGTTATCTTCTGGACGGACAGACGGACGGACGGACGGACTGACGGACAGACTGACGGACTGACTGACGGACGGAGGGCTTCACTATATCCCTACCGAACTTCGTTCGTTGGGATAATGATTTATTCTTACCTGAGCTATGGAAATATCTTATGGGGAAATGCCATAAAAACACTCATTCAGAAATTATATATATTGCAAAAGAAATTCTTAAGAGTCATTACGTATTCTGATAGCTTTGCCCCTTCAGGTCCACTATTTCAGAAGCTAAAGATTTTAAACGTATTTGATATTCATTCCCACCAAACAGCTAGCTTTGTACAAAAAACACTTTCTGAATCGCCTGAATTCCCTTTTAAAAAATTCAACCATCTTTTCTCATTAAGATCAACAATTCACTCACATGACACAAAATCAAAAAATGATTTGATTGTTCAACCATTTAGAACAGAATATGGAAGGAAATCAATTGGGACAAGTGGCCCATCAATTTATAACATGTTATCTTCTAATTTGAGAAACTCAGTTCATATTAAAATGTTTCAACGAAAGTTTAAGTTCAATTTGTTAAGTCGTTATTAGTTATTTTGAATCATACTTCCACTATGTTACATCAAGGTAAAAAAAAGTAGATCCATGCTTTGTAATTTATGTACACTACAATAACTGTTCTAACATTACATGCTTTGTTAATAACACATTATATTTTTTCAAAACATGGAATCCATACACCCCACGGGGTGTCCTTTTCATATCACTTGTAAATTTATATTGTATGAAAACTAGAATTGAATAATAAATTGAATTGAATTGAATTGAATGAGATTGCCTCCCGGGGATTCTGTACTTTATTTAGTTTGCCTTGTATATCCTTTTAGCTTTGATATAGACAAAGAAACCAAACAAAATACGTTTCGTTCATGGACCACTGACTCACGCGTTTTATTCCTGTCCCGACCTACACCTGTAAACAGAACATAAAACAGTTTCTGTTGTTGTTCAATGATACATTATATTGGCGTTTTTGCATCAGCACATTGGTGTTGTTGCATCATCGATAAGAAACAGAGTGGTGTTGTTGCATCAATAGTGAGGAATTAAAACCACGAATTAATCGCTTCTTGATGATGCTACATGTATACCAATGACAGTTTTTTAAAATATAGATCATGCGCTAACTGCATGTGTATGATTATTGAGCAACTCGTCCTAGAAATGGGTGTAAATTGGGAAAACAAAACATCGTACGAAAATCTATCACCGGAAGTCTGGCCATCTTGATGCAACAACACGGTGTTGTTGCATCACGATACCCCCCAGTGTCTTAATTGCCTTTTATTTGAGTATAATAAAGCTATACTTCAGAAAGATCTAAAAATTAGCGAAAATTTCTGTTTTCCTGACCCCCCATACACGGCCCCTGGGGGTCAGAATGAAAAACACAGAATATATGTGAAATAGATAGATGTTGCGAATATACTACCAAAATTTCAAACTATAATATTAATTACTTTGGTTTAGAATGAAAAATTTATGATTTTTGCAAAAAAGTCCCGTCATTTTTAAAGCGGTGGCCATCTTGAAAAAATTTTTTTTTTGCGTAAAACTTTTCATCAATATACATCTTTCCACCAAATATGAAGAAAATCCGTCTACTTATAATTGAGTTATCTTCCGGATGGACGGACGGACGGATGGATGGACGGACTGACTGACGGACTGACAGACTGACGGACTGACGGACAGAGGGCTTCACTATATCCCTACCGAACTTCGTTCGTTGGGATAATAACAGCACTGATAACAGCATAATGAGTTACCATATTCTCTCTAATAAACGCACAGTGCATCTCCAAAATTCTCCTAAAGGAGATGTCTCAAATGACAAAATCCCGTATCATACCTCAATGTTTTCCTCATGCATTTATCTGCTGAATGTGTTTTTGTGGGTTTATCGACACGTGTGTCACATTTCGATGATAAAACATTCTCTCCTATCTTTCCAGTCTGCCATTTTGGGAACTGACTGCGATTTTTGTTACTCAAGTTGACAGAGTCTTTCATGAAAAAGTAAGGTATTACGCATTTAATGGAGTATGTGTGCCTATTAGAGATAATATGGTAACTAGAAAAACAGCAACTCCACGGAGTAGCAAATCCCACCGAACAAAACATATTACGCTTATTATAGCTAGTGTAAATGTTGAAATGTTTGTGCACTTTGTGATAGAAGCATGAAATTTGGCACAAAGTAAGTTTATACGATTGTGAACTAGGCATCATCATATGAAATTTGAACCAAATCCGATCACTGGTATATGAGTTATCAAAGATTACGATTTTTACGAAAATTAGCCGCCATCTTGAAATTCAGCCGCCATCTTGAAAAAAATTATTTCTTGAACAGAGCTACTGTGTCCCTAGGCATAATCATATAAAATTTCAACCAAATCTGTTCACTGGTATTTGAGTTATCAAAGATTACATTTTTTACGAAAAATTTCCGCCATTTTGAAATTAAGCGGCCATCTTGAAAATCGTTTGTCGAACATAGCTACTGTGTCCCTAAGCATCATCATATAAAATTTGAACCAAATCCGTTCACTGGTATTTGAGTTATCAAAGATTACATATTTTTCAAAAAATGGCCGCCATTTTGAAATTAATTTGGAGGACGCAAAAATTGAAAATATTTCCGTTTTTTGGACGCAAATTTTCTTTAGGTCAATACTACAATGTGTTTACAACGATACCTAACATAAACAAATAATTATGATCTCTCACCTTTATTTGAATCGTAAATAAGGCTCAACATGTTGAATATTTACAAATAATCATGATTCTCTCGAATTTTTTCGACTTTGTTTATTTTTAGATTTGAAACCATGACATGCCACAGTTTTTCCTATTCAGAAACAAATATTAGGTTATTCATGAAATAAAATGTATTCATTGTCGAATGAATGAACATGCATTTATTCAGTCCGTACTTAACGTTTACTTCCGTTCTAAATTCGCGGCAAGAAATCAAAAACTGAAAAATAAGAGACACACTTTTTTTTCAAAGGACACACTTTTTAAAACAATTGCGTCCTTGGGACTCACAAAATTTCTAATCTAATGCAAGCGCTGGTGTATGGTGTTAATCAACGAACATACCTACATATCCTCTGTGTATGGTGTTTAATCAATGAACATACCTACATATCCTCTGTGTATAGTAGAGGTGTCAAGTATTAACCGGTTAACCGGTTAACCGCCGATAATGCCTTGACTGGTCTGTGTTTTTATGGGCGGTTAGTTGACCGTGTATAATTCTGTTATTTCCCGCGCTTATTTTGCATGCTAATCCGTTTGGTTTTATGGTGTCAGTTTCACGTATAGCTACTGATACATGTCATATGTCCGATAACTCCTTACAAACATCCAATCAGCAACTTTAATCCCTGCCACATTGCTTTCCCGCGCTTACTTTGCATTTTAATCTGTTTGTTTTTCAAGCGTCAGTTTCATGTGAGCTACTCATACATGTGATAGGTCCGATAATTCCTTACAAACATCCAATCAGCAACTTTAATCCCTGCCACATTGCTTTCCCGCGCTTACTTACATAGAAAAGAATGAACATACCTACATATCCTCTGTGTATGGTTTTTAATCAATGAACATACCTACATATCCTTTTCAGTTATGAACATACCTACATATCCTCTGTGTATAGTGTTTAATCAATGAACATACCTACATATCCTCTGTGTATGGTGTTTAATCAATGAACACACCTACATATCCTCTGTGTATGGTGTTTAATCAATGAACATACCTACATATCCTCTGTGCTATGGTGTTTAAGTAATGAACATACCTACATATCCTCTGTGTATGGTGTTTAATCAATAAACATACCTACATATCCTCTGTGTATGGTGTTTAATCAATGAACATACCTACATATCCTCTGTGCTATGGTGTTTAAGCAATGAACATGCCTACATATCCTCTGTGCTATGGTGTTTAATCAATGAACATACCTACATATCCTCTGTGTATGGTGTTTAAGCAATGAACATACCTACATATCCTCTGTGTATGGTGTTTAAGCAATGAACATACCTACATATCCTCTGTGTATGGTGTTTAAGCAATGAACATACCTACATATCCTCTGTGTATGGTGTTTAAGCAATGAACATACCTACATATCCTCTGTGTATGGTGTTTAATCAATAAACATACCTACATATCCTCTGTGTATGGTGTTTAATCAATGAACATACCTACATATCCTCTGTGCTATGGTGTTTAAGCAATGAACATGCCTACATATCCTCTGTGCTATGGTGTTTAAGTAATGAACATACCTACATATCCTCTGTGTATGGTGTTTAAGCAATGAACATACCTACATATCCTCTGTGTATGGTGTTTAAGCAATGAACATACCTACATATCCTCTGTGCTATGGTGTTTAAGCAATGAACATGCCTACATATCCTCTGTGCTATGGTGTTTAATCAATGAACATACCTACATATCCTCTGTGTATGGTGTTTAAGCAATGAACATACCTACATATCCTCTGTGTATGGTGTTTAAGCAATGAACATACCTACATATCCTCTGTGTATGGTGTTTAAGCAATGAACATACCTACATGTGTATGGTGTTTAAGCAATGAACATACCTACATATCCTCTGTGTATGGTGTTTAAGCAATGAACATACCTACATATCCTCTGTGCTGCAGTGCTGTTGAAGATGAGATTACACAGACATTTCTGGGCCTCAATCACAACTAGAAAACATAAAGGGAAAAAAATATATGTATAGAGAGGCTAGGGCCAAATTGTCGTACATTACACAATGAGAAATAAGCATAATTTGCAAAATGTTCCTGAACTGATACGGCCTGATGATCGCCAAGCTAGTAGCCCTGATGCAAACCCCAGTGAGTATAGGGTATGGGAAGGTCTCCAGGAGATTGTATGAAGGCACCCAATCTAGAAAATTGCTCAACTAAAGCTGGGAATTTAGACAGGTTGGAAAAAACTTAGCTAACATTTCATTGATACTGCAATATCAGCAAGGCGACTAAATCTAAAATATATCAACAATTAGGGTGGCGGACCAATTGAACTCCCCTTTTAGATCAAATATAATCCAAGTTGAATGACTTGTTATATTATATTATTGCTAAGAACCCTTGGCACTACATAACTGTAAAATTTGAGGTATGTAGGTTGGAAAATAAAAAAGTTGTAGTGTCTTGAAAAAAAGTGGCATTTTTTGGCCCACCCTGTACATATGGATGTTCACTGTTACATGTTAGGATGAAAGAATCAGTGCATTCTGATTAACTTTCAAGATATTTGTTGACCTAGGTGTTCTTTGTTAATCTTGAAGCACTGCCTGGGTATTCATTTTTAAACTTGAAGTGTTAGGGTTTTAATTATTGATGTACAACCTGGGTTTTCGGGACGGAACGGGAATTATCAATTTCAGGACGGGACTTTCGGGATGGGACAGAACATAACCAACAAAATAGTTAATCACAGTAAAGAAATTACATTTTCCATCTATTTCCGGTTTTGCTCTTGCAGCGCAGATCTTTTGAACGTCACAAGAGAACTGCGCATGTTGTGCAATACTTATTATCTGAGATTAATTTTATGTTGTTACTTTTCTCGCCGATTAAGTTCTTCTTGTTATTGTTTAAATTAAAGCATATTTCAAAGGGAAACACTGTTATCGATAAAACTACATGTTCTGTCCTGGATTTTCATTTAATATAATCACTTATAATAATTGCCAAGGGATGGCATTTAGGCATGGAAGTAATCCGGCAGAGAAGTTATAAATACGAAAGAAAATTCAAGTCTAAATCATATTTATCATGCATTTGGAAAGTTTTAGGGTCATATATAGGGGAAATAGTATATCTTGAACATGAACCGAAATATTTGGTACATGGGGGTTGTCCCGTCCTGAGGGACGGGACAATATCGGAAACCGTGACATCCCTAGTACTCTGAGGATCACTGTTAATCTAAAAGTTCAGTATGTAAGTGTGCATGTTATATCCATGTGTTTATTGTTAATCTTAAGCAGTGCTCTGGTGATCACTGTTAATCTAAAAGTTCAGTATGTAAGTGTGCATGTTATATTCATGTGTTTATTGTTAATCTTAAGCAGTACACTGGTGATCACTGTAAATCTAAAAGTTCAGTATGTAAGTGTGCATGTTATATTCATGTGTTTATTGTTAATCTTAAGCAGTGCTCTGGTGATCACTGTTAATCTAAAAGTTCAGTATGTAAGTGTGCATGTTATATTCATGTGTTTATTGTTAATCTTAAGCAGTACACTGGTGATCACTGTAAATCTAAAAGTTCAGTATGTAAGTGTGCATGTTATATTCATGTGTTTATTGTTAATCTTAAAGTGCCCGATAAACTATAAAATGCGCATGCGTCCAGGTATTGATAAACTATAAATAGCGAAAATCCAGGGTTTGTCACCACAAGGTAAGCCAGAACGTGTTGAGAGAACAGCTAGTGTTGATAATGAATTTATATGTAGCCAGATAAGTTTCCTTATTGAAATTACATATGGTTATTAGCAATACTTTGTAGGTGCTAAATAATAAAATATTTAGAGTATATATGAGAGAAATTGGTCATTTCGAACCTGTTGAAAAGTTTGTGGCTCTCGGCTACACCGGGGAATTTACTTCCATGAGTACACACATAAATGTGGGGTTCCCCAAGAGGTACGCGACAAGGTGACCTGGCATCAAATGTGCGACTAAATGCTACTATCGAGAAGATTAAATAACGAATACGACAATAAGTTATTGCATGTGACAACTCCGAGCCTTCATCTCACTGAAGTATTTTGAAGTGAAAATAGGATTTTTGTTTTGATACATGGATTCAGATGAACCTAACTTTATTCTGACAACTAATCAAAACTGAACAAAATTGATTGTACGTAACAGACAATTTATTGTTTTACAATGTTTTGATTGGCTAAACGAATGAAACCAACAAATTATGACATGTAAAATGACAATTTTGAAATGTAAAATTTAAAGTGACAAACACAACCTCCCTATCCACTCTTTGGGAGCCCTAGTAAATTAGTAATATGTACATGCAGCAGTGGTAGTGTACAGCTTATTATCACACTACGCTTTGTATTCTAAAGCCTGTTGTTTGTAATAACACTGTTCACTCAACGTATGTTTTGTGTGTGTGGGCAGCCAACGATAATCATTGTTTTATCCCGGTTATATGACCTCGGCAATTATAACACAAGGCATTAACATGACAAAATGTCACCACCTAAAACAATTTGGTCAATTTAAAGCAAGTTGAAAAAATACCTCTTTGACTTTTTTTGACATTGAGAAGGTCATTGAAGGTCAAATGTCAAATGTAAAGTCAGATTTGAACTTCTGAGAACATGTAGATGATTTTGAAAAAAAAATTAAGTAAATTTGAAGCAAGTTGAAAAAAGACCTTTTTGACCTTGAAAAGGTCATTGAAGGTCAAATGTCAAATCTAAAGTCAGATTTGAACTTCTGAGAACATGTAGATGATTTTGAAAAAAAAATTAGTCAATTTGAAGCAAGTTGAAAAAAGACCTTTTTGACCTTGAGAAGGTCATTGAAGGTCAAAGGTCAAATCTAAAGTCAGATTTGAACTTCTGAGAACTTGTAAAGTCAAATTTGAACTTCTGAAAAGATGTAGATGATTTTGAAAAAAAAATTTGGTCAATTTGAAGCAAGTTGAAAACAGACCTTTTTGACCTTTTTTGACCTTGAGAAGGTCATTAAAGGTCAAATGTCAAATCTAAAGTCAGATTTGAATTTCTGAGAACATGTAGATGATTTTGAAAAAAAAATTAGTCAATTTGAAGCAAGTTGAAAAAAGACCTTTTTGACCTTTTTTGACCTTGAGAAGGTCATTGAAGGTCAAATGTCAAATCTAAAGTCAAATCTAAAGTCATATTTGAATTTCTGAGAACATGTAGATGATTTTGAAAAAAAGATTTGGTCAATTTGAAGCAAGATGAAAAAATACCTTTTTGACCTTTTTTGACATTGAAAAGGTCATTGAAGGTCAAATGTCAAATCTAAAGTCAGATTTGAATTTCTGAAAACATGTAGATAATTTTGAAAAAAAAATTAGTCAATTTGAAGCAAGTTGAAAAAAGACCTTTTTGACCTTTTTTGACTTTGAGAAGGACATTGAAGGTCAAATGTCAAATCTTAGGTCAAATCTAAAGTCAGATTTGAATTTCTGAGAACACTTAGATGATTTTGAAAATTTTTTTTAGTCAATTTGAAGCAAGTTGAAAACAGACCTTTTTGACCTTTTTTGACCTTGAGAAGGTCATTGAAGGTCAAATGTCAAATCTAAAGTCAGATTTGAAGGTCAAATGTCAAATCTAAAGTCAAATCTAAAGTCAGATTTGAATTTCTGAGAACATGTAGATGATTTTGAAAAAAAATTTAGTCAATGTGAAGCAAGTTGAAAAAAGACCTTTTTGACCTTGAGAAGGTCATTGAAGGTCAAATGTCAAATCTAAAGTCAGATTTGAACTTCTGAGAACATGTAGATGATTTAGAAAAAAATTGAACTCAATCTAAACAGTATTTGTTAAGTTATAGGAAGTTGTAAGAAATTGTTACAGACGCCGGACGCCAACCTCCAACCACCAACCGCCGGACGCCGTCGCAAAAAAACGGAGACCATAACAATATGTCACCACTTTTGGTGGTGACATAAAAAAACGGAGACCATAACAATATGTCACCACTTTTGGTGGTGACATAAAAACCGTACTAAACGAAAAAACGCAAATAAGAGAAAGCTTTCACACACATATAAATAATGAACTAGTCTAATCCGCCAGTATAAACTCTGTGCTATACGTAGCCGGGTCAGGCGCACACTTTAAGCAGTACTCTGGTGATCACTGTTAATCTAAAAGTTCAATATGTAAGTGTGCATGTTATATTCATGTGTTTATTGTTAATCTTAAGCAGTACTCTGAGGATCACTGTTAATCTAAAAGTTCAGTATGTAAGTGTGCATGTTATATCCATGTGTTTATTGTTAATCTTAAGCAGTACACTGGTGATCACTGTTAATCTAAAGGTTCAGTATGTAAGTGTGCATGTTATATCCATGTGTTTATTGTTAATCTTAAGCAGTACCTGGATGATCACTGTTAGTGTCCTGAGTGACATCAGAGCTGCCATCATATACTTCAAGTTTGGCTGTTTTGGCAAGTGTCTTCAAGACTTGTTCTGTTGTCATGGTGTCCAAACCTGATTTCTCACGGCTAAGTAAACGTAAACATGTGAGGCATAGTAGACTGCATCGGTGGGAACAATTATTATTCAATCTCTCCACAATGTTTTCAACCATCACCTGCAAGTATTATAGTACAGTATCAACAAAAAGTTCTACAAAGCAAGCCCAATGTCCTGTTTAAAAACCCCTATTCTTGCTATTAAAAATGGATTCTAGCATGCTATCTAACATGAATCTACTTGTTGAGACTCGATCAACTTGAGTTCTCCTGAGAAAATGAGGATTTTTAGGAAGGGTATATTTGTATTGACTTAGCATTGGGATACTATCATGGATGTCACCATCAGAATAAATACAAAATCCTCATTTTCTCAGAAGAACTCAAGTTGATCGAATCTCAACAAGTACATTCATGTATGATAGTAATTGCTAAAATCCATTTCTAATTGTAAGAATAGGAGTTCTTAAAAAGGACATTAAAGCTTAATTAAGGCATTTTTGAAAAGAACAGCATTTTTATACAGCAGAACAATTGCCTGACTTATTGTCTAAAAGACAACTTCTCAAACATATGCTTTGTCCAGCAGGATAATTTTTCGAACATATGCTTGACTAATTTCCCAGCAGGGCAACGTATGCATGAGTTGAGTTACATTCACTCATACTGCACTCTTCAAACTAATTACTCAAAAGGATCAGTTTGGGTAACAAAGTGTCAGAACATCAGGGGTACTATTTTTCTTAAGTAGGCAGCATTCCCTCATGACATCTTTTAACACAAACGTGTGTCAGTATCATAGTGTTCAAAAAATCTTCGTTCTGGAAAGAAAGTAATGTCACACTGTGGTTTTATTACCCTATATTCCTTATTTGATCATTTTTTCAAAAGACTTCGCTAATATCTTGCTTATATTAAAGTTGCATTTTTGTACGCCAGTGGGCGCAATCCACCCGCACAGCACTTAATGAGCCTTGTCAGCAGGTTTCACGAAAAAGAACAAAAAGCTCCCCGATGCAAATTACATGCTCACATGTTCTCAACAATAACAGCTTATTCAAGCGCACTTAAACCTTTTAATACCGCTATGCCAACTTTGTCAGTTACACTCGTTCCGGTCAATCGCTGGAGCACCACAGGGGTGCCATTGACACAAACTGGTGTCTGTGTGCGCTTGAATGAATCATTTTTTGTTAAAAGCATGCGACCATGCAATTCACACCTTGAGGTCCATTGATCATTTTTATGATAAGGCTCATTAACTGCTGTGCGGGTGTATTGCACCCGCAGGTATACGAAAATACAGCCTAAATCACATGAAATCTGTGAATTTGGTAAACAGCACAAATTGAAGAATAAAATTGATTGTTATTAATACCTTATAGCTAGTAGTTAGACTAATTATCAGTTTGAACTGACCAATGACAGACTCTAAAATGGATTTTTATGTCTAAAATACACCATGTGTTATGACATTATTAAGAAAAATCACATGAGAGATTTGTGTCACCTAGCTCATTTAAAGTGTGTAAGTATAAGAGCATTGCATTGTTTGTGTTAACATTTTCATAATAGAAGACCACAGGAAGTATCACAACAGATTTCAGACAGTCACATGTTGAATTTTGGGTATTTTCTGAGTATTTAAACAGGTGCATATGTTAGGCCAATGCATTAACTCCATGACAAGCACTCATAGAGACGATAAAAAAAATTGAACTTTGAGACAGCCCACCAGCATGTTTTTTCTGATATGTTGTTCTGTTTTTCAGCCCTTTCCACACCTGTTTTTCTATGATTGATGCATTAATATGTTGCGTTTTGAGACACAGCTATCCTCTTAAAAGGAAAAATGCATTCCTTTGAGATAAAGTGGAAAACAATATTTCTCATATTATTTTCCCATAGGGAAAATTCATGCGGTCCATTGTTTTCAGCTTTATTTTGCTCACCCATAATAGATATCTTTAAAGTTTATGAAGTTTTGAGATTATTGGTACAGTAATACAAAACAAAGCTCAATTAGACTAGGGTGAGACATTATTTTCTTTCCAGAGGGTATACATTTGCAAACAAATACTTCAGATGACAATAGAATATTGTCGATTTTAACCTCACTATTGTTAGTTATATAAATGAAATGGGTTAAAAGTGCAGATCTTAATCTTTTTTTTAATTCATGTATATATTTCTGTTTCCCTTACTTTGTTTACATCATTTTATAATATTACAATATCTGCGAAAAATGATATAATTCTTGAACATTATAACAATAGTTTACAAATATAATATACCATAAGTTATTTAACCATTCATTAAAGTAAGTATAGCTAGTGTCTTGTACCTTATAACCAAAGATAAGAGTCTTATATTTTTTCAAGCTTAATTCAATCTTAAAATGATCAAGTATATAATTTTCAAGTTGATTGATTACATTAATTACTCTATGACATTGAAAGAACAAATGTCTATAGTCTTCTACCTGTCCACAAATATCACACTTAAAACACTTATTTTCCATCTTAGAAGTAATTGCTTGCATGGTAAAATGTAATGTAAAAGTTTGTATTTAAATTGGCCACTTTTTTACTCTTGGATTTCTTTAATAGTATCCAAGTCTGTTGGAACAATATACTGGTGATCCGCTCGATTACGCTGGTTACCAAAACGGTTCAGTAGTTCGATATTTCCCGATTACCCCGATATATCCCCTTTACCCCATTTTGATATTAGATTCTTTAATAACCATGACAATATCATGTTTTATTTCAATCAAATTCTACTCACACACAGATATGTGACGTCATTGATACAAAGTAGCCATGGGAATAAAGGTATGTAATACATCAGTTATGTCACTATGATGTGAAATATGCCTTCATTCTTGCCCAAATATGGAGCCTCCCAAGGTCGGCCTATTATAGAAGAACTCAGACATATTTCACTTCATAGTGACTTAACCTCCAAATATAATTGCTAATTTTGTCAATTTTTGAGATAATTTTTGTTGAATTACTTTCTGACATGTTGATCTTACCTGTTTTACTGATCTGGTGAGCTCTGGGAATGCAAAAGACTGGGCATGCTGAAAAAGTGAAAAATGTTAAATAAATTAAATACAAATGAAATAACACATTCACCTTTAAAGGAGGGGGAGTTGTTTGTCGATTGAATTGGGGGAGTTTTTTCATGCATTTCGCTCATGTTTTTCATCCAAAAAACTTTAAAATTGCACCACATAATCACAAAAATATTTCTCATTTTGAAGGATTATCTATGGATTAACACCCAGGTATTTTCATTTTGCAAACTTCAGAGGGCTGCGAATCATTGATAATCAACGCTTTTGAATAATATAAAGGCTGTTTTAAATAACCAATATCATAACTTGATATTTCACATCAAGATAAATGAATAAATGCAAGGAGCACACGCGTCTCGAACTCGCAACCTCGTGGTTACGGCCCCAATCGAGTAGCCTAAACGTGCTAGTGCTCAAGCCCTCTCGGCCAACTCGACAACCCCAAAAAAGATTGTTTTGTTAGTCGATCTGACTAGAGGCAGCTGATGTTAACGCTCAGACACACCAGAGGAAGCACCCTACCCTGGACTACCCTGAACTGGACATTAATAAACCTCAACCATCAAAAGTTGTCACAATGAGCTAAATTCTAAGTTTCATGTCTTTCGTAACTCTCCCAAACGGTAGAAAAATAATTCCCTTTCACTTTAAGTAGCACAATAAATGAATCCAAAGTTTTATACCTGCAAATGATGGATAAATTGCCACCAAATCGAACAAATGTTTTCATGAATCGCCATGTTTGTGATCCAAGGAGGATTGACTCCCAGAATGCAACATCAGTTAACCTTTGTTACAAGTGACAGTTCCGCCATTTTGAAAGCAAGCACGTGTCATGTTGCATTCTGGGAGCCAATCCTTCTTGTGGCGTATTCGGGATCCAAAATCACCTCAACATTTGAAGAGTTGGCATTAACTATATTTGGACTTACTAGGACTGAGAAAATAAAGCATTGAATACACTGAAGTAAGAATTTATTACATGTGCGACAGCATTGTATTTTTCATTGCAATAGTAATTCTTTATGTTCCCTACTGTAAGTGGTGAGATTTTGGGCAAACGAAGGCGTAACCACAGATGGCAGAATTTTTCTAAGAACATACATCCTAAAGAAATACAAAGTGAGGCAGGCTTCTTGGAGAAAATGGATATAATTTCACTTCCGGTTTTTGAAAGTCCGATATCTCTTCTATCATAATACTACTTATGAAACCTGTACCATTGTTTTCTACGGTCTTTTTATAACAAATTCACTTTGTTCTTGGTCATAATTGAGCCTCGTGATACTGAATAAACAGCAAAATGTTTTAAAAACTTACTTGTTCCACTAGTATTGAGATGTCATACCGTCCTGATTGGTCCAAATCGGTAAACAAATATGGCGGTTCAAAATTTTCTAATAACGCTTCGAATAATATTATTTCAATCTCTGGCATGTTAATCAATATCATAGCTTGTTATTTCACACCAAGATAAAGAAAAATGTTAGGGATATGTTAGCATCGGTTAAATCACAACAACATGTTATATTCAAAAACTAACTGGTGAAAATTTGCGCAAACGAAGGTGGTACGCATTGACGCAAGTCCCTTTACGTGCACTGTATACTGCCAGTGCCGTATGCGAAGAACAACGATCAATATTTCAAACTCTCCAACAATCTTCGAAGGCCTGACAATACTGCGATCCTTTTGCGGTAAGTTTTCATTGTTAATTCAAGCCTTGAACCCTGTTAATCGTAAATCTGTATTGATTAGTCATGTCTCAACTGTTTTATGATGTACAATTTGCAATTTATAAACCCGGAAGAATTTTTTTCAAAAAGCCTTCCTCACTTTGTATTTATTTAGGATGTAAGGACATAGGGGTAATCTCGGACACGGGGCATTGTCGGACGATCTTCAATAATTCTTTGTTTTATATGGTTTCTTTATTGAAACTTTGTATTAGACACATCATCATAGGCCCCAGGAACATGTATAAAATAGCGAGTCGACATCTGTATTACTACTTCTTCTTAGAAGTAGTAATACAAAATAGCGAGTCGACATCTGTATTACTACTTCTTCTTAGAAGTAGTAATACAGATGTCGACTCGCTATTTTATACATGTTCCCGGGGCCTATGCACATCATATTATAGATGTGGTGCTATATATTGTAAAAATTCTAACTTTGTCCCAGATTTTCACCTGATACCAAGGGTTTGTCCGGGAATGCCCCGTGGCCGAGAATGCCCCTATCTCCTCGAGACATAACATATCTGTCATCGCTAAAGCTCTCAGGGTTTCCCTCATCTTTTTCGTAGGAAATGTTGTAAAGTTCATGCTTAAAGTCCATTTCAGTGCTTCATTTCGTCAGTAGAACGGCAAAAATAAGAAAGTGGGAGACCATCGTGCAATAATATATGGAAAAGTATATTCATAATGTACATGAATGACATTTGTATATCTTGGATTGCTTCTAGTTTAGGCTTATAAAGTGTGTGGCCTCTTATATTTGGATGTTTCTCTGCCATGTTATTTTCAATAAGATTAACATGGCTGAAATTCTTCAAATTACAAGACGGCACAGGCTTATTGCACAAAAAACTATAAAATCTGGAATATACAAATGTCATTCATGTACATTATGAATGTACTTTTCCATATATTATTGCACAATGGTCTCCCAATTTCCTATTTTTGCCGTTCTACTGACGAAATGAAGCTGTGAAATGGACTCTAGTTTACAATTTCTAACTCTGAATTAGATCTAATTTTTGACAATCTGAGAGATGAACGAAGAGAGTGAAGATCGGAGATGTAAACAAAAGCCTGAAAATGGTTTTCTACCTTCGATGAGAAATCCTGCAACATACTGCACGTTTCATCGTCGGTTCCATTTTTGATGAGGGAAAGTGAAGCTTCATTCATCGTTAAAATGGCGTATTTATCAGTAAATCATAAATCTGTTTACGGTTGAATGTTGTTCATTGGGATCTTGTTTTCGGTCTGTAATCTGATTTTTCTCCGGAAATTGCCGAGTGTGCTCATCAAATCTCGTTTAGTTCTCTACTTAGGCGAGAATGGGTTAAGTTGTGATAAGATTTGTGATTGGTCGAATCCAAAACATTTCGAGCAATCAATTTACTTGTTAGTAAAAGTTGTGGTTTGGCGACAAAACATGTCTTCGAAAAGGAAAACAGATAATATACCGGCAGAAGAGAGCGACCAGCTCCTTATCAGACCGCTGTGAGTACATAAATATGTGTAACAACATTGGTCATTATACAAGGGTCACAGAGGATTCGTTGTGATGTTCATGAACTTCATCACACGGACGTCAAGTACGTTTCTGGCGAAAGCTGGAGCATAGAATAATCTAGTTCAACGTCGTTAAACTCAATAACGGCGTTATTTATTATTAAGAATTTTCTTGGGGCCATTATTGAGTTTAACCTCTTTACTATTCTTTCCATTGATGCAAGTTTTGGATCCACCGAAACCATTTTTCCGCGATAACATGCAACTGATACTTGACAACAATATAAAAACACATAACATCAAGCGATTCAACACAATATTATTGTATTAAATGGTCATTTATACAAGTAAAATGAGGTTAAACTTACCAATCTCTAAAATGACATTTCCGCATGTCCTTCATTGTGTCTGTTCGTCCCGGGTTAAAATTTAAACTATTGAAACGAAATTGTTGTCAAATAGATTGATAATTATCACGCGATTACTCGGGATAAAATAGCCATTTTTGAGGATAGCAGGTATCTTTGATTGATTTATATAGCGCTTGTATACACACAAAATCGTTATTAATTGCAAACCTACTGTTCGTTGATGCAGTGTCGCAATGACGGTTAATTCCTGATACGATTTGCAATTTCGATGTTACCGGAGCTGACCGATATTTTCGTAAAATTCCAAACCTGTCTCCAATATTTTCGTAATTATGCATCAATATGGTCTAAGGGGGGTACGGGATGGTGTGTATGTATTTATAAGGTATGTATGCATGCTTGAATCACATTCTTTATGTAATATTACCACGTTTTCGGAGTTTAATAAGTTCCACACGTCGAAACCTGCTGAACGATTAAATGATCGCAACAAGGGCAAAATCATCATGGAAGTTAGACCTAGCCGGGGCCATAAGACATGTCAGATAAGAAACGAGGCCCAGGCTAGGTCTAATGTTGTTGGACTAAGAATAATCTACAGTTGGGGACATAAATAAATGACAGGTGGATTTGCTGAAGTGAGGATTTCCCATGTTAAAAATAAGAGAATTTACAAGAGGCCATAAATCAGTGGATGAGATTATACAAAATGTAAAATATACAAATTTTAAGGGATATGTATCTAGACAATATTGGAAATTACAGAGCTGTCAAGTGTCCCGCGAATGGCGGAATTATCCCGCGAATTCGATCAAAATTAGGCTAATTCGCGTGTCCCGCAATGTCCCGCGAAGTCCCGCAAATGTGGCTTTCGACCTCCGCGAATTTCCGAAATTGCTGCAATCCCCTATATTGTGATTATCTAATCTTATATAAGAAGCTAAGTTTTTGCACTTTTGAGGAGTAAGTTTACCTAATTTTAAGTACCTAGCATGCTGTTGTTTGGTATCAAAATAATGAGGAAGGGTTCAACTTTAGTTTTTTACGACAATAGGGATGTAGGTCACAAATAGTTCCAACGTTGGCCTTTTTACTATCCGTGTGGCCTTCATCTCAGAACTGAGCAAATGTTAGCAAACGCGAGTTACAATAAATGGCCGCTGATATCTAGAAAGGGTTTGTAGAATAAACGGGGTACCGGGTAGTAAATCCTCCATGCTGGGTTCAAACTTGGTACCCGGTACCCCATCAAAAAACGGGTACCAAAAACAAAACAAAAAAATATAACATAATTAGATTATCAGAAAACGTGTAAGATTTGTTTTGAATTTACCCTCTCCTGGCTACGCCTATGACATTGTAAGACATAACAATTTAGTGGACAATTCAGTGGACATTTTGTCGACAGTTGGGATAACTTAAATTATGATTAATAATCAAAATCTTACACATTGCATCATGTAAATTAACACACGTCACCTCTCTGCTAAAGCAACGATAGCAATTTACAGATTTAAATCATAATCAAAACAATTCACGTACCAACATACGAACTATTGAAAATAGAGTAAAATTGATTTGCCTTGTTATTCAAATCGTCTTACAATGTCATTGGCGTAGCCAGGAGAGGGTGTGATGGTGCGATCGCACCCCCCCCCCCCTCCCCCTTCATTACCAATGGAAATATGACCATGATGATAGAGGAAGAAAAGAGGCTTAAAATGCTTTTTATTTGAAGCTTCTATCTCAATTTTGAAGGAAGTAACATACATTTTTGTAAATTCAAAACAAATCTTACACGTTTTCTAATGATCTAATTATGTTGTATATTTGTATATTTCGTTTTTTGGGTACCCGGTTTTTTCGACCGGGTACCAAGTTTGAACCCAGCATTGAGGATTTACTACCCGGTACCCGGTTTTTTCTACAAACCCTATCTAGAAAAGTAACCTCATTCCCTATAATTTGATGTAGATTAATCGAAACCCTATACCATGGGCTTTCAATTGAAATAATATTTCTATGCGTATTTTGTGAAGTTATGTTGACGTTTATTTAAGTTACAATGTAACGGTGCATTATATTTGATTAATCAGTATCTGAAAGTTTGATTTAAGTACTTTTACACGCTTTTACATTAGTCCAAATCACGCAAATCCCTTGAATGTCCCGGGACATCCTGCAAATTTAGGTGGATGTCCCGCGAAATCCCGCAAATTTAGGGCACTTTTTCTAGAAAATCTGTCCCTCTATGAAGTTTTTGCTGGTAAACCTGTTAACTGTCCCGCAATTAGGGTGTTTGTCCCTCGAATGGTCCCGCGAAATCCCGCGAATTTGATAAAAAAAAATTGGCCTATAAGCGCAATCACGCAAATCCCTTAAAATGTCCCGCGAAATCCCGCGAATTTAGTAGATGTCCCGCAAAATCCCGCAAATTTTGGACACTGGGTCTAAAAAATCTGTCCCGCGAAAAAATCTTTGGGGGTTGACAGTACTGAAATTATGGGCTTTCAGACCACCATAATTAGGAAATGGTGATCGAAAATCAACCTGTCATTTATTTTTGTCCCCAGGTGGATTTGCTGAAGTGAGGATTTCCCATGTTAAAAATAAGAGAATTTACAAGAGGCCATAAATCAGTGGATAAGATTATACAAAATGTAAAATATACAAATTTTAAGGGATATGTATCTAGACAATATTGGAAATTATGGGCTTTCAGACCACCATAATTAGGAAATGGTGATCGAAAATCGACCTGTCATTTATTTTTGTCCCCAACTGTATGCTCCGGCTTTCGCCAGAAACTTACTTGACGTCCGTGCTTCATCATCTAAAAATAAGGCCGTGTCTATTATTTTTTTCATGGCCTGAGTTCGTCGCATGCTAAATATAAGAGTTAGCTGACGTTTGGGAGTCTGACTTACCTTCTAAAGGTTAGAACCCGATTCTTAATGAAACCATATCACCATTGTTGCTTCGATGATGATGCATAAACACAGCATTTGATAGAAATTAGTGTACAGTGGGGAGCATAAAGAATTGCAAAAGCTATGAAAATTACATGCTGTCGCACATGTAATACCTTCTTACCTCAGTGTATTCAGTGCTCTATTTTCTCCGTCTGAGTAAGTCCAAATATAGTGGAATTTGTGTCCCTAATGACAAATAAGAACTTCAAAAGTTGAAGTGGATATTCACATGTTATGCCGACTCTTCAAATGTTGAGGTGATTTTGTCGCCCGATTGCGCCGGAACGGAGGATTGGCTCCCAGAATGCAACATGACACGTGCCAGCTTTCAAAATGCTGTTCCGCCATTTTGAAACCTGTCATGAGTAAATACGGTAACTGATGTTGCATTCTGGGAGTCAACCGTCCTTGGATAACAAACATGGCGATTCATGAAAACATTCATTCGATTTGGTAGGGATTTATCCATTATTTGCAGGTATGAAGCTTTGGATTCATTTGTTGTGCTACTTTAGTGAGCGGGAATTATTTATCTACTGCTTGGGAGAGTTTGAGACACGAAACTTGGAAATTAGCTCATTGTGACAACTTGTGAACGTTGAGTTTTATTTTTGTCCCCCACTGTAAATGCTTTTCCGACTTTTTCATTTTTCATCAATGTTGACTTCCGGGAAGGCGTTGTAGTTATCACGAAATAACGCATTGACCTTGAACTTTACTTTGTTGACGTGTCAACCAAGCATGTCTGGTGTGAAAATTAAAAGAATATTAAGCAATGTTCTACATCCGCCAAGCTAAGTGAAGTAGCCAATATTTAAAATTACCAATTTCAAGTGAAGTACGCAACGAACGTAACTGCGTGATCTACACTCCCACTATTGGTCTGAACGAAATGCTACGTAGAAATATGAGCCGTCTGCTGTATTCGTCGATTAATAGAGTAAGACCTGTTGGTGATGCTTTATAATTTAGACCAAAACATTGAAGAACAAACGAACCTGTAAATCATGAAAACAACGAACAAATATTCGGTTTTCACATATGTTCGGTAATTTTTCGTATTGAAACTTCCGGAACTTACAAGGAAATCATTCATTTTCACGGTCCATGATTTACCTCTTGGATGTTGTGGCAAATGCTCCATGGTTGACGGAACAAAGGTGATATGGTTTCATTAAGATTCGGGTTCTAACCTTTAGAAGGTAAGTCAGACTCCCAAACGTCAGCTAACTCTTATATTTACCATGTTAGCGACGAACTCAGGCCATGAAAAAAATAGTAGACATCTAAAAAAAGTTAGACTAGGCCTAGAGTCACGGTTATGGGATATTACTATCCATATATTACTTATATATTATTTGTCAGGTTACGCAGCTTCCATCCAAAATAAAAAATATGTATTTTTAAAATAAATTATTTGTCTAGTTTTCGTTAAACAAATATCTTGAGACACATAGGGCCTGTAGAAAACACTAAACAGAAAAATAGAAAAAATATTCATACCTCCAAATCTGCTTTATTGGTCAGATAATGCACCAAATCATAATGGTTGTTCAAAATAAAAATTTAAGGGGATGGAGCGCCGTATCTCGCGAGAATAAAGCAAATCACGCAAAGGAACATGTTTTTTTTGACCAATCAAATAGCTTGAAATTTACCAAACCATTTCGTCCAGTGTTTCACACATGCGCAGTAGAAATTGTCAATTTACTGAGCAGACCCTTCAATGGCCTGGAGAAATTTTACTCACGATAATTGATGATTACTGAACACATATATAGGCATAAGAGGTGAGCGACCCAGTTATTTTTGCGTATAAATGTTTCAAGAATAGCATGATATCAAATAATCTGTACATTATGCTACGATTCATTCAAAAATTGAATCTAGAGGACAGGTGACCATATTTTTTTCTTATTTTTTTTATTTTTACCTGCATTACCTGCTGTATATATACCTCCTAGATGGAGGACTTCCCACTATCCATGCTTAGAGTCCATTTCACTGCTTCATTTCGTCAGTAGAATGGCAAAAATAAGAAATTGGGAGACCATTGTGCAATAATATATGGAAAAGCATATTCATAATGTACATGAATGACATTTGTATATTTCAGATTTTTTTAGTTTTTTGTGCAATAAGCCTGTGCCGTCTTGTAATTTGAAGAATTTCAGCCATGTTAATCTTATTGAAAATAACATGGCAGAGAAACATCCACACACTTTATAAGCCAAACTAGAAGCAATCCAAGATACCTAATTTGAAAAGTGCTGCCAAACTCCCAGTGCATCAGATCATCAAAGGCTGCCTTTGGAAAGAGCATATAGTCCATTTACAAAACTGTGATTTTGATCCAAATAACACCATAATTGGCTTCTAAAGTACCTAGTATGCCGTTATTTGGTATCAAAATAATGAGGAAGAGTTCAACTTTCATTTTAATTACGAAATAGGGATGTAGGTCACAAATAGTTCCAAGGTTGACCTTTTTACTACACGTGTGTCCTTCATCTCAGAACTGAGCAAGTGTTAGCAAACGCAAGTTACAATATGGACAGTGATATCTCGAAATTTTCTTCCTATAATTTGATGTAGATTAATTGAACCCCTCTATGAATAGGTACATTTTAATATATAACACTATGGGGGTAAACGTTTTATAGTTGGTCACGAACGCCATAAGTGCAAAGTATTGTTCATAATTTTTGAATTTCGTGTTGGATTACGGTAGTCACACCTAAAGCGTGGTTTTTGTTTTTGATAAATTACAATAAAGTAAAATAATATTTCTCTGCGTCTGTTAGTCTTGATGAAATATCTAAACTTAAATGTATTTTGACACTGGTCGATGATCGTTGAATGGCCCCCATGCACTATATGTTGCACCTTTAAGTGCATTATATTTGATTAATCAAAATCTGTAAGTTTGATTTGAGTATTTTTAGATTAAGTCCCAATTACGCAAATCCCTTGAATGTCCCGCGACATCACGCAAATTTAGGTAGATGTCCCGCGAATCCAGAGAACTGTCCTGCAATTAGCGTGTTTGTCCCTCGAAAGGTCCTGCGAAATCCCACGAATTTGATCAAAATTTGGCCTATTAGGCGTAATCACGCAAATCCCTTAAATGTCCCGCAAAATCCCGCGAAATTTGGTGGATGTCTGGCAAAATCCTGCAAATTTTGGGCATTGGGTCTAAAAAATCTGTCCCGCGAGAAAATCTTTGGGGGTTGACAGTACTGAGATGGTGAACCATCAGCATTTCCAAAAGTTCAATTTATCATGATATTGGTGACATAAAGTCAACAGGTGTCTGTTTTGCTGCGAAATACAATTTTGTAGAAAAAATTAAACCCTGGCTTTATGTTGAGCCAATTATTGCATGCTTGTGGCTATTCTCATCAATTTTGCATTTAGTGTTTAAAGGTTGAGTAAATAGTGCAGAGCGTATCCAACGATCATGGACCTAGTGTCAAAATATATCGAAGTTTGGATATTTCATCAAGGCTGAGGTAAACGTCTATTTTCATTAGCTACAAAGAAAAACCCCGAACGTAACTTATTTCTGCCGATATTCACAATCACTAATCATCTTAAATCCCTGGGAATCTTCTCCCAAAACCATTTTACATCGACAGGAAAAATGCTCACTTACCTTTTAATGATTTCCCTGTGATATTGTCATTGGATTCCAGCCCTGTTTTCACCTAAACGTTATATCCAACATTCTGTTTGGTATATATACCATGCATGTGTCAAGAAGACCTTAAACACGGTGTTATAGCATGACAGTTACGACAAGGCGATTTGCAAAAGTTTGCGGTAACGATAACAAAAAATGGCGGATGGGAAAGACAACATGTCCTCTTTCTAGCCTGTAGGCAAGATTCACAGATAAGATTTCCTTTTTAACTACATGTAGTTCCATTCGGTGACGTATGGATGGTTATAAAGACTGGGTCAAATCTGCCAGGTGGTTTACTAGAAGCGGAATATAAGGTGTAAACTTACAGACCGAGTTCATATTTTTTAGTGATTTCTCAGCATATGTGCCTCAGAGCCTCTCAACTTATAACAGTAAGTAAACTGTGTATAAACAAGCCATAAAATGACAAATCCAGAACAGGAACGTGGTCATAATGTAAATAATAAGGTTTCAAACGCAATGTCGTTAGACGAGTACGTATGAATTCTATGGACAGTAACGTATTGTATTAGATGTACATTAGATATTTAGCGGACGGTTACGTGCATGCACATCTTTCAAGTTAATGTTGCTAGTTCTGATAGCCTCTTTCCATGTTATTGTTATAATGGGTAAGAAATGGAATATTGAATTGCTTATATTTGTTTTCACGACTCGAAAGAGACGCTCTTGTTTGAGCCTCTATAGGGCAAGGAAAAATTGTGTCTTGCTTTATTAATGAAACCAATTTAAGTCAAAAAGATAGCAATGAAGAGGCATAAGAAGAATTAGCATCAAGTATTGATGAATATGACAAAATTAATAACAATGTATCTGGGATACATATTTGAAAGAGGTTCGCGTAACCGTCAATCAATTTTTGGTATAACCGCAAATTAAAAATACAATACTATGGCTTGAGTAGAACATATTAGGTGATTTCCAATGCTCAATTGGCTTTTTATGATCGTTTGTAGGTTACATCTATATACCCCGAGGTCGTTAGGCAATGTAGACCATGCCCTAACGACAAAAATAAACAAATTACTAAATTTTGTGTAGTTTTGAATTTCAAACTCAACAGTTTTTCGCTTATTTCTTGTTATCCCCGGGCATCAATTTGCAAAGAATACGTTCAAAATATACATTACTAAATGTATCACCGAATGCGATGTCTACAAAAATCGTTCATCCTTTCATTGATACACAGTAGAAGAAAATACTGCACCAACTGTTCCATCGCGGCCATTTTATTGGATAAATCAGTGATCGTACTCGTCTAATCTCGTTTTCAGAGGTGTCGTAACTGTCATGCTATAACACCGTGTTAAATGTGGGTAGATTTGAGGTATTTCAGGTTTAGATTTTTTTATTTTTCTTCGTCATTGGGCCAGGCTAACTGCAAGAGTCGCCGGTAATAGACTGTCGACGGCGGTCATATCGTGTACAATGCATACAGTTATATCAGACAACCGCGGTTATACTGTAAACATGTGGTGTTATCTAATCTCAGCTGCAGTAAGAATCTTAATGGCAGAGATTCAGAAATGTTTCAAAAACAAAATGCGGGACGTCCATCCTTTCAATTGCTTATTTAGAAGTCTATTTGCAAGTCTGATTGGTGGTATTCGTCGAAAAGTGCATATATTTATTGGGTTAACATTTTCAGTTATCGACGGTTTTACAATTGCATTTCAATCAATTCCTTGTATATGTAATGAATAATATTGCAGTGCTCTTTCCTCAAGGATTTCTTTTTGTGAAGTTCAATCAATAAAAAATATTTATTTGGCAATTGGAATGCGTGCAGATGTGGAACTAATGTATATTTCTACTTTGGTTCAGCCTTCGTAGTAGTTGACAACAACAGTTTTTCGATTTAGCGCCAGAATAACTTGGCACATGGTACGTCAGGTGACCTCAAAAAGTGTGCAAAAATAACAAAATTTCAGAGGTTGACAGTCTTATCTTAATCAATCTTTTTGTGTGGGGAAATATCACAAACTTGGTAGAGTCTATTTCATGGCCTAACTGCGTCAGTAGAACATGAAAAATAAGATTTACCTGAAGATTAGAGTCTCACTTAAGTTTCCATGTTTAATTCCTGTCAGACTTATAAAAGTCCATTTAATTCCTCTCAAATTCAAAGACATGTCAAATTCCTCTGGAGTTTTCTGTGACTAAACCCAAAATATCAATAAATCGACAATAAATCCACTCCTTGGTGATTTGTTCTGGGCCTCAGCAACTTATTTACCTGAAATTACCAGATTGGCAATCAGCATTGTCAAATAAGCAAGCAGTTTTTCCAAGTCCTTTGCCAAGAATGAAAGGTGATTATATTGGCAATGAGGCATTTGTTAATTTTGAACCCCACACCTTGATAGTTACTCATATCAACCTTATTATTTCAGAGGAGCTGGTCAGGAAGTTGGGAGGTCATGTCATATGTTGGAGTTCAAAGGCAAGAAAATAATGGTATGTACTGAAAGGAAATGTGAATTGCAGTGTTGCAGTATTAACAGTGCTCTCCCACATTGAAATATCTGAGGGGCAATACCTCCCTATATTCTATAAAACCAAAATGTTCCTCAATGCAATTGGATGTGCCTCCTAAAATGTTACAATAAAAAGTTTAAAAGTTCTGAATTGTTTCTCGAAGAATTACAAAATTATTGTAAAATGTTGCATAAAAATTACAAAATCATAAAATGTTGCACTAAAAAAATAACAAGTCCGGAAAAGAGGTTCTTCGGCTGATTTTATCACTTACCAGTCACCATACATACCCTTATACGCCAAGGTAATTTTTGTGGATTGGACTCATGTAAAAGGTGGACTGGATTGGGAATCTTCAAAATATAGAATTTCTATTCTCCTCATATCCTCAATGTCAAATATGGGCTAGAAGGGTGACCTGGTACCCACTTTTTGATACACAATTTTATTTGTATCTATCTATGATTTTAGGCAAGTCATAAATCATAAGGCAGGCTGATTTGAAGATCCATATCATCTGTTTTCAATCCAAACAGAACAAAGCACAAATGCTTTAGGAACATCCATACATCAATTTGAATGACAGCCTTTATCTCCAGTTCTATGTTCATGCCATACAAAAGTTGATTTACAAGGGAAAGCAGTTAAATTCTTAGATTATCCATCAACTAATTGTAGTATGTATTTGTTGTTGTTTTGCTCATATTCCAAGTGATTATAAAATACTTTGTGGAATGGAAATTTTGTTCCCAATCCAATCCACCTTTTACATGAATCCAATCCACTCGATCCAATCCACCTTTTAAAGATGCAATATACCATAGGATTATCTCCTGGACAATCAGTGTTGTCCTATTATTATTGCTCATATTATATCTTAGATATATCTTGAGAATAATATAGTAGCCGGGACAGAACAAGTCTCAATTTCAATTAATCTCATTTCTTCACTTTAAGAGTTAACTCACTACATTTTGCATAAATATTCCCTGTAGAAATCCCAACATAGAATTTATTTGGTTTTAATTATAATTTATTTGTTAAAAATTGGGGAACATTTTATTCTGATTGGTCTAAGATCAAAATTTTGCCATTTTGTGCTACAAATACAACATTTTGACGTAATTAATAAAAATGCTAGTTATAAATGACGTACACAATATGTTGCCTCTAATCATACTAGTCTCTATCATATTAGTTATTTTTGCCAGTCATCAGATCATGCATTGGAAGTGCATTGAGAAATGCATTCATTCATTGCGGAAAGTAATGAATTGGCAAAACAATGATGGAGTCTAACCATTATTTTGCCACATTTTGGTGCTTGGTCGTCACAATATAGCAGCTGACGTCATAATATGGGTACCAAATTGGTAACTGGAATAAATCCATATTTATATTTTATTGGTTTGGAGAATGTATTTCTACTATATTAAAATCTGTGTTAGTTGATATTCCATGAGGGGAGTACTCAGTAATGAATGTTTGTACATATCAATCACAGTTGTGTAGAATATCTCAAAGATTTATAACCAGGTTCTATATTGATTTTGTAATTCTCCCATAATTTACAGATATGATAACCATTTTATAAAGAAACTCAGAATTAAAAACATCATTTGAAAATCACCCCAAGACTTGCCAGGGGGAAATCATATTATCTTCAATCTCATTTTCCACAGTTTCTCAAGTATTTATCAAGTAATATCTCTCAAATATCATCCTTGCTTTTGAAATATAACAATGAGAAACATTTGAAGGCAATCTTTCAGCAAGATCTTTTGCATTATTCCACTAAATGGTTTCCCCTGTATCAAGCACCAAATGAAGAAATTCTACCCCTCCACAAAATCAAGCACTAAATAAATAAATTTAGCACCTTAATTAATCTGTTACTCCTGTATCAAGCACAAAAAAGAAAATTGCCCACTTCCCTGAACTGTTACCCTTGTATCAGATACCAAATTAACTGGCCCCTTTTTAAATTTTTTAAACAAAAAGGAATTGCCCCTATATCAGGTACAAAAATTTGGCCCCTCCACTAAACACTGTAACCCCTGTGTCAATCACAAAAAAGAAAACTGCCCCCTCCACTAACCTGTTTTCCCCTGTATCAATAACAAAACAAGAAAATTGCTCCTTCCACTAACCTTTTACCCCTGTATCTATCAAGCACCAAATGTACAATAAGGCCCCTCCACTAAGAACTGTTATTAAACAAAAAGGAATTGCCCCTATATCAGGTACAAAAATTTGGCCCCTCCACTAAACACTGTAACCCCTGTGTCAATCACAAAAAAGAAAACTGCACCCTCCACTAACCTGTTTTCCCCTGTATCAATCACAAAAAAAGAAAATTGCCCCTTCCGGTAACCTGTTACCCTTGTATCTATCGAGCATTAAATGTCAATCACAAGAAAGAAAATTGCTCCTTTCACTTACCTGTTACCCCTTTATCTATCGAGCACTAAATGTACAATAATTTGGCCTCTCCACTAACAACTGTTATCCCTGTATCAATCACAAAAAAAGAAAATCGTCCCCTCCCCTTGCATTGAATATTTGTTATACATGCAGTTAGACTGTGTTATTCACCCTAACCTCAGTGGTATGTAAGATGTGATTGAAGTTTTGCTTTAGTTGGATTTTGGTATTTACCCTGGCCTCAGTGGTATGTATGATGTGATTGAAGTTTTGTTTTAGTTGGATTTTGGTATTTACCCTGGCCTCAGTGGTATGTGTGATGTGATTGAATTGAAGTTCAGTTTTGGTTAGACTGTGTTATCTACCCCGGCATCAGTGGTATGTAAGATGTGATTGAAGTTTGGTTTTAGTTAGATTGTGGTATCTAGGCTGGCCTCAGTGGTATATGTGATGTGATTGAATGTGTGATGTGATTGAAGTTTGGCTTTAGTTGGATTGTGGTATCCACCCTGGCCTCAGTGGTATGTGTGATGTGATTGAAGTTTGGCTTTAGTTGGGTTGTGGTATCCATCCTGTGGTATGTGTGATGTGATTGAAGTTTTGTTTAAGTTAGATTGTTGTCTCTACCCTGGGCTCAGTGGTATGTGTGATGTGATTGAATGTGTGATGTGATTGAAGTTTGGCTTTAGTTGGATTGTGGTATCCACCCTGGCCTCAGTGGTATGTGTGATGTGATTGAAGTTTGGCTTTAGTTGGGTTGTGGTATCCATCCTGTGGTATGTGTGATGTGATTGAAGTTTTGTTTAAGTTAGATTGTTGTCTCTACCCTGGGCTCAGTGGTATGTGTGATGTGATTGAATGTGTGATGTGATTGAAGTTTTGTTTTAGTTGGATTGTGGTATCCACCCTAACCTCAGTGGTATGTGTGATGTGATTGAAGTTTGGCTTTAGTTGGGTTGTGGTATCTAGGCTGGCCTCAGTGGTATATGTGATGTGATTGAATGTGTGATTTGATTGAAGTTTGGCTTTAGTTTGGTTGTGGTATCCATCCTGTGGTATGTGTGATGTGATTGAAGTTTTGTTTAAGTTAGATTGTTGTCTCTACCCTGGGCTCAGTGGTATGTGTGATGTGATTGAATGTGTGATGTGATTGAAGTTTGGCTTTAGTTGGATTGTGGTATCCACCCTGGCCTCAGTGGTATGTGTGATGTGATTGAATGTGTGATTTGATTGAAGTTTGGCTTTAGTTGGGTTGTGGTATCCATCCTGTGGTATGTGTGATGTGATCGAAGTTTTGTTTAAGTTGGATTGTGGTATCTACCCTGGCCTCAGTGGTATGTGTGATGTGATTGAAGTTTGGCTTTAGTTGGGTTGTGGTATCTACCCTGGCCTCAGTGGTATGAGTGATGTGATTGAATCTTGGTTTTAGTTGGATTGCGGTATCTACCCTGGCCTCAGTGGTATGTGTGATGTGATTGAATCTTGGCTTTAGTTGGATTGCGGTATCTACTATGGCCTCGATGGTGTGTGTGATGTGATTTAATTTTTCTTTTAGTTAGACTGTGGTATCCACCCTGGCCTCAGTGGTATGGATGCTTTACCATTCACAGATCTAATAGAACCGGAGGAAATAGATCTTCTACTCATAAGCCAGTAAGTACAAGTTTCATTGAGTTGAATGTTTAACTTGACTGTACATTGTTACATGTTCATTGCAACTTATACTGCCCATACAGTAAAACCTGTATAAGTTGTTCCACATACAGGTGTTCATTTTGACTTAACTCAATGAGAAATTGGACTTCGAAGAGTGTTCCACCTTTTCACACTTGGCAATGAACTTGTGAAAATGAGTTGCCTCGTGGGCAATGGATGTAATACCACAAGCTGAATAAAGGCAATCAAGTTTTACTATTCAGCATTTGTTCTTGTTCTTGCAGCTTTCACTTAGACCATTGTGGTGGTCTTCCGTGGTTTCTAGAAAAGACAGCATTCAAAGGACGTTGCTTCATGACACATGCAACTAAGGCCATCTATAGGTGGTTATTATCAGATTATGTGAAAGTCAGTAACATTGCCACTGAGCAGATGTTGTACACTGATGATGATATAGCTCGCAGCATGGAAAAAATAGAGACTGTTAATTTTCACCAGGAGACTGAAGTGAATGGGGTGAAGTTTTGGTGTTACAATGCTGGCCATGTATTGGGTGCTGCCATGTTTATGATTGAAATTGCTGGTGTAAAGGTGAATAATTCTCAACTTTCTACAGTACCTAACTTGTCTGGTACTAAATAATTCTGATCCAAATAAAAGTAATTTGTTTGCAATAATAACTAACAAACAAAACATTTACTGTAAACTCCTGGATGAAAAACTAATTATCGGCTATATTAATTTTTTCTTTTAAGTATCATGAGAAGTTTTCAAGAATGACTTTCTTGTGCCAGTGTGAAATCAATAAGTTTATGCAATTGTCACATTCGATATTTTTTCAAATAGAGCATCTTGCTTTTTGTTTGTTATTGCATTATTGCAATGATTGTTCTTTTTGAACTAAAGTTCATGTAGTATAGTAGTTCATATTATGATTTACATACAATTGATAGCTTTAGGGTGTATATTAAAGGACAACTGAAATAGGTTTTATCAACTTGCAGTTACAAAAATGTGGTTTTTATGTCACCATCAAAAAGTGGTGACATATTGTTATATGGTCTCCATTTTTTTGATGGCAGTTGGCGTCTGTAACAAATTCTTACAACTTCCAATAACTCAACAATTACTGTTTAGACTGACTTCAGTTTTTTTTCAAAATCATCTACAAGTTTTCAGAAGTTCTGACTCTATATTTAAGATTTGATCTTCAGTGACCTTTTCAAGGTAAAAAAAGGTCAAAAGGGTATTTTTTCAAAATCATCTACAAGTTATCAGAAGTTCAAATCAGAAGATTTGAAATTTGACCTTCAATGACCTTCTCAAGGTCAAAAAGGTCAAAAGGTATTTTTCCAACTTGCTTCAAATTGACCAATTTTTTTTCAAAATCACCTACTAGTTCTCAAGAGTTCACATTTGGCTATAAATTAGACCTCAATTGCATTCTCAAGGTCAAAAAAGATGTGACCTTCAATGACCTTCAATGACCTTCTCAAGGTCAAAAGGGTCTTTTTTCAACTTGCTTCAAATTGACCAAATTTCTTTTTCAGAAGTTCAAATCTGACTTAAGACTGATGAGAAAACATGTCCAAATACATTTATCAAAAATTTATATTGACTCCTTTAGGTCAAAAATACCATTTCATATCTGCTTTAATTTTAGATTCTTTATACTGGAGATTTCTCAAGGCAGGAAGACAGACATTTAATGGCTGCTGAAATCCCAAACATTCACCCTGATGTCCTCATAATTGTAAGTGAATTAATCTCATCAAAGTCCATAAGAATGTACTCATATTTCATTTGCTCTCTACATTTTAATATGTTTTTTGTTTATTAAAATACCAACAAAGAAGTGAGAGTATTAAATGTTGGAAGCTCTCTTTTCAGAAATTTTATTAAATTGAGATATCTGGTGAAATTTTGAAATTATGGGGAATTTATGATGCGAAAACCTTTCAATTAAAAAATTGTCATAAAAAGACACAACTGTTGGACTTCAAAAAAACCACTATTCAAAATCTAATCTGATGTCATTTTGTGCTGTTTGGTTGTAGGAGGCGACATATGGGACACATATCCATGAACCACGGGAAGAACGGGAAGCCAGATTTACAGGAATAGTTCATGATATTGTTGAAAGAGGTGGTCGGTGTCTCATTCCTGTCTTTGCTTTAGGAAGAGCTCAGGAGCTTTTACTAATTTTAGGTATTAATATTATATTAAAGTTAATACACTATGAATTTTAAATGATTTAATACTTTTAATTAATACTATCATTCTTCAAAGTGTTTCTCAGCAATAACATCGTTGTATTGCTTAACCCTTAACCTGTTAAGCTACAGAGAATTCCACGTTTGATCTCAGAAGTGATCAATCATAGGAGGATGTATATTAGCTATCAATGGGAAAAGTTATTCAATTCCCAGTATTTTGAGCTCACTTACATCCAAATTGAGCCATTGTTGATAGGAGAAATTCATATTCTAAGAACATAGAGGTTTATCGTTTCAAGTCAAAGCTACTGACCATTTCGGTATTTTAGTAACTTTGACCAGCTCTAACTTTTCTCATAGGGGTGTTAGAGTCGCAATCTTTTCGCCAAAACATGCCTAATTCAATTTTAAGAAAAGCCAGAGAGTTTCAGATCCAAAGACATACTACGAAAAAAGTTATGCCCCCCCCTAGCTGTTCTGATGTTTAATTGGTTTTAATTCTGATGATATTATATTTCTGGTTATCATTTGTGCAGTTAGGTAAAAGCGCATGTTCATATTTACATAAAAGAATCAGTTGTGGATGATTGATTGAATTATTTCAGATGAATACTGGGCCAATCATCCAGAGTTGCATGACATTCCTATATATTATGCCTCTTCGCTGGCCAAGAAGTGTATGACTGTCTACCAGACCTACATAAATGCCATGAATGAGAAGATACGCAAACAGATCAGTATCAGCAATCCATTTGTTTTCAAACATATATCAAATCTTAAGGTAAACCTGGATTTCACTGATTGTAGAATATCTTATTTATTTAGAAAAATGTATATACAATAATAATACATGACTTATACTGACACAAAATATAAGATACATGTATATATCTTCACTCTATATCTGAAAAAGACCTTGCAGTTTTTAAAATTCAAAAGGTTTTTCCTCAGGTTGATTTGTTCATTGAATTTAAAATTGTATTGAAATGCTGGAACTTGAATTTTTCTGTTGCAAACATTTTATTTTGAAGTATTTTGAAAAAGATAAACTGATGTAGGTATGTTCCATTGTAGAGTATGGAGCACTTTGAGGACATAGGACCAAGCGTAGTAATGGCATCCCCTGGCATGATGCAGTCTGGACTGTCCAGGGAACTGTTTGAGAGTTGGTGTACAGATAAACGCAATGGCACCATTATAGCTGGTTATTGTGTAGAGGGAACACTGGCCAAGGTATGCAAGTCAATTTCTCTTAGCAACACTTGGAAGTAATCAGTATTCTGCCTAATTAATGTCTTGCTTCATTTGGAGTTTACCTAGTCTGTAGTCTTAGTTATTTCTAGGACTAAACAGATCCATTCAAATACAATCCTAATTCTTTTCAAAATGGAACTCGTATAGCTTGACTAAAATTTCACTTCATTTTCTTATTTGGTGCCAAACTAGGTGTTGCTCTGAAAGCAGAATCCAAACATATAAATTCCCATGAGGACAGATGCCTGAACTGTTTGCCATGCATATATAATGCAATGAATTTGCTTACATCTGTGTACATATATGTTTCAGCATGTGTTATCTGAGCCATCTGAGATCATCACTATGCAGGGTCAGAAATTACCACTAAAGTGCTCTGTTGATTACATCTCATTCTCAGCCCATACAGACTATGCACAGACCAGTGAGTTCATCAAGGCCTTGAGACCCCCTCATGTGGTAGGTTTCTCTTGAATTGAATCCACTGAATTGATGTGATTTCAGGGCTTGTATTTAATTTAGCCTTCCTTTCCCCCTAAATCTTACTTCTATTAATGTCTCATGCATGGTGTGTCAAATGCTTGTTCGAAAATTCCATAATAGAGACTCTTGTACATGGTGAGGCTAATCCTTTTTGCTAATCTTTATTCCATATTCATAGGTTCTTGTACATGGTGAGGCTAATCCTTGTTCCATATTCATAGGTTCTTGTACATGGTGAGGCTAATCCTTGTTCCATATTCATAGGTTCTTGTACACGGTGAGGCTAATCCTTGTTCCATATTCATAGGTTCTTGTACACGGTGAGGCTAATCCTTGTTCCATATTCATAGGTTCTTGTACACGGTGAGGCTAATCCTTGTTCCATATTCATAGGTTCTTGTACACGGTGAGGCTAATCCTTGTTCCATATTCATAGGTTCTTGTACATGGTGAGGCTAATCCTTGTTCCATATTCATAGGTTCTTGTACACGGTGAGGCTAATCCTTGTTCCATATTCATAGGTTCTTGTACACGGTGAGGCTAATCCTTGTTCCATATTCATAGGTTCTTGTACACGGTGAGGCTAATCCTTGTTCCATATTCATAGGTTCTTGTACACGGTGAGGCTAATCCTTGTTCCATATTCATAGGTTCTTGTACACGGTGAGGCTAATCCTTGTTCCATATTCATAGGTTCTTGTACACGGTGAGGCTAATCCTTGTTCCATATTCATAGGTTCTTGTACACGGTGAGGCTAATCCTTGTTCCATATTCATAGGTTCTTGTACACGGTGAGGCTAATCCTTGTTCCATATTCATAGGTTCTTGTACATGGTGAGGCTAATCCTTGTTCCATATTCATAGGTTCTTGTACACGGTGAGGCTAATCCTTGTTCCATATTCATAGGTTCTTGTACATGGTGAGGCTAATCCTTGTTCCATATTCATAGGTTCTTGTACACGGTGAGGCTAATCCTTGTTCCATATTCATAGGTTCTTGTACACGGTGAGGCTAATCCTTGTTCCATATTCATAGGTTCTTGTACATGGTGAGGCTAATCCTTGTTCCATATTCATAGGTTCTTGTACACGGTGAGGCTAATCCTTGTTCCATATTCATAGGTTCTTGTACATGGTGAGGCTAATCCTTGTTCCATATTCATAGGTTCTTGTACATGGTGAGGCTAATCCTTGTTCCATATTCATAGGTTCTTGTACACGGTGAGGCTAATCCTTGTTCCATATTCATAGGTTCTTGTACATGGTGAGGCTAATCCTTGTTCCATATTCATAGGTTCTTGTACACGGTGAGGCTAATCCTTGTTCCATATTCATAGGTTCTTGTACACGGTGAGGCTAATCCTTGTTCCATATTCATAGGTTCTTGTACATGGTGAGGCTAATCCTTGTTCCATATTCATAGGTTCTTGTACACGGTGAGGCTAATCCTTGTTCCATATTCATAGGTTCTTGTACATGGTGAGGCTAATCCTTGTTCCATATTCATAGGTTCTTGTACACGGTGAGGCTAATCCTTGTTCCATATTCATAGGTTCTTGTACATGGTGAGGCTAATGAAATGAACAGGTTGAAGTCAGCTCTACTGAGAGAGTATGAGGAGACTCCAGAACACCATCTAGAGATCTACACACCCAGAAACACTCAAGCCTTGGAACTTCGCTTCAGGGGAGAGAAGATGGCAAAGGTATAAACAATGACTTTGATGTGCTGTACCGTGTTAGGCTTATTATTAGGAAGTTTATGATTTTTAAAAACTCTTTATGAAATTAAGAAGGTATTTTTTATTTGTCTCAGTTTTTGCTCACAAGATCATCTCTTAAATTGAGCGGATTTACACACATGATGTCACTTGTTTGCAGTGTAGCCAGTGCAATTTTAGCATTATAAAACTTTCTCAAATTATCAGTATGTTTAACATGACCAAGCTTGATTCATGTGAACTGTATAGAGTATGTGGAGGTACCACAAGGATCCATTTTAGACCCCCTACTTTTTTGTTTTGTTGATCAGATGCCCTAGTTCCAACAGATTCATATTTGCTGATGACACCTCTGTATATAGTCTCTTCAACATAAATCATAATTAGTATTCAAGATATTTATGTGCTTATCCAAAGTGCCCTATATCTCATTAATCAATGTACCAATACATGGAAAACATGAATGTGTCACTGGTAAGATCCGATTCAAGTCCATTAAAAAGAAATAAACCCCTGCATTTATAATAAGATCTTGTTGTATTGTTAGGTTGTTGGTAGCCTTGCTAGAAAGAGACCTGAGCAGGGTGATTCTCTGTCTGGTATACTTGTGAAAAGAAACTTTAACTATCACATTATGGCACCTACAGACCTACAGAGTAAGTCATTCAATGTGTGTTTAACAAGTTAAGAAATATAGCATCACATGCTAGACATATGAACTGACCACATGGGCAATGATTGGTTGAGTTGTAATGGCTTGATTCATGGCTTACCAAGAGTTAAAGATTCTGGGCCTTTAAATCTTCATCATAAACCTATGCTTATTTCTCATCCTTAAGCTTGATCTCAGACAAGTGAAGGGACACCATATAGGTAGAGAGGAGTAAATCTAGGGAGGTCAAAGGCAATATTCAGGTCTTACAGCCAAAGCCATCATTTTAGAGTTCAACTGTCATCTTTCCATTTGATGAATAATTGTTAATAATCACTGATTACACTGTCTTGTGTGAAATGTTTTTGACTTCATGGGAGTTGTAGGGGGGGGGGGGTAGTCTCTGACTGACAGGTATCTATCACTATCTGGCTAACCTAGAAAGATTAATCAGTACAGCTTTTCTGGACTACCTATAATGTTTGTTGACTTCATGGGAGTTGTGGGGGGGGTAGTGTCTGACTGACAGGTATCTATCACTATCGGGCTAACCTAGAAAGATTAATCAGTACAGCTTTTCTGGACTACCTATAATGTTTGTTGAGAATGTTTCATGAAGCAGCCATTCTTTGTTTTAGATTATACTGATTTAGCTATGAGTACTGTTACCCAGAGACAAAGTGTACACTATACAGGAACATTTGCTCTCCTTCAATTCTACCTCAACCAACTTGCTGGTGAAGTAACATTGACAAAGTCAGGAGAGAACAAAGCCATAAGAGTGTTCAAGCATATTCTTGCCATACATGAGCAGGGCAGAATGGTCATCATAGAGGTGAATATCTAAGCAGCAGTTAATAGTATGACATGGAACAGTTTCTTTGCTAGTATATAGCACATCCATGTACATTCACTATTCAGTAGTATTGCACAACTCTATTAGTACACATTATTAATTATCCCAACGAACGAAGTTCGGTAGGGATATAGTGAAGCCCTCCGTCTGTCTGTCAGTCTGTCAGTCTGTCAGTCTGTCAGTCTGTCAGTCCGTCAGTCTGTCAGTCCGTCAGTCAGTCCGTCCGTCCGTCCGTCCGGAAGATAACTCAAATATTAGTAGATGGATTTTCTTCATATTTGGTGGAAAGATGTATATTGATGAATAGTTTTACGCAAGATGGCCGCCGCTTTTAAAATGTCGGGACTTTTTCGCAAAAATCATAAATTTTTCATTCTAAACCAAAGTAATTAATATTATTGTTTGAAATTTTGGTAGTATATTCGCAACATCTATCTATTTCACATATATTCCGTGTTTTTCATCCTGACCCCCAGGGGCTATGTATGGGGGGTCAGGAAAACAGAAATTTTCGCTAATTTTTAGATCTTTCTGAAGTATAGCTTTATTATACTCAAATGAAAGGCAATTAAGAGTAGATTGCAAATATTGTATCTTTTTTCTGATTCGAGCCTTGTAAAATTCAAAATGGCCGTCTAATGTACGATTTCGCAATCATTTTTCGATCCCTTCAAAGTATGGCTATATTATACTCAAATTGAAGGAATTTTGGAGTAGATCACAATTATGCTATTATTTTTCAGATTTGTACCTCAGAAAATTCAAAATGGCTGCTTTGCAGGAATTCGCAATTCTAAAATCTAAATTTTTCAATTTTAACCAAAGTAATGAGTATAATTGATTGGAATTCGGTAATTGATATTTTGTTCGTTGGGATTTGCTACTCCGCGGAGTTGCCATTATCTAGTTTATTTAAGTGCTACTCAAGTTTTACATCTAGATATTCCTTTCAATGAGTGGCTACTAAAATGAATAAATGACATGTGCATACTCCTTTCAGTGGATTGCTACTCAAGTCAAATACATGTACATACTCCTTTCAGTGGTTGACTTCTCAAGTTAATGACATGTACATACTCCTTTCAGTGGATTGCTACTCAAGTCAAATACATGTACATACTCCTTTCAGTGGGTGGGTACTCAAGTCAAATACATGTACATATTCCTTTCAGTGCGTCAGGCTATTCAAGTTAATGACATGTCCTTTCAGTGGGTGGGTGCTCAAGTCAAATACATAGGGGTTATGCACTGGGAGGTTTTGGATACAGGGAATATCCCGAGGGATATACAATATATCTTCCCGAGGGATATTCCATGTATCCAAACCGACCGTGCATAACTGGTGTATCTCATACTTGAGTTGGTTTAGGGTAGATATAACCTTTTCCACCTTTTTCAAATGACAAGATATTATATTTAATATTTTCGTAATATTCTTTTCGTTCAATACAACGAAATTGTAACATTTAAACTTAAAAAAATTAAATTTTAAAATTAAGTGGGTGGCTACTCCCATTAATGACATGTACATCCTTGCTGTGTGTGGCTACTCAAGTTAATGATAATCTACATCTTCCTTTCAGTGGGTGGCTACTCCCATTAATGACATGTACATCCTTGCTGTGTGTGGCTACTCAAGTTAATGATAATCTACATCTTCCTTTCAGTGGGTGGCTACTCCCGTTAATGACATGTATGCTGATGCCGTCCTCACTGCTGTTCTCAAGGCAGAGACTGACCTTTATGCACAGAAAGGGATGAAAGGTGAAATGCATGTATTTACAGATATATATATGCCAAAGTAATGGCAAAAGCAAGGTTCCCTTTGATTCACAGATTATCAGCTTCTGACACAGATACATTTAATTTATAGGCTATTTAATTTTTAATACTCGAAATTTTTTCAAAGCGTTGGTAAACAATTTTGAAAACCATGTTTCTTAATCTTATTCTAAATTTAGATTTCAAATATTCAATCACTTTGATTTAATTTTGAATATTTCTTGATGTAAATTAAGATTATTTCTACTTGCTTCTAGTCTATTGGCTGTTAGCTTTCAAAATACAGGGTCAGATGAGCTTACTCATAATTGCTTGAGCAATAGGGCAGTAAGCGTATCAATAGTCACCTAGAATATCTTATATTTGTCTATCTGACATGTGAACATTGAGCCCTCTGTTCCATATTTCAGTTTTGCCAAGCCCAGTGACAGTGGACAAGATCCACTTTAGGGAATGCCTGATGGAGATGCTTGGGGAGATGTTTGGTAAAGAATGTATCAACAAACTCATCAAGGGAGATAAGATGACTCTCAACATTGACAACAAAACAGCAGTGATATATCTCAATAGTCTTGTAAGTTCTGGAATAGTTGCTTTCTTCAAAATGTAACTTGCCTCTTCCAGATGACAACAATTCAAAGAAAACCATTTTCTTCTTAATAACATGTTAGAGAGTATATTAGGTATCAAATTCAAGCTGATTTACTCATGTTGACTATCTTATATTTTGGTAGCCATTTTAGAAGTTCAAATAAAGAATGAAAACGGATATTTTTATTCCTTTAAAAAGTTGAGCTTTTAAGAAGATATGCTTGACATAGAGTGGTATGAGCGAGATATTATAAAATTGACAATATATTAGAAAGTTACTCTTCAACTCATCTCTTCTTTGTTTCCCCTTAAGTTGCACGAGTTTAAGTTTGCATGATTCATCGGCCGGTGCCTGGCCAATTGAGTATTTTGTTCCAAATAGTATTAAGTTTTGAAAAATACTCTATAACCAATTAACTATACTGCTTTTACAAACAGATAAAACAAATGCAAACATTGATTTTAACCAGTTAGGTGCCAGAAGTAGATTTAATGATAAACTAATATTTGTTTAATTGTGTATTTTATTAGGAAGTAAAGTGTGAGGAAGATGACACTTTACAACAGATGATCCACACAGCAGTCACCAAACTACACCAGTCTATAACACCTGTAAAGACTTGATAGTTTGCCTGGAGATTTGATAGTTTGCCTGGGGATTTGATTGTTTACCTGTAGACTTGAGTGTTCGCCTGTAAAGACTTGATAGTTTGCCTCGAGATTTGATTGTTTACCTGTAGACTTGAGTGTTCGCCTGTAAAGACTTGATAGTTTGCCTGGAGATTTGATTGTTTGCCTGTAGACTTGAGTGTTCGCCTGTAAAGACTTGATAGTTTGCCTGGAGATTTGATTGTTTGCCTGTAGACTTGAGTGTTCGCCTGTAAAGACTTGATAGTTTGCCTGGAGATTTGATTGTTTGCCTGGAGATTTGATTGTTTGCCTGTAAAGACTTGATAGTTTGCCTGGAGATTTGATTGTTTACCTGTAGACTTGAGTGTTCGCCTGTGAAGACTTGATAGTTGGCCTGGAGATTTGATTGTTTGACTGTAGGCTTGAGTGTTCGCCTGTGAAGACTTGATAGTTTGCCTCGAGATTTGATTGTTTGCCTGTAGACTTGAGTGTTCGCCTGTGAAGACTTGATAGTTGGCCTGGAGATTTGATTGTTCGCCTGTAGACTTGAGTGTTCGCCTGTAAAGACTTGATCGTTCCCGACATGTGTAAAGACTTGATTGTTTATTTAAGTACAAAATGTAATTTTTAAATAAACTTATAAAAATTAAATATTTTGTAGTTTGTTTGGTTTTATATGAGATCTTATAGGCTATTAAGTAAACATGAAACTTGCACCTGTATTTGAACATTCACATGCAGTAGTTGGAAGCATAATTATATTATGACAATTTGGTTAAAAATAATAGTGAATACTTGAAAGCATGACAAATCACTCCCTTGTTCTGAAAAGGCTAGTAGGTAGCCATTTTGAAGTGTCAGTCATTTCATATGTCATCTTCCATAACGTTCTACTATATATTGTATGGATTCATCGAGCAGTTTGGAGAATATTATTACCAGAAAACCGCTACAGACAAAGATAGTTGTGAACACAGAACATATTCATTTGACACCCTGTAGTACGCACACTCATAAAATAGCTAGTGTTGATGTATGATTCATTGTTTGCACGAAAATAGTCATCTAAGAGGGGTTCTTCCCAGCCTATCGTTTGTTGATCTTTCAGAAAAGGGATTGTTACCAGCCGCATGTTAGTTTTATAAAGAAAGGGGGGCTCAGCGCGAATGGAAGTTCGCATGAGGTCCACAAACCCCCTCTCACTATGCCCATGCATCTAGAGTTGTAAATGTGGACAATATCTTTGAAATGGCTCCAAAGATAAAAGTTTGGAGATTCATATTGGGTGATTTTTCCGCATTTGGGGCATGTTTTTTAAAATGGCCAGAAACTCGTGACCATAAAAAGTAGTCCAATGAAACTTAGTAGAATGAAAGAACTTTGAACAAGGTTTAATATGGGTTCAAATCCATAGGAAATTAACATTTGAAATATGTTGACACTTTGACACAACCTCACTGATCCACAGCTGGATGACTCTAACTGCAGTTTGTATCATTCAAGATGGTGGCCAAAATTCTTTCGTTTTCTATGAACTTCCTATTTCAGCTTAACTAAGTTGAATCTGGATTCCAAATATTTCGCCATGCAAACTAATGAAGCCATGACTGTAAACAGGCACAAGAAAATGTTAAAACACCTGCGATATTGGAGAAATTTAAAGAAAATGGCCTCACTTAGAATGACTCTAACTGAGCTTGCTCATGACATAGGAATGCCACTAACTTAAATGGTGGATGACACTAACTCTATGGGATGGATACATGCAAGGTCATCCTAGTTAGTGTCATCAATGGTGAATATCAGGTTTGAGTTAGTGTATCATTAACTTCAGTTAGAGTCATTCTAAGGGAAGCTGTTTTCTTTAAAATTCTCTATAATCGCAGGTGTATGGACATTTTCTCCTGGCTGTTTACATACAATTGCTACTTTATTAGTTTGCATGGCGAAACATTTGGAATCCAGATTCAACTTAGTTCAGCCGAAATTGTTGGTTTATCAAAAATGAATTTTGGCCACCATCTTGAATGATACTAACTGCAGTTAGTCATCCAGTTGAGGAACAGTGAACATCTACAATTTTGTAGTTTGTTGGTAAGTTCAGTCCAGGATGCCTTTCCGAATAAGCTTTACTATTTTTGTAGAAGGTTCTATCTTGCACGCTTGCACCTACCTTAAGCAATACATTCAAGGCAGCATGGGTTCTGGACCATAGTGGTAATTTTCAAGATGGCCTTTTTGAAACTAAAATTTTTTGCTGAAGTACCTCAATATGTCAATGACCGGATGACTTGAGGTCATTTACTGTTTACAAAAACACAATAGGGTGTCTTTCAATACAATAGGATTACTAACTATTTATGCACGACTCTCAAATCAAATGAAGTCTAGCTAGGACACACTGAAGTTTATATATTGACAAGTCAAATTAAGTATATCCACAAAACTTAAGATTTAAATCAAGGTTTTGTAAGAAATATGTGGAAATTACTCCAACTCAAGTAAAAAAAAAATCAATCCTTTTACTATATTATTTTTGTGACTTGTTGAAAAATATAACCAGAACAACGGCAACACCAAAGCGTTGCGAATCCCATCGAACATTTTTCAAAACGGGCACCTTCTACCAAAAGTGTCATTAGACAGTGTGCCATGCTTATAATATTCACATACCAAATATGAACAAAATCGCTCTACTACTTTTCGAGTTATAGTAAAATACGTTAAAATGGTGGCCATTTTGAAAAATGGCCGCCTTCTACCAAAAGTCTCATTAGACAGTGTGCCATGCTTATAGTATTAACATACCAAATATGAACAAAATCGCTCCACTACTTTTCGAGCTATAGTAAAATACGAGAATGGCGGCCATTTTGAAAAATGGCCCCTTCTACCAAAAGTGTCATTAGACAGTGTGCCATGCTTACAGTATTCACATACCGAATATGAACAAAATCGCTCCACTACATTTCGAGTTATAGTAAAATACGTTAAAATGGCGGCCATTTTGAAAAATGACCGCCCTCTACCAAAAGTGTCATTAGACAGTGTGCCATGCTTGTACGTATTCACATACCAAATATGAACAAAATCGCTCCACTACTTTTGGAGTTTTAGTAAAATAAGTTAAAATGGCAGCCATTTTTCAAAATGGCCACCTTCTACCAAAAGTGTCATTAGACAGTGTGCCATGCTTATAGTATTCACATACCAAATATGAACAAAATCACTCCACTACTTTTCGAGTTACAGCAAAAATCGTAAAATAACGAGTAAAGGCCGCCATTTTTCAAGATGGCTGACATGTGCTTTTTTAATATCTACATTTCTAGCTTTATTAATGTCCTATATAATTTTTTTTACATTTAAAACATATTACAGTTTTACATATTGCACCTAAATAACTGTAAAATCGGCACTAAAATGGCCGCCATTTTTAAATGAGTGGCCATTTTGAAAATCGGCTTTCGAGCAGAACTTCTACCCCCATAGGGTATATGTGTCCAAATATGAATAAAATCGGACCAACGGTATTTGAGTTATTGCCCGGACGGAGGCGTTCCCTATATCCCTCCGAACTTTGTTCGATGGGATAATTAGTAGACATATTGCATAAAAATAATTCTGGAATTCCATTTTACCCTTTTCAATACTAAGTTATAGGTACACTTATGGGTATCATGGGTCCTTTGGATTTAGCACAATGCCAAGAGAAAATCTGCGGGAGATCACTGCAATATTCTTTGTGGGACAAAAATGAGCTAGGGTGCTCGATCAAATAATTACTTTTCAAGACATAGATGCTGACAAGACTCTTTTTGTAGTAGGATCAGTAGCTCAATAATTATTTCTCAAGATGGTCACTCAATCAAAAGAAATTCAAATTCTAAAGTGAGGACTGTGCGGTCATTTCAGAAAAGATGAGACAAATCATACCCAATTCAAAGCGTCTTGTTATTCTTTATGTTTCTGATCAGTAATGAACAATATAAAGCAATTCTGCATTGATGAGAGGTCAAAATAGTGATATTTTGAAATGTGACGTCAGCATTACAATGATATTTCATTTGGAACCAGAGACGTTATTTCATATTGAAGAGTATTTATCGAGCTTGAACTGATCCTCCTAACTACAAAAGAATTTTGCCACCATCTATGATCCTAGATGCCATTGATTGACTGGATAACTTATAGACAAAGAAACTGAAGCATTATATGATATAGAGTTCAGCCCATTTATTTTCACTTTGTACATTCTCAATATATTTTATTGTCTTTCTATGCAACCAGGACACAAGCTCCACCAACTTTCTTGATTTGTTCCTCAGCTCTGCGACTGAAGAATTTGGCTTTTACAATAACGGGCTGTTTTGGAAGGACTCCTTTGCCAAGAACCTTGAAGTAACCCTGAAAACAGAAAGGTACAATTATACATGTATGGTGTACTGACTAAGCTACACACGGCATTAACATGACAAAAAACCACCTAGTTGCTCACAATAGTTCAATCTTAAGTCAGATTTGAATTTCTGAAAACTTGTAGATGATTTTGAAAAAAAATAAAATAAATTGGTCAATTTGAAGCAAGTTAAAAAAAGACCTTTTTTCACCCTGAGGTCATTGAAGGTGAGATCTCAAATCTAAAGTCAGATTTGAACTTCTGAGAACTTGTAGATGATTTTGAAAAAAATTGGTCAATTTGAACCAAGTTGAAAAAATACCTTTTTGACCTTTTTTGACCTTGAGAATGTCATTGAAGGTCAAATCTATGGTAAGATTTGAACTGTTGAGAACTTGCAGATGATTTGAAAAAAAAATTGGTCAAAATGAAGCAAGATGAAAAGACCCTTTTGACCTTGAGAATGTCATTGAAGGTCAAATCTGTTTTGACCTTGAGAATGTCATTGAAGGTCAAATCTATAGTCAGATTTGAACTGTTGAGAACAAAAAACAAAAAAATTTGGTCAATTTACTATTTATCACCAAAATGGGGATAGATTTTTAGATTACAATTTGTTATCTCATATAAACATGTAAGGTCATGTGGAGGACTTGGGTTAAACAACATGGCAGACAAAAGTTTTCCCAAAACTTGAATAATAAATAGATTTAGTGAATAACTATACTGTACGCCCGGTATTATTCGCGAGCTTTAATTTCGCGAATTTTGCGAAAACACAGTTTCGCGGCTATTAAATTTCGCGAATTTCACAAGTTTGAAATTCATTACTACTAGTATTCCAGGAATTCTCGAGCTACTCGTGTGTAAATTAAGTTAGATGTACAGTAATTGCACTTACCTGATGTAATATTTGGATGAGATTTACAATAACTGGGATCTTTATCATCGGCAAGCTGCATATCAACCTCTATTGCATCGTCATTTTTAATATTAAAGCAAAAGTGTGTGGCTCACATAATAACTTTACCGTACTTCATACTGTATTTTATCGTATTCGGGGATTCCCCAGTATATGATGTCCAATCAAATTGCAGGCTACGATCACGTGAACAATCCCAGGATTTAATTGGCAATTTCGCAACGATAATTTTTTGCGATTTTAACACCATCGCGAAAAGCACGAAAGTTAATCGCACGCGAATAATACCGGGCGTACAGTAGTATCAATACATAATCAACATCCAGAAATGATATGAGGTTTGAATTTTTGCAGAATCCTACATCACTTTTAGGCAATATAATAGATTCTGACTATGTTTACTACAGGCTACAACATACCCAACATAATAGCTATATAACACAATATATATCATAACATGCCTTCTCTAGCAAATACAGACATACGAGCTTCCCCACTAATCAACTGCATATTTAAAATGCACTTACTGCTCTAACACAGTCAATGACTGGAGCTGGGCCATTTGGCTTCTTCTTGTAATGTTCCCTGGTCTGTTCTGACACCAGAGACCACAGTTTGTCTAGATTCAGTGCTGGCTTGAAGTACTTATTGTTGGTCAAGTGAAAGTGGCGCATACCAACTTTACCAAAGTAACCAGGATGGCTGAAGTAAAAATGACATTGAAATCTATATAGTTTTTCTAATTAATAGTCGGTGAACCTATTTGTAATTCTAAAGACTCCCGTCAACATACAAACAAAATGTTATTCTTTTAAATGCTAGATGCATGTGAGATTCACAAAGTTAAATACCCTGAATTAAAATGAAAAAAAAAACTAAAATTATATGAAGCTGCCAACTTGTTGGTTTATCTTTCCACCATACCAAATATGGAGGAAATTAGTCTGCTAGTTATTCTTGAGACTTACAGGGCTTTAACATAGAATGGGATAAAACATTTTTATTTTAAATGATACAATAATTGGACTTACTATTTATCCCAGTTGATTCTGTGATGATGCTGACCACCGGCATTACCACGGCCACCTGGATGCTTGCGGTGTTTGCCTGAAACACAAATTATAAGATGAAGGATCAAGTGGAAAATCATGTGAAATCTAGAGCTGGCAGCAAATGTTGGAATGGTCGATTGTCAGTCGAATGCTCTCTGCGACACCCATGTCGACACAACGCCTCTTGATCGACAGTCGGAACTCACAACATAAGCTATTTCCCTATGAATTAAAATCTTTGTTACTACCTGCTGTATGGTGTATTTTAGTGAAGTTTTACCGCCTACATTTTCAAATTTTCTTTTTTGTTTTGATCGACTTCCTGCTCTCGAATAAGGTCTCGGGGCCCCTCGAGATTTACCCTCGAGATTTATTTTCAATGGCTGCCCGGAAATAACAACAGAAATCGTAGTTTTATGTCTATTTATTGCTTTTTCGTCAAAGTTAAATATAAAACATACAACTGAGGATGACTATTGTGCATCGTATTGCTAATTACAAGCCTAGAAAATCTAAAATTCAGACGAATTTTCTTCAATTTTTTTTTCATTTTTCGAATATCATTGGACCCGACAATGTCGATATCGTTGTCGATCGAGAGCTCCGACATGTCGACATTAAAATCCTATTCGATGCCAGCTCTAGTGAAATCTCCACAAGAACTAGTACAATAATAACAATAATAATGAACAGTTAAGTTTATATCATTATAAAGAAAGATAATCAGTGATTCAACCTTTTCAGGTGACTGCGCACAGTTTAGTTATAAACTACCCTCTGCCTAGTATAGACTATATTACACAGTTTAGCAGTTCCGCCCCCAAAGACCGTTGCTTGTAACAGCCTGGGTCGTAAATTATTTCAAACCTACAATGCTGACCTCTTCTCAACCAATCAGTGAACTGGAAGGAACACATGCTATATGCAAAAAATACCAAAGTGCAGTCTGACCTTATATCATTGTACCACCATTACAGAACATCCAGATTAAAAATTCAAAAGTCAGATGTACACATGACTTTAAGAGATTACAAATAATAAACGGACACTTACCTACCCTACCATGACCGTGACTGACATGACCACGCAACTTCCTGGTCTTCTTTGCTCTGGTTGTCTGCAAGTAAAAGTCACATAATCAAATAGAATCTACACTTTTTAATGCAAAACTTGCAACATATTCACAGATGGAGATAGTAATGGTGAACTCTTGCAATATCACCTGTTATAATGAAAATTTACCCTACAGCCCATTTCACTGTTTTATTGACTCAGTAAAACCTAAAAAATAAGAAATCATAGAAGATCAAATCAAATAAGATTATTATGCAATATTATAACATATGAAAAAAATACATTCCTATTGTACATAGATGATATTTGTTTATCTTGGATTGCTTCTAGTTTGGCTAATAAAGTGTGTGTCCTCTCTGTCCTTCATATATAATCTACAGCCCATTTCACTGTTTTATTTTGTCAGTAGAACCCCAAAAATAAGAAATCGGGAGACCATTGTGCAATAATATATGGCAAAGTATATTCATATTGAATGACATTTTTATATTTCAGATCATTTAGTTTTTGTGCAATAAGCCTATGCCCTCTTGTAATTCATGTTAATGTTTTTTGCAATTTTGAAAAGTAAACCACTGAATATTCTAGTTATTCAAACATTCTGAAGAATTATCAACCCTCAATTAATAGTCTAGGTACACTAATGCATCTTTTGTGCAAGAATGAAAGATGTAGATAATGTGTGGAATGGGTTGTTTATCTGAAAATAGCACATGGTCATAAATTTCATCAAAGTGTCTGGAAACTGAAAGAAAAGTTGGAAAAATAGAAAGTGTGAAATATCAGAATTTCCTGGAGTTCCCATTGAACTCCTACTAGATATTCTAAAAGAAGACAATGTAATGATACTTGCCCGAAAAAAAAGCAAGGAAACTGACACATGCCTTCACTCTTTATTTTGTACCAGAAAATAACATGTGCAGGTATGGCAATTTTTTACCAAAATGTTACTTTCCAGCTGTACCTTAATCTTTTTGAAAATACTATGGCGAGAAGCTTCAAAATATAGGAGGCCACATACTTTATTAGCTCTTAAAACCTTGGTGTTCGACAATCAAAAAATCCATTCATTCTCTCATTTGGCCTTATTTTTAAGTTTTCCCTCCATATATAATAAGTTTGGCCAATGTCTTATCTAGCGCCACCTACCTTTTGTCAGTTCATCAAAGGAAATTGAATAGAAATCCCCTTCTCCCATATCATGCAAATCATTCTGACGTCATTTAGAACAGAATGGTTTCCCCGAAATGGAGGGAGATTCCATGAATTTTGTGAAGAGTGTGAACTTCTATGAACTCTAACGTCATTCAGACAGAGGGCAAGAGAAGATTTTCTGAAGAAAATGACTGAGTTTCTTACAGCATTTGGATCCAATTTCGAGTATCACTATTACTGACTATGGAATGGACACGCATTTGACTTAAAAAAATAAGGCAAGTACATATGAGTAAGTAGACCAAATGATTCAATTTTTTAAAAATTGATTTTTTGACTGTCAGACAGGAAGGTTTTTAGAGTATAGAAGCAATCCAATATATACAAATGTCATTTATGTTCAGTAGAAATATATTTTCCATATATTATTGCACAATGATCTTTTGATTTCTTATTTTTAGGTTTTACTGACGAAATAAAACAATGAAATGGGCTGTACAAATATATGAGTTCTAACGTTTTTGCAAAAAAATGCAAAACTCAACATGTTTCAGATATCATTTTATGGATAATTGTAGTAATTTGGGGAAATTAAAACACTTAAACGAAAAATAAGTAATATTAGATCTAGCCTGTAGGCCTAAATCCAAATATAAAATTTTCAAAATCACACCAATGCTTTCCCAGATGACAAAAAAACATACCCCCGAAATCTGCCGAGTGTACTTTCAAGGAAACAACCCCCTTTCTACAAATTAGACGCAATACATCAAATCTATGTATTGTAATATTCCTCCTTCCAGAATAATTGGTACTTAGAAGTATGAAAAAATAATTTTTTCAATTTTTTTGAGACAGGCTAAACTACAAAGTCAAAGTTCAGTAACAACAAATCCAAAATGACCAACCATATCTCAGAAAAATATGCTAAATAAGCATGTGTTTGACATAAGCATGCCAGAATACATGTCAAAACAGCAATAGAGGTGATGTTGATGGATGTTTACATTCTTTCTCGCTGTAGAGAAAAATTACCCACCATATTGGATCGTTGGTGAAAAAGAGGCTGATACCGGAAATTCCCGAACAAAACCGGAAACTGACGAATAAACAGGAAGCAAGACTTAGTTTTTAAAGTTCTTGTTTATATTTGAATAATGACAAATAAACCTTATAGTATTATGCCCAAATGTTATACTGACGTGTTGCCAGTTCAATAACCCAATTTTGAATGCAAAAAGAATCAAACAAGGTAAGTGTAAAGATCTAGTCTAAAGTTCAGTTTTGAGTGAAATTTAGTTTCAGCCTACCATGTACAGTTGGGGACAAATAAATGACAGGTGGATTTGCTGAAGTGAGGATTTCCCATGTTAAAAATAAGAGAATTTACAAGAGGCCATAAATCAGTGGATGAGATTATACAAAATGTAAAATATACAAATTTTAAGGTACAGCTGGAAAGTAACATTTTGGTAAAAATTTGCTATACCTGCACATGTTATTTTCTGGTACAAAATAAAGTATGAAGGCATGTGTCAATTTCCTTGCTTTTTTCAGGAAAGTATCATTACATTGTCTTCTTTTAGAATATCTGGTAGGGGTTCAATGGAAACTCCAGGAAATTCTGATATTTCACACTTTCTATTTTTCCAAATTTTCTTTCAAAATTTCCAGACAACACAGGAGCTACCATTGACCTGTTTCCAGATATTATAAAAGAAAACAGTGTAATGATACTTTCCTGAAAAAAGAAAGGAAATACACACATGACTTCATACTTAATTCTGTACCAGAAAATAACATGTGCAGGTATAGCAATTTTTTACCAAAATGTTACTTTCCAGCTGAACCTTAAGGGATATGTATCTAGACAATATTAGTTCAACGTCGTTAAACTCAAACCACTTTTCCTCGCTAATATGACACTGATACTTAACAATAATATAAAACCACATTTTATCAGGCGATTTCACATAATATTATTGTGTTAAATGTTCATTTTTAATCGTAAAATGAGTCTTATTCTTACCAATTTATGAGACGAATATTTCAACCGGCAATGTCTGTCTGTGCGTCGCCAAAGTAAACTTGGTCAGCGAAACGAAATTGTTCTTCAATATTGATATTTATTATAACCATCCAGTATGACACGAATCTTTGCTTTATTCAAACAGCGCGTGTATTCACCCAAGTTTACTCTATTGTTATTTATAAAAACTTTAAAAAGCAATACTCGCAACATTATTGATGCATTTGATTACTGGTAATTTCAGCTCAAAGAAATATAGATGTCATTGATTGTGCTAGATTGTGATTGTGTTGAATAATTGTGCCTAAATATTAAATTATGGTAATTGTTCATGGTTTTCTGCTTGCAAAAACGTACCTAGGAATACACTCAATTGTTTATAACTGGGATCATGTATTTTACTCAGCATACATGCTTTGTAACAATTGTTACATTTTAATAACTTCAATGGGGTGATGTATTGTGATAAGATTACATGTACAGTGATCTCCCCATGTCACTTTTACCGGGGGCTCCCCCTACTTGAAACCAAAGGCCCCCCAGTTGGCATCTGCATTTCAACTTCTGATTTAAAGAATGAGTGAAGTAAGCACCTACACTGAGATATTGTGAGCGTAGCGAGTGCTGATTTTTTTAGACTTGAAATCTTGCACCCAGTTGAAAAATTTTTTGGGGAGAACACTGATGTATAAGCATGGTTGTTTTATTCCTAGCTCTTAAATGTATGATGTTCTTAATAAAATTAAACAGAAGTTTTGTTTATGCTATTTTATAAAACATATTTTTCTACAATGATATTTCATTTACTCAATGAGAGAAAAGTTAAACACATGTGTTTTATCACGATATTGGAGCAAGTAAATGTACTTTTAACCTATACTTCACACCTGATTTATCTCGATACCTCCAAATCTGATTTTTTCAAATCAACACTTTTCAGCTTTTTTCGATCTCATTACTCTAATGTTAAAAAACCTTACTTGATCGTCATTAAACATTCAGTCAAAATGATGTCATACTATCTAGTATTTGAAATGTACATGTAAAAGTACATCAAGAAATATTGCTTCAAAGTCAATTTTGAAAAATTTTTGTTTTGGAAAATGTAAATGCCACTACGGGGAGATTCAACATATAAAGTCACAAAAAGTGAAATATGTTTTCTTGTATTGGACAGATAATATTTTCTTTTACATTATTTTAATTTGCATAACTATGTCATGCTATGTGACCTGAATGAGCCACCTGGTGGTGAAACTGGTAACTACCTACTCGCATCTGAGTTATTACAATGGGAAATCACTGACTTTCTGGGAGAGAAAACTTTGGCACAATATATATTTAAACATGTTAAGAAAAATATCTAATTATTCAGTATCACATGCTTGCGTCTGTCCAAAGATGTTGAAAGCTTTAGCATTTTAGCCAGAAATTTACCATAATTCTGAAAATAAGACAGGAAAAAAAGTAGGAAACTTAATCATGTTTATCGCAAGCCTCCTACAGTATTACAATATTTTGTACTTATATATAGGATAACCGGGGTTCGTTTCGTTTTATGAACTTGTTTCGTTCAGTGTTGCTAACGGCGGTTTATTCCTGAAAGGATTTGCCATTTCGATGTTACCGGAACCAGAACAGAGTTTTCTAAACTAAGAAAAAGCCTTCTCCCAACATTTTCATAATTATACATCGATGAGGTTACAAGGGGGTATGTGATGATTTGTATTTATTCATAAGGTATGTATGCATGCGTTGATCACATTATTTCTGTAACGATACCATCTTATTACGGTTTAATTAGTTCCGCATGTCGAAACCTGCTGAACGATTAAATGATCGCATCAAGGGCAAAATCATCATGGAAGTTAGACCTAGCCGGGGCCATAAGACATGTCAGATAAGAAACGAGGCCCAGGCTAGGTCTAATGTTGTTGGACTAGACAATATTGGAAATTATGGGCTTTCAGACCACCATAATTAGGAAATGGTGATCGAAAATCGACCTGTCATTTATTTTTGTCCCCAACTGTAGTCCAACAACATTAGACCTAGCCTGGGCCTCGTTTCTTATCTGACATGTGTTATGGCCCGGCTAGGTCTAACCTCCATGACCATTTTGCCTTTGATGCGTCAATTTAATCGTTCAGCATGTTTCGACAAGCGGAACTAATTGAACCCTGAAAACATGGCAATATTACACAAAGAATGTGATTCAAGCATGCATACATACCTTATAAACACATACGCCCCGTCCCGTATCCCCCTTAGACCCTATTGATGCATAATTACGAAAATATTGGAGACAGGTTTGGAATATGACGAAAATGTCGGTCAGTTTCGGTAACATCGAAATTTCAAATCGTTTCAGGAATTAACCGGCACTGCATTAACGAACAGTTGGTTTGCAATTAATAACTATTTTGCGTGTATAAACGCGCTATATAAATTAATCAAAGATACATGTTATCCTCAAAATTGATCTTTTTATCCCGAGTAATCGCGATAATAATTATCAATCTATTTGACAACAGTTTCGTTTCGCTGGTAGTTTAATTTTACGATCCGGGACACTCAGACGAACAGACACAATGACGGACATGCGGAACTGTCACTTTAGAGATTGGTAAGTGTAGCCTCATTTTACTCGTATAAATGAACATTTAACACAATAATATTGTGTTAAATCGCTTGATGTTATGTGTTTTTATATTATTGTCAAGTATCAGTTGCACGTTATCGCGGAAAAATGGTTTCGATGGTATCGAACTTGCATCAAAGGAAAGAATAGTAAGGAGGTTAAACTCAATAATGGCCCCAAGAAAATTCCTAATAATAAAGAACGCCGTTATTGAGTTTAACGACGTTGAACTACCTACCATGGGGTCCATGGGTTCTTTCTTGAAGGTCCATGGTTTTACTATACTAGATCTAGGCCGAGATCTAGAAGTTTTCAGTTAGTCTGACTCTGTAGAGTTCTAAAATTTGCTAGACCTAATAACTCAGATGTGAGTAGGTAGTTACTTACCTTATTCTTCGGCCACTGTGTGGCCTTACGCTACAGGGCTGTCAACTTGGGACATCTAACATAAGTGACGAAACAAATGCGTGATATTATATACACATATTTTGGACCAAATGCGTGACATAAACGGCAATGGCGTGCAAAGACCGAACGGAATGCGTTCGCTCTTTTTTCGCTATTCGGATTTTTATCGTATTGGCATTTCATAAAAAACGATTTTTAAAAACATCAACATAATGCATGATTTGCGTGAAATTAGATCATTCACGCTAAATTGATGCGGGATTTCTATTTTTCAGCAAATGCCTGACAATCACGCCAAATGTGGAGGGTTGACAGGGCTGCGCTATCATCAAGCCCTGGTTGTTTTGTTGCTTTTTACGCTATCCCGTGTGGACTGTTGCTATAAATTAACTAAAATGTTAAGTTAGTTCATATGACCATCTACATCGGCTTTTATTATCTCAACGAACGAAGTTCGTTAGGGATATAGTGAAGCCCTCCGTCCGTCCGTCTGTCCGTCCGTCCGTCTGTCCGTCCGTCCGTCTGTCCGTCCGTCTGTCCGTCAGTCAGTCAGTCAGTCAGTCCGTCCGTCTGTCCGGAAGATAACTCAAATACTAGTTGACAGATTTTCTTCATATTTAGTGGAAAGATGTATATTGGTGAATAGTTTTACGCAAAAAAAGAATTTTTTCAAGATGGCTACCGCTTTAAAAATGACGGGACTTTTTCGCAAAAATCATAAATTTTTCATTCTAAACCAAAGTAATTAATATTATTGTTTGAAATTTTGGTAGTGCATTCACAACATTTATCTATTTCACATATATTCCTTGTTTTTCATCCTGACCCCCAGGGGCCATGTATGGGGGGACAGGAAAACAGAAATTTTCGCTAATTTTTAGATCTTTCTGAAGTATAGCTTTATTATACTCAAATGAAAGGCAATTAAGAGTAGATTGCAAATATTGTATCTTTTTTCTGATTCGAGCCTCGTAAAATTCAAAATGGCCGTCAAATGTACGATTTCGCAATAATTTTTCGATCCCTTCAAAGTATGTCTATATTATACTCAAATTGAAGGAATTTTGGAGTAGATCACAATTATGGTATTATTTTTCAGATTTGTATCTCAGAAAATTCAAAATGGCTGCTTTGCAGGAATTCGCAATTCTAAAATCTAATTTTTTCATTTTCAACCAAAGTAATGAGTATAATTGATTGGAATTCGGTAATTGATATTTTGTTCGTTGGGATTTGCTACTCCGCGGAGTTGCCGTTATCTAGTTTAGTCTTTTCTATCTAAGAGCTATCTTTTGAAAAAGATCTTTCGGTAAAAACGGCCATTTTGTTTTTCGCTTAAAAGCGAGATAAAGATCAACTTCAACAAATGTTTTTATAAATGGCAGACCAAATGATTTTCAATATCTTCTAAAGGACAGTGTCCATTTGAATTCTAATTGATGAAATATTCTCATTACGATTTTTAGAATAACATCTAAAACTTTTTTTTACTCCAGAGCATTTTCACTAGTGCACGGTGGTACACATGCCATGTCTTCTAGCCAAGTAATTTGGCTAGAGACTGGAGTAGTTACAGCGCTTGCATTAGGTTAGAAAATTTGTGAGTCCCAAGGACGCAATTTTTTTAAAAAAGTGTGTCCTTTGAAAAAAAAGTGTGTCCCTTATTTTTCAGTTTTTAATTTCTTGCCGCGAATTTAAAACGGAAGTAAACGTTAGGTACGGACTGAATAAATGCATGTTCGTTCATTCGAAAATGAATACATTCTATTTCATGAATAACCTAATATTTGTTTCTGAATAGGAAAAACTGTGGCGTGTCATGGTTTCAAATCTAAAAATAAACAAAGTCGAAAAAATTCGAGAGAATCATGATTATTTGTAAATATTCAACATGTTGAGCCTTATTTACGATTCAAATAAAGGTGAGAGATCATAATTATTTGATTTTGTTAGGTATCATTGTAAACACATTGTAGTATTGACCTAAAAAAAATTTGCGTCCAAAAAACGGAAATATTTTCAATTTTTGCGTCCTCCAAATTATTTTTGAGTCCTTAACATGTACGGGACGCCGTTAATGCAAGCCCTGAGTTACCAGTTTCACCGCCAGGGCTCGTTCGGGTCAGATAGCATGGCGGGTATAGTAGAAAGTTCCCTTTAATTTAAATATTTATATGTTTTAGTAGTTCAATTTTCATATCACCTTTATTTATCTAATAGTTATGCAAATTAAAATATGTCCAGTAAAAGAAAATGTTACCTGTTCAATACCATCCTCCTAAGCTATAACCAATTTGGAAGCCCCCGATAAAACTGAATCACGTGATCTAATTATGCGCCAATGATTTACATATGATTGCTGTCGCAATGTTGCGACAGCGAATCAAATTGCGAGTTCTGAAGGTGCCATGATACTTAACAGGAAATGACGAAACAGGAAGTGACAAAAAATTTTGCATTTTTAGACACTTTTTAACAAAGATAACAGAGTTCTGTTTTGACCTCCAGTCAATTCAACTAGTTCCTCATACCATTAACAGGTCCAGGATCACAATGTTCATGGTCAGAATGACCCTAAACATGATGAAATAACCTTTTCAGCCCTTTGAAAATGTGACTGAAAAATAGCTAAAAGTAGGAGCTAGGGAACGTCGCTGAACAGAATCTTTTGAATTTTGCAGAAAATGCTCTCATAAAAAGGAAAATAGATGCTTTTCAAATCATTTTTTTCATTTTTTTTCTTTTTCTATGAATGATATCAAATATTCAAAGATTGTATCATTTAGAGCAATATATTGGTATATATGGGCACATTTTCTGAAAAATTCAAAAGATTCTGTTCAGTGAACTTTCCTACATCCTACTTTTAGCTATTTTTCAGTCACATTTTCAGAGGGCTGAAAAGGTTATTTCATCATGTTTAGGGTCATCTGTCACTTCCTGTTTTGTCATTTTCTGTTAAGGCCGTAAGAATTAGATTCTTTGTTTTGCGTCCCCTTGCTTGCATGATTTTGAGTAAATCAGAAAAAACAAACACATCCAAATAGCAACCACAAGGGTCTGAAAGTAACACCGCATTTCGTTCAATCAGAATCAGACGAAATGGCGGATAAATTGATGTGCGTCAAAATTGACAGTGTTATTGATTACTTGGGCATACATTGTATATTTTCTTCTTTTTACCCTTGAATAATACCAATATTTAAATATATTGTATAAAATGTATAGATCTGTGTTTGTATCACTGCAAATTGGTATGTCATCCCTTTTAATTCCTATAAAATGTATACATTTCTCAGCAAACAAGTTTGTGTTTTTCCTTGAGTTTGTGTTTGTTTTCCTTGTACCCTTGCATGATTTGGAATTTGCCAGGACACAGTGTGGGAAATAAGCATTTTTTGTGCCTGGACAAATTTGTCTAGTCACTTTGAAACACTCCAGACAAATTCTTTTTTGACTGGTCAAAATTTTGACTAGACAGTTTGAAAATACACTGGACAATTTTTTTACTTGGTCAATGTAAAAAAAAAAATATATATATATACATGGAAACAGAAGGGGGTGGGGTATAAAATGATTGAAATTCTTAATCATTAAATTTTATATTTTGCATTGTTTCATTTGTCTACAACTTTTTCCTCGGAAGAAGACCAATTTATATTCCTTCATTTGATGTGTAAAACAAAATTCATTGTCTCATGTCTCAGCAAAATCTATCTGGACAATTTTGACCACACAGTTTGAAACAGTCTGGACAAATTTCTTTTCAGACTTGACATTTGTCCGTTGTCTGGTGCTTATTTCCCACACTGAGGACACAAAACAGAGAATCTAATTCTTATGGCCTAAGTATATCGCAGGGGGTAAAAAGAAGTATTCTTGACCATAGGACCATCCTCCGATCATACAAGAAAAGATATTTCACTTTTTGTGATTTTATAACATGGGGTCTGTGGGGAATCTCCCTGAACAAGAAGTCACATTTTCAAAAAAAAAATATATATATTCAAAGTTGATAAACAATTTTCGAAACCATATTACTAGGTTTACTTTTACATGTAGATTTCAAATATGACATCACTTTGACTGAATTTTGAATATTTATGATGTAAATTGAGTAAATAAACTTTTCTACTCGCATCTTGTCTATTGAAATTATCATGAACCTCGTCACCGAAAAAAATCTATTCATCATTTTGGCATATTCTTTATTTTTCTATATATACACTTAGTTTGGCCAAAACAGTGCCATACCTCACCAATTGCATATAGGCGATATCTTTAAAAAATATGCAAAGGTATGGCAGTAAAGATTAAACACATTTTTTGTTCAAATGTAAACAATTACGTTCTTTAACACTGTTACACTGCTTCAAAGCAACCAGTTGAACCTAAAAACAAGAAATTATTATTTTGCAATAATCTCTTTGACCAGTTCAATTCTATCTTTTATTGGGATTTATCCTCAGTGTAATGTCTAATTTTTTGCTATTTCCAGGTGATGTAGTTGGAAATAAAGTTGCCATTTTAAGATGGCTGGACGTGGCACTGTATACTCTGAGCCCAAGCCAGGACAGGTTCAAGGCTTACTGAAAAAGTTTGAAAGCAATGAGGACTTGAGGAACATTTCAAAGGAGGCCAGCCCTTTGAAAACATCAGAGGGAGTTGTTTCTGGAAGGAATTATTTGAAGTCTCATCTTGAACCTGCAACATCAATGGAGAATAGGATTTCAAGGTAAGAATCCTTGAGTTGTTCTGACCAAACTGCCATTGAGGCATCTTTTTGATAAAGGACCAGATATAGTAGGCCAAATGAGTTTTGACAGTTAAAATAATACATTTTCTTCCAATTGAGGTCTCCATGATCATTAATTTGACTCTCCAAAAAACCATGACTTACACGCAACCCTTTCAAAATATCTGACTTATTTTCTTTAAAAAAATGATCTTGTTTTTAGGTATGAAATATTTCGGGGAAAATGCGTGACATATGATATCTGCGTGAAAAGTCCGAACGAAATGTGTTCTTTTTTTAAAGCGTACTGTTTTGTGCTGTATCGGCGATCATTTTTTGAAAGTTTTTCTCACAGATGTTGGCCGGATTGTTTTGTAGTGGGATCATAGGCTCAAAGAAAAATTAATTGAGCTACTGATTCTACTACAAAATAATCTGGCCGGGATCTATGGTTTTTCTACAGGAATATTTTTGCTGGACAATAATCAGGTAAAATGCGAATTTGCGTGACATATTGTGGTGTGACTTCAAATCTTCCGGCAAATGCGTGACAAATACGCAAATTGCGGGAAAGTTGGATGGCCTGCATCTAGACTTACAAACTTTTCATTTTTAAGGGGATTGCACCACGATAGTTCAATTTTTACTAGAAATTCAAAGTTGTAATACCCCGTTTCCTATAAAACCTGAAATATAAACAACTGATAAATATCAAACATTGTTACAGTATCTTTTAGTGGCAGGTTTTCAAAAATCTATTACTTTTTACTGAAATTCACATTATATTATTTATCTTTTTTATTCCTTATATCACACTACCCTACCTCGATAGCGCATGCGCGAATTTCTTGGCTTTCGACCACGTCGCTTTTGAGTATTTCGACTGCTTAGTCAAGAGGTTAATACGTTTGGTGCTCGGAGTGAGTCAATATTGCTATTCGCTGAACGTCAGTGGTGCAATAGTGAAGTCCATGTTCCAAGTTATATGATAGTTGAAGAAAGAATGTAAATAATATCGTTTTAAATTTTAAAATATTTGATATGTCATAGTACACGGTACACAGATGCAAAAGTTGATCAATACAGGGTACAAGGAATGTAAATTGCTCAATAGTACAGGGAGCGAGAGAGTAAGCTGATTATACAGACATACTATGTCTCGATCTCATGTACATTTACGTTGCAAACAGTGAAAATAATGCTAAAAAGGCCGCCTGTTGATGCTTTGAGGTGTCATCAATTGTTACTAGTATTTAATCCAAATAAAGTAAACATTATTTTGTAGATTTAGACTTTCAGGTCGTATACTAGTATGCATTTTAGTCATTAAAGAACGCTAGATTATACGTTTTACTAGGGTATCAACTTGAAATGAAATAACGAAATTAAATATGAACACGTTAATGATACTATCCGCTATCAGGATTAATGACTATCCGCTATTCAGAATAATTAAAATTGCCTGGAACTACATGTAAAGAATCTTTTTATATAACCCCTTGAATGGTCTAATTCACTACCGTCCTCAAAAAACTATCATTTAAATATTTTGTTCAAAATACCATCATGCCACGACTTGAGAGCATTTTGTTCTTCACGATATGGTGTAGCGCTGATATAACATCGTATTTCTCTATTATTGTAATAAAAACTAATACTAGATCGATGTAGTCTTATATGACGTGTTGAATGTCAGATGTTTTTGGATGGTGTCTGCTCCAGTGATTTTGCATTTAATCATTTAACGCTCAACACAAGACACCTCAAAACAAACATTATCCTCTTTGTCAGTTTGTGAGAAGAGGAAAAATGGTTCACAATATGCTATGCCTTACGGCAAAGTAAAGATACATTTCTGGGACGACGTTATTTGCATCTTAAGATTTTAGAAAAACAATTAATTCACACAAATACAGTTGAATAACATACTGGAAAACGTATCCACATATAACACGATGACACGCGGTTTAAATAACAGTTAACTGGTTTTTTTGTTACGTATCAATGTAACATTTTCGAAGGGAAACTTACATGCTCCCTGTGCGTTGATAGATTTACTGAAATGTATCGTGTATTGCATTGAGTTTTGCTTCACTGCGCCCACTATTATCTATCTTTGCCTATAGTGTTTTTTTGCCAACAATATTCTACAAACTGCTCGATGAATCAATCCTATGTCTGGTAGAATACTAGAAATAAATGTAAAATGTATTTTACGTTCAGAAATATGGAATTAAACCCACGTCCTCCATTTGCAACTTAGCTGTACCCTGTTTCCCTTTTAAACGTGGTCACGTGGTAGGGTAGTGTGATATATAGATTGCCAATGTTAGGTGCAATTTTTTCATTGTTATTATGAAGGCTAGTCACACATTTTTCACATTTTACAGCTGATTAAATGCAGAATCAGATCTATAAGGGTGACAAAATTACAAGCGAAATGTACAATTGACCTACTAATCTGTTCCTTACAGTTTCAAATACAATATCTCCAAAAAGATTCATAATATGTTATAAATTGGTGAAGTTATAATGGATTCAAAGTGCAGAATTGGGTGAAAAATGTTTAAATTCTCCCAAATAATAAGAATGTTAACCATTCTTATAGAAAAATAATACATTTTTGTAAAAATCGCTAGTTTTCCTGAAATAAAGTGTGCACTTTAGGGATTTTTAGAAAATAGACATGACAAGAAATGACATGAACCAGAAATATTCTAAAATTGGAACAATTTTTTGTTCACCTGCTCGCTAGATCTGATTCTCTCTTTAAGATCTACATGTATATGTATTTTATAGTTGTTAAAGGCTAACCACACTCTAAGATCAACATCAAAATTTTTACCTGCCAATAACAACAAAGTTAAAATCCAGTTCTAAGGTAGGATAACAAGGGTACTGAATTTGAATTATGTGGAACTGAACTGAAGTATTGTGGTTAGCTTACCTTGATTCTGATAGCAAGGGTGATAAAGATTAAAGACTTTCAAACAAGGAAGTTTGTTCTCCTTGAAAATAAACTGTAAAATGTGGTTTTAAGAAGTGACTTAGTGATGAGCATGTGCACAAATTGTAGAAATTGAATAAAGTATCGGCTATTCATGAAATAATGTATTCACTAGTTTTTGTAAAGGTAGCTGTAAAGTACACTGTATTGAGGATAACTGAGGTCGCAAGTCTGTATAATGTTTACATATAGGAACGCATCAGTGAGTAAAGATCTCACATTGTCCTGGGTAAAATAGGCTCGTTTGCATAACACATTCAGGTAGATAGCACATGATGTTCCTGGAAGGTTCCAACTTTTGTGGCTTAGGGCCTTTCGATTGGTAAATATGACTCATTTGAAAAGTACAGTAGTCACTTTTTAGCAGAGACAAGATCTGTGAAGTGAAATTGCTTAAGCCAATGATATACCTTGTGATAAATCCACAGCATTATCATTCTCTCAATGAATGATATATTAGTACAATGAATGGGATTACACATTTTACCACCAACACAAATGTGTCCATTCATGGCAATCAAAATAACAACATTGAATGATGAGTCATGACTGTGGTTAGTTTATACTTACATTATGTATGAAGAATATGACCACAGACTTATTGTGGCCTTCTTTCCTGATTTCTCATTGGTTACATTTCATATGTTATCATGAAATTCAGGCACATGATTGCCAAGCATTAATTTCTCAAATAGAAACCAACAGAACATAATGTTAAACTTGTTTTCGCTTGGTGGTATCTTCAAAGAGAGTGAAAAGTCTGATTTGTATAAATCAATGTCTAGCAACTGAAAAGATGGGAAATAGGTACAATTAAGAGTTAGCCAGGAGGATAGATGGACAAATGTGATATGGACATTCCTCATTGGCCTATAGCTGTCTTGACATATTGTTGCCAGCCAATCTTAAATAACTAAGAAAAAATAGAAAAAGCGTTTTTGGTTTGCTGTTCATAAAGATACATTAGAGATGTGTTCACTTTATACTAGTTCTGTAAAAACATCAAGTTGAATGAACATATTTTAAAATTTTATGATAGTATTACTTCCATAGTACACTCTTTACTTTTAAAGTTGTTTGAAATATACAATTAAATATGGTTGATTGAATTGTGTCAATTTGTGTGAATTATTTATTTTCAGGTTTACTCAGGGTGCAAATCAGGGTGAAGGTGAAAAGAGAGTATCCATATCTCCTACAAGACCAGCTTTCCAAGGTGTACATTCCAAAGGATCATCAAGTGGACACAGCAGGCAGTCACATTTATCAGGAACAGAATTAAACAGTCCAGGCTATCCAAACAAACCAGCACATGCAGGTCAAATTAGGACTAAAACTGAGCCAAGCCATCAAGTAAAATCACCAATGTATCCAAATGCAGCTAACAAAGACCCTGTCAGTGTACATGGAAGAGATAAGCCTGATGGTGAAATAACACAAAGGCTGCATACACAATCAGATACAAAGCAAGATGATACTCACAGTGGAAATAAAAAAGTATCAAACCTTAAAGCAAGATTATCTGACCTTGCAGTAATGTATAGTGCAACAGACAAAAGTCGCCATACCGACAGTGATGTAAATAAAAATAAAAAAGATGGAAATGAACACTCAACAAAACCAGATGTTGCCAAACAACATGATCTAAACCATGATACAGATAACATGACAAGTGTTAAGTGGAGGATATCTAAACTAACTGAAAGAAAAGACAATGTTCGGCCACTATCTTCTAGACCTCCTTTCAATAGAAATCCAAGCAAGGAGAACTTTGAAGTTCCAAAAAGTCCTGTGAAAAGTATATCTCCCGCTCGTAAAGTAAACCCATCTCCATCATACTTATCTAAGGCTGACTCTGACGCAGAACCCATATATAAAAATCATGCAGTTTTGAGGAGATTGAAAAAATTTGAGGATGGAGCTTTGGCTACTGATATTTCTAAAAGGGCAAGTCTTAAGTCATCCCCTTATACAGACTTGGGGTATGGATCAACTGAAGATGATAAACATAAACCTTTCAGTGTCCCATCTGGAAGTAAGGCACCATTAAAGCCTACAAAACCTGTTATTCCAAAATTTGAGTCTAGTCCCATTTCTCCAAATTCACAAACTAAACCTCTGGAGCAGAGGGAAAGACTTGCAGGAGAGGAATCCCACAGTGGAAATGTTGATAATTTAACCAAACAGTGGCAGGATAAAATGCCTTCCACATCAGAAGATGAACATAATAACAATACTCAGGGTAATCAAAGTGAATCAGAAGACAATGTTTATAATAAAACAAACAGTGAAGTTGAATCAACTGATGTCAAATGTCCAGGAAACATATCACGCAGGCCGAGATATGTGCGTAATAAACCCCCAAAGTTACCTCAGATGCCCATTGCCAAACCTAAAGTGCAAAATGAATCAACACTGCCAACTACTGAAAATGTAGCAAATAAGGTAGCAACATTAGTAGGGAATATACCAAGGGTTAAAAAGTCACAGACTGTTCGTCCAAATTCTATGATTCTCCCAGGAGAATATGTACATCGTTCTTCAACATTTTATACTACACTTGATTCAGAGCTACGTGAGAATAAAACTGTTCTAAAGAAGGAATTGAACAAAGTACTTTTAAGTGGTGGTCAGTCAAACACACACAATGAGCGACCACCAAGGCCACCCCCATATGAAGGTGTGGTAAAGCAACCACCCCCTTATGATGGCGTTGTTCTACTTCCAGGTTCTCCCCTGGAGGAGTATAAACCTAAAGGTCCCTCAAAGCCACCAAGGACATTCCAACATAATTCTCCACCAAAATCTGAAAACCAGCAGAACTATTCCCCCGATCACCTAGGCCAGAGACCATTCTCCCGTGAGTTTATGGGCAAGTGTATCACACTTCGTCCAGCCCCATCTCCAAGCACACATGCATATGAACCAGTTTCCTTACAGGCTAAAAAGGCACAACTCCCTAAAGATGCATTTATTCGCCAAAAGAAACAAAAAATTACAAATCCAAATTATGGAACAGAGCAGGCCTTGTTGAGAATAAGTAATTGCAACGTTGGGCTTCAGAGGGGAGGATTTCGTGACCATGGTAAGAACAGTAGAGGTATGGTTCGAAGCAGCAGTGACGAGTGCCTATATGCAGACCCAGTTGATGTTAGGTCGACAAAGAACAAAAAAGCTGATCTATGGTAAGATTAACCTCAGATTAATGACAAATTTGTACAAGATTTACAATTACTAGATCTAGTCTTTGTCAATGGCACACTTTGTTACATCTTCATTTTTTGTAGAGTAGAGTATATCAATTTATATATGTATGGAACAGAACATGGTTTTCTTCATTTAGGATAACAGAAAGTGGTCAGGGTCAGCTTGTAGGACCTCCTGTACTGGTAGATGAAGGAGGTTATGCCATCCCAGATCACCATGAGAGAATTCACATTGCCAAATCACTGGATGAAAAGGTAAAGAAAGTCACATAGATATGTAATATCATAATTGAAGTATTGTAAAGGCAAATAACATTAAAAGGTCCATGTGCAAGATGGCGAGTGATTTTAGACAGTCATATCTTTCACCATGAGTATTTTCTGGGCATAAATACAGTAGTTTTTATTAAAACAATATGTTTTCTTTCAAGTGAAGTCCCCATGATAGTAAAATAGCGATCCAACTCTCTGAAAAATTATGGTTTAGGACCCAACTTTGGTACTTTTTTAAAAATGTAGGCTTATTTTCTAAAAAGAGGATCTTGTTTTTCTCAATTTAAACATATCCCATGTTATTTTCCCAAAATTCGTGCTATCCATTGTTTTCAGCATAATTTTGGTATCAAAAATTGGTATCTTCAAAACTAGACTTTCAATACCATTATACTTTTGAACTTTTAGACCCCTTGTTGAATAATCTTTTCATGCAATAAAAATCAGAAAAAGAAGATCCTCTTTTGAGTAAATAAGTTCAACATTTTGAAAAAAATTATTGACATGGGGTCACTATTCACAATTTTTTGAATTGTTCGATTGATATATTTTTTTTTTATTGTCATGGGTACTTCACCTGAAAGAAAACATATTGTTTTAATAAAGAAAACACTGTATTTATGCCCAGAAAGTACTTGTGGTAAAAGATATGACTGTCTTAAATCACTTGCCATACTGCACATGGACCTTTGTGGAAATAGAACATAAGACATTTACAAGTAACATGTAAATGGAGTGGTCCTCATGAATATAGAAACTTGTGGACCAGGTTATAATTTTTTTTTATTTTTTTTTTTATTATTTTCAAAATCAAAACATATTTACATATACATTTAATCAAGAATACAAAGGTTAAGTAAGGTGTGATAATATAAAATATAAGGCTACAGTAAGTACATAAACCTGCAGTAATCTCACATCTAATCTATAAGATGTAAAAAAGAATAAAATAAACCTATAAAGACATGAAAAAGAAACACAGCAAGTACATGTCTATAAAGATGTGAAAAAAGTATATCTACATATACTATGATCTACATCTACTATGTTAATATAACAAGTCAAAATTATTAATGCAGTCCTCTAAAAGGTGAAGCACTTCATTATTTTTCTTCTTCATATGTCTCATATTTTCAACATACTTGGATAAATATAGAAAGGCTTGATTTACATCCTTAAGTCCTTCATAATCCTCTGAGTGTTTACTCCAATTTACATAAATGCTATAGCTGACCACCGTTGTGACAATATTTCTAAATTCTTGAATATTTCCTTCATTCATGTAAAACCCTAATATTATATTTTTCCATTGAATATTACATTTTAGAATCTTCCCAACATTGACCCAAAGATTTCCTAGTAATCGACACTCAAATATCATATGCTTGATGTCATGAGTTTCATTGCAATATAAACACAGTTTCGAAATGTTATTATTCCACTTATAAGTTTACTACATGCCAATATGTTATGAATCAATTTATAGTTAAATTCAGCATATTTTTTGTCAACAATGTTTATAAATTTTGACATATAAATAGATCTATAAAACTGTGTTGTATTTGGTGTCTTAAACAATGAACTCCAATAAATTTCCATTACTGTGCTTTCAGCTTTTTCTTTTAAAAGTATATTATACAATGACTTTTTGCTGATATCATTTATTTTTGTCCATGAGCCATTTTTTAGAAGAATTTGGTTATGGTATTTAATGGTTGTGTACTTTGCTAACTCCCCATCATGTTCTTTTAATAATTTTACAATAAAACATTTTATTCGGATATATTCAGTCATCCAATTCCTTTTATCAATTAATTTATTTAAAACTGTTTTTTCATCTATAACGTTACCATTGATATCAATAAAATCTTTTAAATAAACAAAACCGCTTTTGATCCAGTGTTTGCAATAGAGGACACTTTTCTTGTTCTGATACCTTTCATTTAACCATAATAATTCAGAAAATATCCTATTTTTATCTCTGTCTATCAATTTACATCTGTTGAATGAAATAACCAGGTTATAATTTTGATGTTCTTCCAAAATTTTATTTATTAAATATTAGATCCTCCCAAAAATGTTGATCATTTAGTGTTAACTATACAACTTACGATAATCAAGTGTTTACTGTTCATGCATTCTTTGCATTGATATATTTACCCATTCCTTTAGGAGGTTTTAGCAATATGTGTGTTATTTTGTCCCTCTTACATAATATAATGCTTTCTTTTAGAATCCAGCACTGTCCCATTCACATCAGCGCTCCCTCTCCTTATATGGTAATGACCGCAGGAGAGGTGCAGTGCCATTCGTCAAGATGAACTCTGACATTGATATGATGAGACAACCCTCTATCTCACCCCAGGCTGGTTTACAAAGAAAGGTACATGGCCCAATAATATGGCATATAATGTTTTATAAAGTATGTTGTGAGGAACCCCTGTTTTATAGTCATAATGAAATGTGTTGTTTGAATTTGCATGTTATTTGTGTAGCACAACTTACTCATGCCATGATTTCTCTCCATTCTTCCTATATACCATAATCACACCAAAGAGCGCACTGTGAAATTAGAGTGGAATAATGTGAAATATTAAGAAAATATACAAATATCAACCCCAAAGAGCACACATGTAAACACAATTTCTATGGGTGATAATATGTGAATTTTATATGAACTACGCACCTTGCTGGAAGTAAAACTTTTCAACACAGAAGTAACTTCTAAGAAGGCTTTCTTTTTTCTCCCATCTAAGGAATGTTATGAAGCTTTTGAAGTCACATTTGCGTTCATTAGGGCCTATGCGCTCTTTGGCATAATTGCGGTAGTATTGAACTAAACACACATTTATGTTGCCACTACTTATGTTGCAACTTAAGGTTTCCCCAGCAAGTAAATGTATTTGGATAACTCTTTCTGCATGATATCTATAATATGTATATTATAATACTGTATGTGGAGAAGATCAGAGTTGACTAGCTAAATTACTTATGTTCTCTTATTCATTGTATGTGCATGTATCATTTAGTGTTTTTTAAATATTTTTTGTTGAAGCACTACCTTTTATATCAAACCATTAGTATTAGAAACACCAAACTATAACAAAATTACCCTGCGTGCAAAGTCTAGTTAAACTACACTCTGCCTAGTAGATACCATATTACAGTTTAGTAGCCCCGCCCCCACGACGGGTACCGGTGACAGTTTGGGTAATAAATCACTTTTTGACCTACGCGCTGACCTTTCTTCCACCAATCCGCGAGCTTGAAGAAACATACGCCAAATGCGTTCTAATTAAATATGTGCATGTCATTGGTCAATTTCGGGCTCAACGATGACGTCAGAAAGAATGACCATATATAGAACGTCGGTCAAATTTGGCCGACGAACACTGATTGGCGCGGTGAGTTCACAGGTTTATTTTAGTTTGAAAGAGTGAAGACGAAGCTCTCTTTTAAGTAGTGAAGTCGAACGAATGCAAAGGGTATAACAAAATAAGAGTATTGAATCCAAAACAACCTTTGATTCATTTAATGCACATATCAGTGGACATTAACTAGAACCATGTTTGCAGACTTGAGCGGTTACTTTACTGAAAATATTCCACTGATGGGAAAATAATCTGAATCCACAATTATATTTTCTGTTTGCATGTACTAGACTGTTGTATTATATCAATGTTCCTAACAGGTTCGCTTGAAAATCCGTAGAGCTTATTCTGTGTTGCGTAAAAACCTTAGTCAGTCACCCTCAGTAGCGGAAGCTGGAGCCACTGGTGGGAGCAGAGGGGACGAAGTTGATTTTACTGAACACAAAGATACACAGTCAGGTATTCTTCACTCTGCCATTAAAACTATTAAATTTCGCAGATTTCACAAGTTAGAATCTCATTATCTCTGAATCCTCAAGCTCTGTAAATAAAGCCACCTCATGTACAGAAAATACACCTCTATTACCTCATCATTTTTCATTTATCTAATAAGACACTGTAAAAGACATGGTTGCATAGAATCCCATGGCATCTGTAACAAATTCTTACAACTTCCAGTACTGTTTAGACTAACATGTTATGAGTTTGTGCCAATATCTGTTACCATTGCACCATATTGAAGGTCGAAAAAAATGTCTCTTTTCCGCTTGCTTCAATTTGTTCAAATTATTTTTCAAAATCATCAACAAGTTCTCAGAAATTCAAAATTGCTCATTATTCCACCCACACATTAAATGACCATTTACAGATTTAGTTCAGCAGATTTACTTAAGTTTGTACGGATGTTTCATTTTACCCAGTTCAAGATCTGATTAATTCTGATTAACTTGAATTCTGTTGGCAAATTTGGATTGTTTTTTACATTCATATTTTTTATCTCATTTGTTGTCATCATGTTTTCACAAAAATAGCTCATTGGATTTACTTCAATCCAATTGAATGTTAAATGGTATTTAGATCTGATTAAACTTTTGGGTAACCATCTTAAAGCCCACTGGGCATTTTGCAAATTGTAGGATAACTGGTGGCTACTTTGTGGTATAGTCACACTCAACCTGTGTCTATTGTTTATTTTGTGTTTTCATTTTTATTTATTTCATTTTATCGTTGTATGTTGTTTAATAGAAATGTCTTTCCAGATTGGCACATGCAAAATAAACTTGATGAGACATCAATAGAAAATAAATTTACATGTTTTAAACTTTTTATAGCTGTATTTTTCAGTATCGAAAATTGAATTTACTATCAGATTCATATAAGAAACCAGAAACCAAATAAGAGACATCAAAATCTCCATGAACCATTTATTTCATGTTAATAAATTCAGGGATATACTGTCAGTAGTTTCTGTAAAGTACTTAATTGCCCCATGTTATGTATTATTTGTTTGTGACGGTTAAACTTTAAGCAAGAAGTTCCAAATCCTTCATAGAACTTGGAAAAATGAAATTATCTGAAATCTTTCTGAATTCTATCAGTTTGAAACAAAATGATGAGACTATTCAATCACTTTATTTTTATTTTAAGATGGCAGTGAGAGTTTGGTTGATGCAGAGGAACAGAGGCGTCGCTTAAAACATGTTGCTAGTATCAGAGAAAAAACAGTAAGTCTTTCAAGGAAGGAGATCTATAATATATTATACTATAATTCTCTTCATAAACTTCCACCTAGTAATCATTGTTCAGTTCAGTTAAGTGCAAATACATTGTATGTCAAGTGAATATTGATCATTGATTTCAGTATGCTACTTTGGACAAAGTGAGAGAATTTCGGGAGTCCAATTATCCTCAATTCTTTGAGTATGCATTAGAGGTGGGATTACAAGCTAAACCTGGCACCAATAAGTATGAGCCATACATAAAGCAGCAGTTCCCTGATAATGTGAGTGTTGTTCTAATATTTAAAATGCTGGCTGAAGTTAAAACATTTTTAATTTCATATTTCTGTAAAATTAAGTATTAAGCATGATTTATTGTTTCAAATGCTTCAAGCGACGTATCCCCCGAGTTAAATCGTGATTTCATTTGAAGAGACAAGTTTATCCTACCACACATATATGCCTTGTGGTGTCTCATGTGAGATAATTGTAACTGAAAAGAAAATGGAAAAAACAAACGAAAAAGAGATCATTTCATCGTCATAGAGTACAATGTGAATAAAAGCTTGTATAAAAAAGAGAATTAATGATGTCCTTGTTTATCTTTAGGTGAAGGTGAATAACACATCAATTCCTCAGTTCTGCTTCCCTGATGCAGATACCTGGCAGCCTGTCACATACTATGAGAGTGAAACATTCTCATTTGTGCTGACAGACATTGATGGATCACGACAATATGGATATTGCCGCAGAATGCTTGTATGTCAACTGCATTGTTGCACTTTCTTTTTATTTAATAAAATCTATGTAAGATTAATTGATTGATATAATTGGTTAATGATTATAAGATTGAGATCATTTATGACTTTATTTTATTGGTATGAATGCAATACAAGTGCTAAAAGATGCATAGATTCTCCTAGTGTTATTATTTTGTATTCATGAATCTGTTAGTGTGCGATTATTTTATAGCCTCCAGATAGGAAGGCCAGGTTGCCTGAGGTCTATTGTATCATCACTCCACTGGGAGCATTTGCACTTTACCAGCAGGTATGTGTTACATTTTGTCCATTTTATAGTGCTAGACTGACTCAGTTCATTTAAAAGTGTAATATGGTATTACTATGTTTCTTAATCTTAACACTCATCATGTTGATGCTGTGTGTGATCATGATATGGTGGCAAATTTTGCAATTTCAACAGATTTAAAAAGATGATCGTTTTTATGTCCCCACCACATAGTGTGGGGCCATATTGTCGGCCTAGGCGCGTCCGTCCGTCTGTCTGTCCGTCTGTCTGTCCGTCTGTCTGTCCGTCTGTCCGTACGTCCGGCAGTTTTCTCCAAAACCGCTACAGATATCACCTTCAAATTTTCAGGGATAACTTATGAGTGCATACAGATGTGGATGAAAAAAAATTAACTCGATACCTACTTCCTGTCGGCCATTTTGAAGTCAAATGCTAAAATCCTTGTCTGCAAACTTTAAGAAAAACTGCTTCACAGTTGCTTTTAAAACTTTAACATCTTGTTCAGCTCACTTCATTCTAGATCTGATTAGGTTTTGGACCTGCTAGCTCAGTCATGTCAGCCATTTTGAATGTCTTAAGAAAAGTTAGCGCGCGATAATACTTTGTATCATATTGAATGGTGTTTTTGAGTTTTCATACTTTAACTATTTAGTAGCTTTATAAATAATTTCAGATGTACTTTGCTGTAAAAGCCTACTTTATTGTTAACAGTAGTTATATGTGATAATTTTGTAAAAAGAAATCAGCAAAAACTCATAAGGACTTTTTTATTGTCGGCCATTTTGGATTTTTCGGTCCTAAAATCTTGTCTGTGAAGTCTTGTCTGCGCGTTTTCAGGTGAACCGTTTGGTGGATCAATTTCAAATTTTCAGGGATGATTCTTAGTATAAAAATCTAGATCTCATTAGTTTTTTGGCATTCTGGGTAAATGTCAAGGCAGCCATTTTGGATTTTCCGTCCTAAAATCTTGTCTGTAAAGTCTTGTCTACTCGTTTTCAGGTGAACCGTTTCGTAGATCAATTTCAAATTTTCAGGAATGATTCTTAGTATGAAAATCTAGAACTGATTAGTTTTTTTGCATTCTGGGTAAATGTCAAGGCAGCCATTTTGGATTTTCCGTCTTAAAATCTTGCCTGTAAAGTCTTGTCTACGCGTTTTTAGGAGAACGGTTTGATAGATCAATTTCAAATTTTCAGGGATGATTCTTTGTATGAAAATCTACATCTGATTACTTTTTTTGCATTCTGCGTAAATGTTAAGGCAGCCATTTTGGATTTTCTGTCCTAAAATCTTGTCTGTAAAGTCTTGTCTACCCGTTTTCAGGTGAACCGTTTGGTAGATCAATTTCATATTTTCAGGGATGATTCTTAGTATGAAAATCTACAAACAGATTAGTTTTTTGACATTCTGGGTAAATGTCAAGGCAGCCATTTTGGATTTTCCATCCTGAAATCTTGTCTGTAAAGTCTTGTTTACATGTTTTCTGGTTAACTGTGTGACGGATCAATTTCAAATTTTCAGGGGTGGTTCTTAGTATGAAAATCTAGAACTGACTCAATTTTTGGCATTCTGGGTAAATTTTAAGGTGGCCACTTTGGATTTTCCGTCCTCAAATTGTGTTGGTAAAGTCTTGTCTACTCATTTTCAGGATAACCATTTCACGGGATCACCACTTGGTGGGGACATTTTGTACACATTTGTGTTCTTGTAATGTTATTATGAGTGACTGATAAAAGTGAACGTAATATTTTAATATAATATTTTAATGCTTGTAGGTGCTCAATGAAATAGAGATGCTGAGATATGAATCACTGACACGTGCTCACAACTTTGTGAATAATGTCTACAGCCGTCCTCTACCCAGTCCTGGCAAAACCATCACAGTCCACTGCAAAGATGACTTTGGCAATTTTGAACGAAAGGTCTTCAAGCGTCCAGCAGATTCAAGGCTAGAACATGTAAGCTGGAATATATACATGTATTTCATTTAGTTTTTATAATTTTTAACAGTTGGTTTCTAGATTCAATTTCCTATTGAAATGTAAGTTCACAATTAAGTATTTTATTTAATCTTACTTTTTAATTGAGGAACTGTCTTAAAACAATTTATTTCTATAAAACAAGATTTTGTTCTCTCAAAATTTCATGAAGCATCACACATCTTTTGACAATATGCTTGAAATGGCAGCCATTTTGTAAATACACTGTACAGATGTAATTGGAGTGATTCAATATATCTGATCTTTTGAATATGACTGCGACACACTTGTTTGCTGCTTGATAAGATATGATGTGATTTGCAACACCCTGGCATTCCACTTTCCGTTAAGGTGGAATCTCTGGTTTTGGCTTCATTCCTAGAGAAATCATTGTATTGTAATAATTCCTATTACTTTTAGGTGAATTATGAGTTTCTCTTTACCATATTGGGCATTGACAACACGCTAATGGTGTTTGCATCAATACTGCTCGAACGTAGGATTCTCTTCACTGCTGGCAAGCTTAGGTAATAATTGCAGCTTTTAAACAAGTTTTACCTTGTTCATCCAAGTTTAGGAGGTTTGTTATTGAATAATCATTTATCCATTTTACTGACTTGAATTCTTCTGAACGACATACTTCTTGTTCTCTTTTTCTTATTTCTCAAAGAATTACCACAATCTTTAGAATCCACTTTCATATTTCAGCATACTGTCACCCTGTATCCATGCGATGACATCATTGTTGTATCCATTCACATGGCAGCACACATTCATTCCGGTCCTGCCTTCAGCCCTGATTGACATTGTTTGCTCTCCAACCCCTTACATCATTGGAGTCCTGTCAGACTGCGTGCCCCAACTAGAGGGTTTGCCAATGGATGAGGTAGAATTTCTAAAATGAGTATTGTGAATGAAGGAATCAGTATTATATATTTTGAAAAAAAGCATTTACGTGTATACCATTGCAAAACAGTTGCTTAGTTCTTACTGGTTGAATAAGGGATTTAAGCCCAAGACTCAATGCATTGTTTGCTGAATCATACCATGAAGGTGTTGTTTCCAAACCTTTGCATGACTGTGCACAATGTGTGCTTGCATTGTAGGTGCTCATAGTCAACTTAGATGGTGGCCGACTGACTGAAGAACTTGGTGATGAGGGAACCATTATACCACAGAAACTACAAAAAGCAATCAAAACAGCATTAAAGATGTGCATGGAAGATGAAGGTTCACACACTTTACTTATACCAATTTTTATTAGATTCAAATTTAATGAATATAATAAAAAAGATTTCAATTTTATTGAAACACATGTACCATTTTTTTCAATGATCACAACTATGCATAGCACTGGTGATCCGCTCGATTACGCTGGACAAACAACACCTTCGTTCAAAATGTTGGAACGTAGAAGGTACGATTTTTTTTCTTATTTCACGCGTTGTAGGCAAAATACCCACAACATTTTTCTCATAAACGTGTATCGATATCTTATGTTTTAGAAAATGTACATGTTTGCGAAAAAATAGCTCAGAAGACAACAGAATCGTCGATTTAATTCCTCACTTAAGTTACATAAACGATACGGGTTAAAAGTGCAGATCTTAACTGTTTTTCGAAATACCGTTTATGTTACTTAAGTGAAGAATTAAATCGACGATTCTGTTGCCTTCTGAACTATTTGTTCACAAATATGTACATTTTCTTAAACATATGATACCGATACACATCTGTGATATTAATGTCATGGGAATTCTGCCTACAACGTGTGAAATAAGGAAAAAAGGAAAATCGTACCTTCGACGTTCCGACATTTTGTTACTGAAACGAACCGTTTTGGTAGCCAGCGTAATCGAGTGGATCACCAGTGCATTTTTTCCAAGTTTCTTTGTGCATCAGTTATAATGTACTGTATACAGTTAATCATACTGTTAAAATTATATTTCTATTTAGTTATATTGAGTTTATCCATGGATTTACAGAGAATTTATTCCTTTCCCATGCAATTTTCAATTGAATTTAGTGAGTTGGTGGATAGAGCTAAATCTTCATTCACTTAAATTAATCAATATACTATTCCAACTTGGTTAACTTTAATCAAAACAAACTGCCATTAATGTGTGTTCAATATCAAGCCTAAATTCAATATAAATGCCCAACTCTTATAGAAAACTTTGTATTTCAGAAAGTCCAGGCTCAAAGAACCTGATGATATCTGAAGCCTTCCTCAGGTTGTTTGTTGAGACCACAGGCCATTATAAATACCATATCAGTATACAACAGGACAACCAGCACCACTTCCAGGTAAATCCTTTCATTGAATTGAAACATTTTCTGACAATTCTATGCAGTTTTATTTATTATTCAAGCTAAGTAATAGGAAATTAAGCTTTGATTCCACTAGGCTTCATTCTGTGTTTGTATTTTCAGTGACATCGAAGCACAATCTCTTATTATGAGATTTGCAAGCTAAGCATGAAACCAGGTTTCTTTAACTTTGCATACATATATTTTATGTTTTCAGAAAGAACAATTCATCAGAGCCCTGTCATCAAAAAGTCTGCGTATGTTCCTTGAGTGGTTCACTGAGACTCAGATGTTTGAGATGTTTGTGACAGAACAGCTGGAAGGCAGGGATTCTGATATAGGTTAGTCCTTATATAACATGACATGGGTATATTTTAGCATAATGGTTAAGACAATCTTTCCAGATACAATGCATTATCCATGGATCTTGCAAGGATGAAATAGTCTACGTTCTTGTTGAGTTACTGGGAAAACCTTATCATTTTAGTCATAAACACCAGTTGAAAATATGACATGATATTGTGTTAGCTCAAGATTATGATGTTAATGAACATATACATTGTAGGACTGTTTGAGGCCTGTATTATGGAATTTGAGGAAGAGAGGGAATTGTTATCCTTCAAGCAAAACATGAGGGAGTTTGGCAAAAAAATGAAGAATATTTTTGGTAGGTTTTCTTAAATTGTCTACTACACACTATACAGTACACAGCCAAAAGTGTTTGGATTTAGAGGTGTTCACATTCTGAGTTTGTTGCATTCATGAGATTCCATATTTTTTTCATAAATTTATAGTTCAATTGTCCACAGCTTATTGATGACATTCCAGTAACTTAAAAATCTGATTCAAATGAATATATAAGTCATTTTTCATAATTGTGAAAAGACCATTTCTATATGTTCTTGAAAAGTAAATGAAAAGCGTTCAATTTAGAAAAGTTAATTTAACATCAATGAGAGAACAAAATAATCATTGGATGAAATATGTTTCAGGTGGAAAACTTTTTAAGAATAAGAAGGATGAATCTGTAGCCTGAGATGAAACTATTTCCATAGCTGACACTGAAGTAGAACTATTTCCAGAGTCTGACACTGAAATAGAACTATTTCCAAAGCCTGACACTGAAGTAAAACTATTTCCAAAGCCTGACACTGAAATAGAACTATTTCCAGCTCCAATACTGAGATGAAACTATTTCTATAATCTGATGCAAAGTTTGAACTATGGTTGTGACCTGAAAACTGAGCAGATTCTGAAATGGAACTATTTTCTAGCTTGATACTGAGAACTATTTTTGTAAGTTGATACCAAAATGGAACTAATTCCATAGCCTTAATGCCAGGATGGAACTACAGTGTACTTTTATGATTTTCACGCAACAAGAAATATTATTGCAAATATGCTATGGTGCAATATTACTGACATGGATTGTCATGACATGGAAGAAATGTGCCTTCATTCACGGATAGCAGAATGTTGTTGAGATTAATAAAGGAGGCTTTAGACCTTAAGGTGTTTTTTTCGTGATAAATAGGTTAAGTTACACTTAGGAGTGAATGTGTAATATCATAACTTCGGGGAACATGGTTCATTGGTTTATACAAATATACTCATAAAGGCCACTAAAGGGAAAACTAGTCCCAATAATCGATCACGTTACACATTACACATTCCCTTGCTAAGTGAAACCCCTAATTACCTCAGTGATATCATCTACAATCAACAGAACTCTTAAACTGGAGTGTTCGTGAAAGTTCCAATGTGTTCATGAACTGTTACTCTATGTAACCAATGACTGAATTGGACATGTATAGACTTTCACAATTGGTTTTAAAAAACATATAATATGGAAATGTTTCTATTAGGAACTAATCTACTTTAATAAGGTTTTGTTTTGAAAGTAAATGTTCAGTAAAGAAAAAAACATCTATACTAAACTAACAAGAAATAATGATAATTGGAGATTATATCACTGAGAGCTTGTAACAATATAAATGAAGCCTAATATTGCATATTTTTATAATAAGGAATTGGGTGCTTCTATTTAAGTCAAATAAGTATGTGTATTTTTAATGAAAGTTGAATGACATATATAACAACAGTGACTGAGCTCACTCAATTTAAAATGCTTCAAGAAAACAAAATGAGCTTTTCCACAGACTGCCTTTCAATAGGGATTATTTTGTTTTACAGGCTTTACTGTATTTACTGTATTTAAATTGAACATACTGAGAGCATGTTCAGTTCAGGAGCATACTCAGTTGATCAATACTATTATTATATGTCCCTACCAGACCAGTATTCATTGTGTATGAGATTCCAAGTGCAGTTACAGCACATTGTTGTATCTAGAAAGCACAATTAGAGTTTATGCATATACTGGTAATGTCAGATCGTTATGCTTGTGATGTATTTTTCAATGGTCTAGAACTAGAGCTTTATACTTGTGATGTTACATTGTTAAATGGTCTAGAACTAGAGCTTTATTCTTGTGATGTTACATTGTCAAATGGTCTAGAACTAGAGCTTTATACTTGTGATGATACATTGTCAAATGGTCTAGAACTAGAGCTTTATACTTGTGATGTTACATTGTCAAATGGTCTAGAACTAGAGCTTTATACTCGTGATGTTACATTGTCAAATGGTCTAGAACTAGAGCTTTATACTCGTGATCTTATATTGTCAAATAGTCTAGAACTAGAGCTTTATACTTGTGATGTTACATTGTCAAATGGTCTAGAACTAGAGCTTTATACTTGTGATGTTACATTGTCAAATGGTCTAGAACTAGAGCTTTATACTTGTGATGTAACATTGTCAAATGGTCTGGAACTAGAGCTTTATACTTGTCATGTTACATTGTCAAATGGTCTTGAACTAGAGCTTAATACTTGAAATGTCACATTGTTCAAAGATCTAGAACTAGAACTCTATACATATGAAGTCACAATGCTAAATGGTCTATAGAACAAGAGCTTATACTTATAATGTCAAAATGTATGAAGGTCTAGAACTTCTGATGGCAAGTTCATCTGATGTCATGTAATTTGGGCACAGTCCCCATTTTAATTTATACACCATATTTGAGCTAATAATGTTGCATCTTTTAATGCAAGCACAATTAAAGTCATGACATTGATGCAAAATATACAAATACATTTTTCGTAGTCTTGTATACTGACTGTAAAGAGCGGTTTAAAGACCACTTGACTGTAAATATTATTTATCATTTGACTTATTTATCGGTATTGCAACCATCAAAAAAATATTGAAGATATTATGAAGAAACTATCACTGTAATGCCTTGGTCACATATGCTCCGATCCATCGGCCGGTGCCCGGCCAATTGAGTTCTTTTTTTTCAATATTGTATTCAATTTTGAACAAAATACTGAATCGGTCGGGGTTAAAAAATATTATCATTGAGATATTTAGTTTAAATATAAGATTTGGTTAATATATTTTTGAATGTCCAAGTGTGAATGTTGTACAGTATTCACATCTTCATTTTAGTTAAATAGTATCATTTTGATTTAGGGCAGACAGTAATCATGACATTTACATTACTATATCGGATATTGATTTATGTGTCTGTGTACATCACTTTGTGATATGTTCTGTTTATGATCTCTTTCATATTGTACAGTTTCTTGTTGTAGTCAAATATATGCAATACAAATCAATTTAAACTTGAAACTACATGTACAATGTACATATTAAATAATGTGTGTTAGTTGAATAGACAGTGATTACTGTATAGATAAAAAAAAAATATGCATATCTCACACATTGATACAACTAATGTATATAAGTCATAGGTCATCACATTATGACTACAGCTACCGTATATAAGTCATAACATTATGACTATGGCTACTGTAGATAAATCAGCATGATGATTATAGCTATAATGTATATATTATAAGTCAAAATATTAAACAGTGGCTTCTGTTTCTAAGTCAAAGCATTATGACTGAGTAGGAAATTGAAGATTAAAAAACTTTGATATTGTGTTCTAAATATGAATATTTAATAATAAAAATAAAATATTAATATTTCATATCCCTCTTTATTTACAATTTCAAATATTATTTACAATTTATAAGTGACATATATACAATATATACACTGTACAACCATCCAAGGATTGGATTCAATAAATTATGTTAACAATACTATCCATGCAGATTAGTATTATATGCAAACATTTGTAAGACAAATCACTTCTCCACAAACATCACTTAAAGCATGGAACTTTTGAAAACAAATATATTGAAATGAAACTGAAAAGCTTCATTTTGATATATAAACATAAATAAGAAAGAAAAACAAGCTATGTGAGTTAAATCATAATCAGTTGTATAGCACTGCACCAAAAAACATTTTTTCTATTTTTGATGTTTTAGTCATCTTCGAATTATTTATAATCTGTTACAGAGAATTGTTTAAACATGATAACCTTTGATATATTGAGATATTTTTAGTATTGTCACCATACAGTTACTTTAAGATACATGACAATAATGTACTAGAGAATCAGTGCCAGTTAAGTGATGAATGTTTCTGCATTGTGTCAATGTAATGCCTTCTGTAAAATGTCCAACATGATAGGATATATTGCAGCGAACTCCTTGCCTCCCTTCACTCTCACAGACTGAACATAAGACTCCAGTGTGCTCCTAGAAACAAAGCCACATTTTAGAATATATAAGATTAATAAACAAGATTCCATTAAAGAAACATCATAACCATTCATGGAAATATAATGCCTCCCTTCAACAATTGGATTCAGGCAATTTATCAAGAGAAAGAGTTATCAGATAATATGAGAAAAATAAACATTTGCAGGGCAAAAAGCAATCAGCTGGTAAGTTATTGCAAACTGTATACACCAATTGCTGAGTACTGGTTACAACAAATGGTGGATAACAATAAGTGACCGATAAGAGAGCTATACAATATTCTCCACATATACAGAATTCTCTAAGCTACCCTGGCATCCCTGGGCTTTTAGATTTACTTGTTCACTTTGATTAATGCATAATTGGGCTACTAGGACTTGTAATCTTACTTGATCAATTGCAGACGGTCCTTCTCTGAAGTATGATCCTCTAACCACTGACTGTATCTACTGAGAGACCAGTTTGCAGCCTGAAAGTACACCCAAAATATAATGCACAAAAACAGTAACGACACATGCACCATACTTATCAGCCCTATTTGGCTAAATTTCAAAGGTGATGAACTAGTTATCATGAATATAAATTGTAAAGCACATATGTGATTCAAAGCATGTTCTGGTAAAAAGCGAACAGTATAGCAATTATTACATGTACTTATTTTCAATCATCTCATGAAAATTACAAATAATTTAAAAGTGGATGCATCAGATAATGAGAACCTTTTCAAAAAATCAGCTTTATAGCATGTTTTGAGTGTATAGAATTACCAAACATGTATGCTTTTCCATGATATCATATTCATAAACTCATTCAATTGATCAACTAAGTTCACTTGTGCTGAGATATAATTTAAAATCATAAGATATCACATTCTCATATGACATCAGATTGAATTGATCTGTCATAACCTGGTGTGGGGAGGCCAAGTCTGGGGGTGCTCTGGCAAACATGAAGTGGAGAGCTGTACTGTAAGGTATCACCTCCCCAACAGCAGGGCTATTCACAATGTGCTCGCTGGTTTGGAACAACAGGGGCCTACAAAATATTAAATGCTATTATTTTGACAGTGAGGAAGTTCTGACATTTGAATTTCAACATTTGGTGCAGTGCATATGCATGAATGATTATTTGTTTCATGTGATATATGTAATATGTAATGGGGAATATGTCAGACAGCAACTGATGACTTGAGTTCCTATGATCATGCTATAACATGCAAGTCTTAACATAACTCAAATGTTGTTACTGATCATGTCAATATTAAGCAATAACATGAAGCAATTTTGAATCATTATTCCACAAACATTTTAAGATTCATTATGGTTCTGTAAATGCATACCTGAAAGCTCTGAGAAGTCTGTACTGCTTGCCAAGGTCAGAGACTCTCCTACAAAGTGGAGTGACAGCTAGTTCCATCTGAGCAAAGTCTGCTGCAAGCCTCATTTTGCCCCCATCTCCCAAAGGTCGTATAAGGCTAGCATGACGCACAAACAGATCAATAGCCCTGCAAGCCACGGGCTGGATACTGGAATGTTCACATGACATGTTAACAATCAATTTCCTGGCTACATAAGCTGCCAGGCATATTGCTTACATAAGTTTATGTGTATCCATAGGGAACTACATAAAGTAGAAAGAAGAAATCCTTTGGAAAACTTATTATAGCAATTAAAGATAGAATTCATCATCAAATTAAAAAGTTGAAAAATAAATCATGAATAGATAAATAACTGAAAAGCACTATATTCATTACCTGTCCATGATGTAGTCTGTACATGTAAACTGGGATAGATAAGTGCTGTGTACCCGCTGTATGAACTGCTGCAGTTCCTTCATGTACAATGAACACGTAGCTTCACCTTCAACATCTTCTACACGAGCCCTGGATCAAGAAATCAATCCATAATATTAGTACAGAAAAAAATAAAATATGTACAGGGTGTCCAAAAAAAAACAGGACCGTAAGAAAGTTGAATAACTCGGTCACTTTTGCATATTTTGCCTTGAAATTTCAGAATTATTTAGTTCATTCAATGTGAATTTTGTTGTGAAAGTTTGATAATAATCTATCAATTGAGTCAAAAATAATGGCAACTCCGCGGAGTAGCAAATCCCAACGAACAAAATATCAATTACCGAATTCCAATCAATTATACTCATTACTATGGTTAAAATTGAAAAAATTAGATTTTAGAATTGCGAATTCCTGCAAAGCAGCCATTTTGAATTTTTGAGGTACAAATCTGAAAAATAATACCATAATTGTGATCTACTCCAAAATTCCCTCAATTTGAGTATAATATATCCATACTTTGAAGGGATCGAAAAATTATTGCGAAATCGTAGATTAGACAGCCATTTTGAATTCTATGAGGTTTGAATCAGAAAAAAGATACAATATTTGCAATCTACTCTTAATTGCCTTTCATTTGAGTATAATAAAGCTATACTTCCTAAAGATCTAAAAATTAGCGAAAATTTCTGTTTTCCTGTCCCCCCATACACGGCCCCTGGGGGTCAGGATAAAAAACACGGAATATATGTGAAACAGATGAATGTTGGGAATATACTGCCAACATTTCAAACAATAATATTAATTACTTTGGTTTAGAATGAAAAATTTATGATTTTTGCGAAAAAGTCCCGTCATTTTTGAAGCGGCGGCCATCTTGAAAAAATTTTTTTTGCGTAAAACTATTCACCAATATACATCTTTCCACTAAATATGAAGAAAATCCGTCAACTAGTATTTGAGTTATCTTCCGGACAGACGGACTGACTGACTGACTGACGGACTGACGGACAGACGGACGAACGGAGGGCTTCACTATATCCCTACCGAACTTCATTCGTTGGGATAACTACAGCTCCTTACAAAACATGCCTCAAATGTGCACCTCTCATCTCTATGCTCAATTCAATCCGGCGAACAAAGTTGTTGATGATCCTCCTACACACATGTCTTTCTGAATGGACAAGTTTGTTCAAAGAACAATTGCTACTGGAGCTTACATCCTCCTGATGAAGTGTTACAGCATCCATTGCATTCTGAACAATGCACTGCCTGGGTGGCAATGAGGAAACATGGAATCATCAGTCCCTTTTGGTTCGAAGGTGACTGGGGACGTGCTATCACCATGAACAAGGATCAGTAAGTTCTCACAAAGTTTTGGAGGTCATAAGCACCAGAAGGGACATCTAAGGAGATAATTAAGCAGTGGTTTCAACAAGCCAATACCACCCCCACACTGCAAATGATATGCTGAAATGGTTTAGGCAATGCTTTGGTGGTCAGCTCATCAGTTGCAGAATGCAAACCATATGGGCACCTCATTCGCCTGATCTAAATCCCCCAAATTTTTATCTTTGAGGATTTCTCAAAGCCAATGAGTATACTGACAGGCCCCTTACAATCTTAAGAGGGCAATAACCACCCCAATATTTACCATCCACATTAATGTGTATAGGTCAGGGTTATTAACAACTTTGTTCGCAGGATTTGTTTGTGCATAGAGAGGAGAAGTGCCCACTTTGAGCATGTTTTGTAAAGGACTGTAGTTTTTGAAACAATGAACAGATTATCATCAAACTTTCTGAACAAAATTCACATTGAATGAACTAAATAATTCAAAAATTTCAAGGCAAAATATGCAAAATTGACCGAGTTATTCAACTTTCTTACGGTCCTGTTTTTTTTGGACACCCTGTATATCCCATTAAGCAATAAAAATACAAGAAGCAAAGAAAATACAAGAAAGAGTTGTGCTATCAGAAGTTAATCGTATTGGTTCTAACTTTTGACCTAGGATCATGACATTTACAGCCATTAGAGTGTACCACTGGTTATTACATTTCATTGATTTCCACAGTACCAACTGTCACTAATATGCAATCCATTGAACAAAGGAATACTGTACTTACAGAGCAAAGTTTTCACTATGCATGGTTAGGATGATAGCCTCTAAAGCATCAGAGATGGAACCAAGAAGAGGCTGTATGGATGTCCCCATCAATGAAACGACACCCTACAATACATCACAACAGAATAATACCAATTAACATTACCAATATACAATTTTCTATGGTGATACTATGTGGGAATGGTAACTCACCAATCATAGATGAATAGTCCAGGGAAAATTACTGGTGACTTACAATGTGCTTGTAAACATATACTGTTGAAGGATAGAGTGACAATTTTCTAAAATTTCTGTTCATTCCATTTAAATACTACATTTAATACAATACAATAGAATAAAGTTTTGCAACATTAGCAGCAATTAGAGTGACAATCATTCTCTAAATGATTTTGCGTTTTATAATATCAGTTACGTGGAGTTTATGATATGCATGGTTATCGCTTATCATAATCTGTGGTTAGGATATTTCCATGGTCAAAGCAACACAAATACTTATTAAAAGGTATACACTGTGATGATAATATAAATGCCATAATATTAATGAAATGTTACCTGTAAGGCATGCTGAATTGGCTCCACTGCTTCAACAGAGAGGGTTGCCATTCCAGTGACTACCTTGCCGATATGGATGTGTAGGTCATAGAGAGCATTAACAACTGCAGCATTACGGGATTGACCAGCTGTGGGAGGACCAATCACCTGGCTTGCTTCTCCATCAGTGGACAGCTAAAAACAAGCAATAAATACACAATACAAAATATGCCACAGATTTAGAAAGCTTCAGACAATTGAATAAAGCTGTCCTGGTGACTTAATTGGTTCATCAAATTTCATCGCCATAACTAATAAATATCAGGTCTATTATGTTCAAAGGAACTTGTGGAATATTGTCAACAGAAAAGGACAGTGGTTGATAAATACATGTAAGAATTAAATTAAACCAAGAGGCAATCACCAATAACTGACTCTTGTCTAATAAGAATAGAGATTTAATCATAATTATCCACTTACAAGTTGTTCGCATTTAACACAGTAGAGCTGTAATGTTTTGGCCACATTCTTGGACACCATGCTGCTCAGTTTGCTGTCAACACTTGCAACATTCAACTCACTGAAATATGAAAAGCATTGCATGCCAACACATGTTCGAATTCACTTGGTGATTCATTACAAATCAATTGTTTATTGTATTCTGCAAGTTTGTCCATCCAATGAGTTCAGTATTTCAGCATTTTTATTGTAAGTAGTGTGGTATTTGCACAAAACTAAACAGGTTCAATAAACAAATTATAATTTAATGAAACCTGTTGTTTGCATCATTTGTTAGCCACATTTATTTTAGCTCCTTTATTTATTATATAAATACTTGCTAGAATTTAATATTTGTTAATGGATATAGGCACAAAGTTAACATATCAGCATGAAGATGTAATGTACTAGATACCTGGCAATAGTCTTCACAATGGCCTCCAGCTCCTCTCCAGTGGGTGGGCTCTGGTTGGGACCTGAGAAGACCAGGTTGATGGGATCAAAGAGACGTGAGAGAGACCTTGACAAGTAAGCAGTCTCAAATGATTGCAAACATGCTTTAAGACTAGCTTCGGCTCTGAAAAAATTATAGAGACCATAACTAAAATACAGGTTAAAAATAAGCTTTTTTATTGCTAGTATATATGAAAATGTGTATTTATCTGAATGTTCCAAATCTGTGAAAGAATTCCTCCAAACAATTTAATCAAAGATATGAATAAACCCCAGTATCCTTTGAGGTCAATCACTATCTATGTATCCTGAAATTTCACTAATAGCCATTTTTAGAATAACCTTAGTGAATCAAGAAGTGTTAAATAGCTTAGATGACCAATATTTCTAAGTTTACTGCAGAAGAAGAATTTAACAATAAATACTTGTATGAATCTTGTTCAGTGGAGCTCTTCTCCTCCAGATCAAGTGAGAATTGTGTCTCAGCCACCATGTGACTGCTGAATGGCTCCAGGCGCTTCCATAGCTCATTGTACAAGCGCAACAATTTAGGATACTCTCCCTCAAATGCTTGTTTAATGAATGTTGATGCTGGAAATGAATAAGCTTACACATAAGCTCAAAATCAGATAATTGAGACTATAGATTGGATAATAAACAAATACTGGATGATCAGGAGCTGGATATGGCAGAATACCTATTCGAGAAAAAATATTGGGCGAGGCGGCAGCCGAGCCCAATATTTTTTCGAGGATAGGTATTCTGGCCATATCCAGCTCCTGATCATCCAGTATTTGTTTTATTATGCACCTCCCAATCAAAGTTAAGTGGAGTACTTACTGGAGTACAGGCTTAAACTGTCGTTTAGTTGACATTATTTTGACATTTATTTATTTTTTCTTTCAAAACTCAGACGACTTCCGGCCAGTTTATTCGCTACACTGGACGAAAATATTTGCCCCGGGAATTTAATTTTTATTTATTCGAGACGTTCTTGCAGAATTATATGTAACTTTTGAATGATAAGGGTAATTGTGATTGATTAAGTGCATTTTTTCTTCTATTTTCCGCCAGTTTCAGATGTAAGCTTTGAGTAGTACTCCAGTTATTGAGAAATAAAACTCTGAAGTGGGAATGTTGCAAAAACATTGAAAAAAATATCCGACCCATTTTCTCGAAAGGGTCAGATATTAAAAAAATATCCGGCAGTTTTCAGAAAAGAGCAGAGTATTGCCAAATTACAAGCAACTAAGAACCAATCAGATTTGAGTATTTCAATGAGGTGCATAATAATCTAAATTATAATATACCCAATATGTAAAACTTATCCTGATTGGTCAATACCTAGTCACGTGTTCCGAAATAGATTTACTATTTCCCTCGGAAAGTTATACTCCCTCAAATGTGACGTCAGCGGGAATATACATTTGAACTATTGCCCGCTGACGTCACAATTGCAACTTCTATTACCCTTGGAAACGTCTGCGCATCATCATTGCGCAGACGAAAAACAGAAAAATGGAGGATGAGCACAAACACAAATCAACTCCGTTCACCATGACAGACGTGCGTGAACGATACAATATAAGCAACGTGTATAAAGTTCCCTAAGCTCAATACGTCTGTGTAATTTCAAGTGTTATTATAATCTATTCCGTGTGTTAAACGCGATTGAATTTGTCAAGTGAGAGTCTCAGAGGCAAAAATTTCTGTTGAGCATCTGATGACGTCACAGCTTATAATGCTAACAATGGACCCGGCACCCAGGGAGGGGGCTTTCTAAGCCTTTTTGGCCTTCGCAGAGGAAACGGGACAAGAGTCAGTATAGGGTATATAATAAAAAAAATAGTGACTGCCTCATTGCGGCTGAGGGAATAGTACATTGTAGAGGATATTCCCTCGGGGAAATAATTTACACTATTGCTCGAAATGAGGCAGTCACTATTTATATAATATAGATCAGATACCCTAGACTTTAGATTAAATAACCTGGATTTTAGATAAGATAACCTAGCCCTTGACTATAGTTTTGATAAGCTACAATATAGATCAGTTAAACCTAGACTATATATCAGATAACCAACCAATACTATAGATCAGACAACCTAGACTTTTAGATCAGAATTTTTAAATAGCGGAGTATAACTACTGGTATGTGGATAAAAATGATATCACTCTAAATCCTCAAATATCCCATGTATAATGGTACACTCTTACAATAGAATTTAAAAAAAAAATATGATGGTGTTGACATTTTTAGAGAACAGAATCTTACAGTTTGCTGCTGTGTTGAATTGATCAGTGAGGATTTCAGCCATGGCATCCCAGAACTTCATCATAATATTTTTCTCTCCACTCTAAAACATCAAATGCTAGTTTGTCACACAACATGTGGATGTTTAAATACAAATAGGCAGACTTTAAACTGTTAATGTGCCATGCAGGTCTAGAGTTTTGCTTTCAGCATTTATCCAGACCCATGGAGCATGTATTGAGCACATCATCCATTAATAATCTGGCATGTCTATTTATGCATGTAACTTCTGCATGATTTAAGACTGAATGACCTTTAGGATACAAACAAAATTTTAGACCTTCCTCTAAAACGTCTGAGAATATTAGCACATTAATGTGGGCAATAACTTTTTGGACCATCCATCCTATATATAGCTTTGTACATTAGACGTTTATGTTCATTTCCTTTTACGTTTATTTATGTACTGTACCTTATGAGATTATATACTTTTTAGATTAGTAGTACTGTACCTTATGAAGTTATGTTCAAAAGACATACCTTATGGAGCTCTTGTATGAAACAAACATGTGTTACAGGATCCCTCTTCTTGACAAGCACCTTCTCTAACTGGTCAACCTGAACAAACACAACATGAATAACATGTATTCAATGTAATTTCTGCTTATGTCTGTCTAAGGGTTACAAATCATAACAGACTAATGAAACATGGGACTGCATTTAGGAAATCCTTGAGGAATACGACCTGAAAACCTAGATTCCAATTGGAAAAGAAGGTTAAGCTTTTATTTTTAAAAATGGTAATTCAATTGAAGACATTTAAAAGAGATGTTTTTAGAAATTATTTCTAGCGTCATGCCAAATTAACATTTATTTGAGGATTTTGAACATTCAAAATGAAAAAGTGGAGTGAACATTCAAATTTAGTCTAATTTGTTGTATGATGTATGTTTTAGTAAAGAAATTGTTTAAATCAAAGATATAGTAGAGTACCTGAGCACATGAGGCATAAATGCTGTCCATTAAACGTTCCATGTTTGTCCACAAAGTGGCTCTAAACTGTGCTGTATTACCAGTAGTAGGCATAGTAGACCGACCTGGACCACTTGTACCTGCAATGTGAAATATGGCATGATAATACCATGAATTCATCCTATCAGGTTATTCCAAAGGTTACTTTAATGAAGTAGGCGATCCAAAATTGAGTGAGAAAGAAACTGAGTTATAATTATTGCATGCACAATAAAAATGGTCACCAAGTAATTATGGCCAAAACATAATCAGATGTTGGCACTAGTCTGCTCTTGAATCTGGAAGAAATTCAAGTTGAAAGGGTGTGTGGTTTTCCTGGAATTTCAATGACAATCTATATGGTGTCAAAAACACCAAAATGGAATTCTGGCAAGGCAAATTGAGTATCTTTATTCACTAATATGAGAGACTTTAACCAAGGAAGTAGCAGTATCGACATCTTACTTTTAGACTGTGTATTGGTAATGGTGGCTACATCAAGGGCAGACTTGACACCATCCTTGAGCTGGTCCTGACAGGCTTCTACTACAGACATAACAGTGCTACTGAGAGTGCCAAGGTTATAGAACACCTGAAGAGATGTGGCCACCTGACTTTGGTTCTGAAAAATAAAAGAGCTGCTTTGATTGTTCTGTTTGTTCAAGCATTTATGATACTCATTGCAAATAGCTTCAAGAACTTTCAAAATAATGTTTAAAATTCTGCTTTATTCTCTATTTTGAACTACTATACAGTGACATGTATTACTATACCCTGGGTGAGCAACTGACCTGTGTTTCCATACCCTGGGTGAGCAGTGTATGTGCCTGAGTTTCAACCTCCCTCCTGGCCTGTTTCATGAATCTCCTGTCTTGTTCAATGACTTCCAATCCACTCAAATCTACACCTTCACATAGATAGTCTGAAATAATATTTTGACATCAGGACAAAGGAAAATGGGAAATATAGCATAAAATGAAGGACAGTGTTAATGCAATAACTGAACAAGAGGAATATTAGGATGATAACACAATGAGCTAATTTAAAATTACATGTACCTAATTCATTAAGACTCTGTGCTGCCTTTGTGATCTCCCTAGAGCCCCCTTGTAATTGACCATGAAGTCTTTTACTCAAGTACACAATACGGATGATTCTCCTTAGTAAGTCACATGTTTCCTGAAAACAATACAAAATCATATGAGCAACTTTAGTACTATGTAGTATGAAGATGTATAAATGGCTTAAAGTTGTACTTTCAGCTTAGTTCATCTTAAAGGTATATTCCTTGTAAGCTCAATGACTGCCTTATGTGGAAGTGATGTCACTTAGTTCGGTTTTCTTCAAATCTTCATGGACACCATAGCAAGACTACAAACTAGATGAGATACTATGAAAATGGCTTGGAATCATTTGCCATCTTAAAACCTATTTTTTAACAGAGGTCCTGAGAAATCAGAATAAAAGATATGAACCAAATTTATCAACCAGTACTTGAGTTATCGCCTGAACAGACAAATGGACAGCTTCTTTATATCTTCTCAAATTCCATTTGGTAGGGTAATTAATTTCAATTGAAGCATCCATAGGTATAAACAATTTAACTTACAAGAAAAGTTGCTGATCATGGAATCATTATTGTGAATACTATTGATTCCTTGGATCAACTTTATATACTATAATTTCATATGACCTTTAGCAGTCCTACCTGCAGTCTCCTGAGCTGGGCAGTTCTAGTTACAAGTTTGTTATAAGGCTCTGTGATCTTGCTCTTAATTCTAAAATAAACCAAACATAAATTAATAGATTCCAAAGAATGACTACAACACATGTGTTTCCAATCTACTCTAAATAACATATACAAATAAATAGACTATTAAAAGAAATATCAAAATTAACGAAAATTCTCATAATTAGGTGTTGGAGTTTTTCAAGGCAATTTCATTTATATTTTGCTATAAATTTTTTATAGCACATAGATTTCAATATATAATACAGGGGAAACAGCTATATCCCTGCTTAGTAAGACAATGGTGTTACCTTTCTACTGCAGCAAGGAGAGACTGAATTCTAGTCTGCATCATCTCCAACACCCCTTCCAATGTTTCAACCCCTGTAGCCTGAGATAGTAGGTCCTCATGGTGGTTCACAACCTAGTAGACAAATATAATGTAATTGTTAGAATGAATATGTACTTGTGTTTGTGTATTATGGTAGACATTATGAGTGCATCTATCACTACAATGAGGGTTTTATAAAATATTTGAATACAAATACACCATTATACTTTATGTACAATATACAAACATTGATCACAGTCATTTAACCATATACATGTACCTGTATACCAAGGTAATCATTCGTAAGATCACCAACCAAGGTAATCATACATTTAAGTTAACTCACACTATCTCTCTAATTTACCTGGGAATGTAATTCTTTGTCAAGCAGGCTGATGCCCTCTGCTAATTGAGCTAGTTGTTGTGATATTGCCACACCTTGTATGACTTGAGTGGCATGGGCCTTAACATCAAACTCCTCAGCAAGAAATTGTTGAAATAGATCTAAAAATCAAGTAAACATTGATGCTTTTGAAAACTAGAAAACAGCAGCTCCACGGAGTAGCAAATCCTACCGAACAAAACATGTTTTGATAAATAGCAGCCATCTTGAAAATTTCTTATTGAACAGAACTCCTTTGTCTCTAGGTATCTGACATTACAGATTTGAACCAAATCAGTCAACACTTAGGTCAACATTGGCATATCCACATTCATTTTATGCATATCTATAATGCCTATTTGACCTATCATCGCCGTTTCCCAAGTTCGCCCGGTTTCCGAGAAATTGCTGGTTTTGACGTCAAAAAGTCAAATTTTCTGTAATACTGGACACTTTGTCGAAGTAGAACTTTCAAATAACTTGTAGTAGTTGCTGTATATGCAACTTATGTCCTCAGAAGATTTCAAAGCTCTTGGAATTTCAGTTTTTGGTGTTTACTCTATAAAATTTGACAAAAAGTAGGACTTAATCATTTTCAGGAAACTTTCTCATGTATAAAGTCAATGGCAGGTTTTGTGATTGACAATTTTCTCAAAGTCTGCCTTATACTTGATCATTTCTTGCAATGAATTACATCATTACTAGATTTAAGCATTCCCTACATATTGCTCAATATATGTCAGCATCAAATTTTTACCGTTTTTGAGATATTTGACGTCAAAAAACAGTAAAAAAAGTTATTTTTCAACTTGCTTCAATTTGACCAAATTCTTTTAAAAACCATCTACAAGTTGCCAGGAGTTCAAATCTGACATTAGTTTTAGGATTTGACCTTTACTTGACCTTCAGAGTGACCTTCGAAAGGTCAAAAAAGTTGATTTTTCAAATAGATTTTTGGATATAAATTTTGGTCAGCTTAATCACAAAAGACCTTACTGAGCTCTGAATAAGTAAAATTTTCAAGGTCAAAGGTCATCAAACTAGGTCACACAACTGTGCTATCTAAGTTTCTCAAAGTTCGAGACTACAAATCCAAATCAATATTTTTGTTTGAAAGTCAGGATATACATTCCTCTGAAGGTTCCAAACTGTGTGAGCACAGGACCGTGGGTCCTTTATTTATTCTTGGAACCAGGTCATATGGTTAAAATAACGAAATGATATGATGTAACCACGTATCTACTTACCAGTATGTTCTATGTCATCTATCAGACTAGGTTCCATTGTGGAACTCAGCCAAACACGACACTGAAGGCAGCATTCTGAGGTTATAAAATCTAAATCATCACATCATTTTGTTATTTTAATCATATGAACTGGTTCTCCGAATAAAAAAAATTGTGTGTACATACAATCAACTGAAATCTTGTAGTTGAAAATAAGCTGGATTGGTGGTTATTTAGACAAAATTCAGCTTTATATCAAACACTGACAACATTTTTCAACTAAAAGATCTCAATACACAAGTAGTTGTGGGGGTGATTTGAAAAACCACTTATTATTTCACAGAAAATAAAACTATACCTTCGCTAATTTTTTGTAAGGGTTTTTAGATATCGCAATGACTGCTATATTTGAAATCATTATATTACCTTGGGCATGTCACTAAATAAGGACATTGTAACATTATATAGAAAATTAAAAGCCTGACCTAACTTTTTTATAATGGTATAATCACTGGGGATGAACTGGAAACGAGGGAGGTTTTGCCTCGTATCAAAATGGCGGCACGTGAAAAAATTTCATTCGGTAAGATTTTTGTTTTTTACAATTTTCGTGCTTTTATCCTTCAAATTAAAACTTAATATTTGGCAAGTAAATAGTTTATAAGTTCCGGTTTTATAATATGATTGCAAATTAGAAATCAATACAGACATTGCTGAGATATTTACATTTCAATTCTCTCACTTAGGAAACGAGGCACCTGTCTACATTTTGTAACAATGAAACGAGGCAATGTTTGACTTGCAACGAGGCAACTATTCTTTCTGTGATAGTGTCTACATTTAATGATCTTATTTCCACCGTTCTGGTCACATACGACCGATTACGTTTTACACGATATACTTAGGTGGTTCAAAAAGTTTTGCAGTTGATGTCATAACTTCAAGGAAAATAGTATTATTGCAATGAAACTTGGTACACATATGTGTTATATATTTATACATTATATGGTAAAATTTGGGACCTCAATTTTGATTGGTTCTTGAAATATGGTTGCTATGGTAACCAGAGTGGTGGGTACCATGTTCAACCCGAAATTACGTTTTTCCAAACAGTTTTCTTGCTTGAATAAACTCTTTGTAAAATGGCAATTAGCAGGTGTAAGTGTCTTTGGGTGGCTATTTTTCTTCAAATTCTTCAATTTTTCTAATTGTCTCTATGACATCACAATAGACAAGTGACACGATAAGTTCCTTTGTGATGTATACTGTCCAAAACGCCGAAAAAAAAACGTACGCATTTCGTTCGGACTTTTCACGCTAATTACGAATATGTCACGCATTCCGTTCGAAATTTTTCGTACCTAAATATTTCGAAAACGTTAAATAGCATTGTTTTGAGTGTCAATTCCAATAAACGAGCCAGCTATCCGAGCTATCAATGGTAGCGCATATATCGTCAAAATGTTCTCTCAAATAAGAAAAATCTCGTTCAAAGAAGTGCTATTTTAATAGGGAGCTTAAGCTACAAGTATTTTAGAAATGGCGAACGTAAACGTGAAATGACCCTGGGAACTATAGTTCCGTTCTGGATTGACTTATACAAAGAGCCAATTAAAATAGTTTAACTGATACCTTTTTAATCATTCATGCAAATAAAGACGTTGAAGACAAGAACTAGTTCTCTGAAGATTGTTGTTGCTCGAGATGGCTATATTTGATAGAATATAATTCCAGATACGATAAAAAACGAATGACCATGGTAATAATTAAATGACTCTCCTATATTACAAAAATAGCAGAGTCAAGGAGCACACTGGCATTGTCTCATTGGTGTACATTGGATTTTACTGTTTGTATTCTTTAATGTCTGTATGTTCCTTATTATGTCACTATCAATTATGTTATTCTGCATATAGTTCAACGAAATGTGGAAATGTTCGGCGTCTGACGTCTGGAGTTCGGCGTCTGGCGTTTTGCGTCAATAGCAAATTCTTTAGCAATTTTAGCAACTTTCAAAAACTGAACAAATGCGTACCGCTTAGACTGACATCATATTTTACTGTGAACAATTATAAACTTATTATGACTTTCAAGTATTTCTTAGAACATATGTTACCATGGTAGCAGATAAATGGACTTATTTGTTATTACTAAGTTACAACACGTGTCATATGTTAATGCCTTGTATTTTCTTAAATGCTAGAAATGGTAATGCATTTGTAAATGAAATATTCATAAATTTTCTAGATTATTAGCCATATGAAAAATGCTAATGGTCGATGGCATAAATATTTTGATGTCGCTATCGTGAATTAAAATAAATGATTTTTCAAGGTAGAATAAAAGCAAGCTTTGTTCACAACTGTCTATATCTGCTTCCCTATTCAACATAACATTTTTGCTTTTTACGAAGCCTCAACAAAACAATATCAGCAACGTTGTCGTTTCCTGTTACAGAAATAGCATTTGAACAGGGATGCTTCTTTTTGTAGGCTCCGTTCTGTAATAAAAACAAAACATTTTTAATTAAATATGGTTGCCTCGTTTCATTCTTAAGAATGCTATATAGCTGCCTCGTTTCCTTGAGAAACATGCCTCGTTTCCTAAGTGAGAGAATTGATATGTAAATATCTCAGCAATGCCAGTATTGATTTCTAATTTGTAATCATATTATAAAACCGGAACTTATGAACTATTTACTTGCCAAATATTAAGTTTTAATTTGAAGGATAAAAGCACGAAAATTGTAAAAAACAAAAATCTTACCGAATGAAATTTTTTCACGCGCCGCCATTTTGATACGAGGCAAAACCTCCCTCGTTTCCAGTTCATCCCCAGTGATAATGTGCACTAGACCTAAAGCTGTGGCTTCTACACATGATACAAACCAAAATATTAATACCGGTATTAAACAAAAGGCAAGAGTTCACAAAATAGTTTTCTGTCCACAACCCAAAATTACTGGTTTTACCACTTTTTGTCTCAGCATTTGGTCAATTTGTGTTTTTTTCACTTGAACTTTATTATATACAGTTGAACCTTTAAAGTGGAACACCTCTAGAAGTGGAACATCTCTGTTTGAAGAACACTTTCCAAAGTCCCAAGACCAAGTGAGTCAAGGTTAAATGAACCTCTATAGTAGAACACCTCCTAATTGAAACACTTTTAGAGGTACCAGACTGTTCCACATAGACAGGTTTAACTGTAGTAATTATCTTTTATTGTGCAGCCAAATGTATATAATGTTTCACTTTTAGTGTCTCTCGCATCAGAATTTAATTGTCAATACTACAAAACATCATTATCTGTAAATACACTGTAAATAAACAAAAATGATAAGAATGTTACTCTCATTTGAAATAGTATTCCAAATTCTGGAATGTATTTTGGACTTTAAACGGGTGATACACATTACATTCAATCCTCAAATTTCAAATCAGAAAATTACATTATACAATTGTTGACCTCTCCAGAGGTCAACTGGTAAAATGGTATACCGAGACTGTAAACCGAGATGGTTTACAGTCGAGGTATATGATTATGACAGTTGATCCAATAGTTGATCGAATTGTTTTGTTACTCCGAAGAAAGTAATACATATAAAGACGACAATCATCAACGCATGGCTTCACTTCACAATCTTTTCTCCGAACCACATCAGCAATATTTTTTTTAGAAAATCTGAAGACAGTGGTAGCTAAACTCTCTGTATTCGGCATATCACAGCGTACTCATTAGTAAATTGATGTTAATTTTACGTTTCTATTTGTATTTTTGCTACACTTGTCGTCTGGTAAAGTCAAAATATCACTTTAATCAACGTTTACAAAATGTCCGTCTCCCATGTTTTTTCTGTAAACATTATGATGTCATGAAACTTTTTTTTCAAAAGTAGCAGTCAATAGTACCTAGTAGCGGTCAACAGTACATATTGTTGATCACTAATCAACCAATCAGAATAGAGTATTTCAGTTGAGGTACTAACAATATATATAGAAATTGTTATCCTTATTATCTTACCGAACAAAGTTGAAGGGAATATAGAGAAAGGGTCCATTCGTTGGTCCATGTGTGTCTGGATGATAACTGAAATACCAGTTGACAGATTTTATTTTATAGGCTTATGCCTTATGGATGTATGACCTCTGCTCGAGAAGAAATTTTCAATATGGCCGCTCAATTCAAAATGGCAGCCAACGTTCAACATGTAAACTTTCATAACTCCAATTATTGTTGGTGGATTTGGTTCAAATTTTAATTGCCAGTGCCGCTGAATTTCAAAATGGCCACCATTTTTCATAAAAACCATAACCCTTTGGACGGATGGATGGACAGACGGACCAACTGACGGACGGATGGACCAACAGATGCCTGGTCAATCCCATAGGCTCACTGTGTGAGCAAAAAATTGAGAGTACAGTCGGAGACATCAATAAACCTCAACCATCAAAAGTTGTCACAATGAGCTTAATTCTAAGTTTCATGTCTCAAACTCTCCCAAGCGGTAGAAAAATAATTCCTGCTCACTCTAAGTAGCACAATAAATGAATACTTGCAAATGATGGATAAATTCCTACCAAATCTAACAAATGCTTTCCTGGATCGCCATGTTTGTGATCCAAGGAGGATTGACTCCCAGAATGCAGCATCAGTTAACCTTATTTACTCGTGACAGGTTCCAAAATGGCAGAATGGCATTTTGAAAGCTGGCACGTGTCATGTCACATTCTGGGAGCCAATCCTCGTTGCGGCGTAATGGGGCTCCAAAATCACCTCAACATTTGAAGAGTCTGCATTAACATGTGACCGTGTGTCTACTTAGTAGTTTGTTCTATGTCATCCATCCTGCTAGGTTACATTGTGGAACGCAGCCAAACACGACAATGAAGGCAATAACATGTCGATGTTGATCTTAGCAGAATTTTTGGAAATTTAGATCGTCCATTTTGCAAACTCACGTGACTGACACGTGACACGTGTCTGATCACGTGACTAGTTACTGTATCGATCATGTGACTTAATGACGTGTCACCCAACCATGTCTTCAAGGAAAACGGAAGTAAATATTTTGGAAAATGTTTTCCGAGCATTTGCTACTGATTATAGAAGGCCCAATTACGCAATGAACGAAACTGCTAAATTGTATTTTGTGCCTAACAGGCCCAGTACGCAATGAAAGAAACTGCTAAAAATTGTATTTTTAGTCTGCTTATTGATCTATTGATTCATAAAGACCTGAAATGATGCATTCAAATAAGACCGCCTCCTAAATGAAAACACTACGCATAGTGGTGAAAAACAACGAACTAAAGTTGAAAGATCGCAACGTTCACTACTTTGTTCAGTTCCGGAAGTCTCCAAGGGGCTGCAGAAGAAGAAGAAATGGGAAATTTTTACGATTTAGATTTTATAACCTCAGAATACTGCCTTCATTGTCGTGTTTGGCTGCGTTCCACAATGTAACCTAGCAGGATGGATGACATAGAACAAACTGCTAAGTAGACACACGGTAACATTTCATTATTTCATTATTTTCACCACATGAACTTCTACCGAGAATTTGTGTTCAGATTCTAGTCATTAGTTATGTTCACCACTTTAGCAGAAGAAGTGAGTAGCTCCCATAATTCTTTCATATTGTATCGTATTCGGGGATTCCCCATAACATCATCTGTGATGACATCATTACATCATCATCCAATCAAATTGCAGGATGTGATCACGTGAACAATCATGAGCACGTGCTCTCTCAGTTCTGCACATGCGCAAAGTTAAATCTGAAATCGTGGGAATGGCGGAACATCAGTTCAACATCATCATTTTAAACATACGGTAATACTATTGAAGTTACTCGATCCATACTTGTAGAGAATACTCATAAAACTACAGCGAACATTTGGAGATCCATTTGAATGGCAAATGAAGCCTGTTTATAAAATCTGTTTTCGAACGTGCCAATATAAAAGGTCATCTTTGGGAAATCTCCCCCCCCCCCTGCCTCTTTAGCTAGCCTAAAGTCCATTTCACTGCTTCAGTTCGTCAGTAGAACGGCAAAAATAAGAAATTGGGAGACTATTGTGCAATAATATATGGAAAAGTATACTCATAATGTACATGAATGACATTTGTATATTTCAGATTTTTTAGTTTTTTGTGCAATAAGCCTGTGCCGTCTTGTAATTTGAAGAATTTCAGCCATGTTAATCTTATTGAAAATAACATGGCAGAGAAACATCCAAATATAAGAGGCCACACACTTTATAAGCCAAACTAGAAGCAATCCAAGATATACAAATGTCATTCATGTACATTATGAATATACTTTTCCATATATTATTGCACAATGGTCTCCCAATTTCTTATTTTTGCCGTTCTACTGACGAACTGAAGCAGTGACATGGACTCTAGCCTAGATCTACAAAAAACTGAAATTTATTTTACACCACAGATTGTCAAAAATTGCAGTCTTACGTACACCTCGTGCATTCGTACCAGGTATCGATAGGTATTATTCTTTGGGAATCAAAGAAAAGATTGCAAGTTAATGTAAAAGATAAGACGAAAAAGTATAATTACCATCGTTTTGCAGAGTTTCTATCAACGTGTCCTCCATTTCTAAACTTCCGGGTTGGAGTTATTTGCGGATATCTGTTTTACTGGAATATATTGGTCTGTTTTGTAAATCTACTGAATAGATCTAGTCATATTTAATATGAAATAATATACTAGACTCATTACACCAATACAGAAACATTTGGATTGAATTTAAATTGAAGAAAAGTAAATGTTTTCATGATTTTTGTTTGTGCTATCTGAAATTTGCTTTAATTTCAAAACTTCCGGTTTAAAAAAGCATGGACAAATTAAGTGATTTAGTACAGTAAAGTTATCAAGATTAAAGACTCTATTTCAAAGGATCGGGTCCAATATAATGCATGCAGAAAAAGAGTTGAATGATGGTATTACGAAGACACCAATTGAGTTTCTTCAGGGAGATAAATGTGTGAAGATATGTGCTCCTATGGTCCGATATTCAAAGTAAGTCCTACTACTTTTTTCAAGGCCTGACTGCGTCGCTAACATGCTAAATATAAGAGTTAGCTGACGTTTGGGAGTCTGACTTACCTTCTAAAGGTTAGAACCCGAATCTTAATGAAACCATATCACCTTTGTTGCGTCGATGATGATGCATAAACATAGCATTTGATAGAAATTAGCGTAAATGCTTTTCCGACTTTTTCATTTTTCATCAATGTTGACTTCCGGGAAGGCGTTGTAGTTATCACTAAATAACGCATTGACCCATGAACTTTACTTTGTTGACGTGTCAACCAAGCATGTCTGGTGTGAAAATTAAAAGAATATTAAGCAATGTTCTACATCCGCCAAGCTAAGTGAAGTAGTCAATATTTAAAATTACCAATTTCAAGTGAAACTGCGTGATCTACACTCCCACTATTGGTCTGAATGAAATGCTACGTAGAAATATGAGCCGTCTGCTGTATTAGTCTATTAATAGAGTAAGACCTGTTGGTGATGCTTTATAATTTAGACCAAAACATTGAAGAACAAACGAACCTGTAAATCGTGAAAACAACGAACAAATATTCGGTTTTCACATATGTTCGGTAATTTTTCGTATTGAAACTTCTGGAACTTACAAGGAAATCATTCATTTTCTCGATCCATGATTTACCTCTTGGATGTTGTGGCAAATGCTCCATGGTTGACGCAACAAAGGTGATATGGTTTCATTAAGATTCGGGTTCTAACCTTTAGAAGGTAAGTCAGACTCCCAAACGTCAGCTAACTCTTATATTTAGCATGTTAGCGACGCAGTCAGGCCTTGAAAAAAGTAGTAAAACTATATATTACTGTACATGAAAAAGGGGGTTCACTTTCAGATTTTTAGGTGCTTCATTGGTTTTAGACTACATTCTCTAGAAAGGGCTAGAAATATTCAGACTGACTTCTATTCAGTCTCTTGGATACATAATACATTGGAATGTTATCTCATTCCAAGACTATCTCTACGTTCTAGTCTTGCGAACGTCTTATTCTTTTGTCTGTACGATTACAACATGGGAGAATTTTCTACGCTTCTTACACTTAAGATACCTATTTCAATAGAATCCTTGGTATTTTAGCATTCTTTTCGTGTAGTTGAATCCACAATTGTGTGGGTTTATTGGCAGAACAAAGAGGTTTTTGTTTTTGATAGCAATATTTGCGTGTAATATTTAACTTATTTCAACCGTCAAATTCCTCCATTCAGTTCCCGGCATGCACCAGTCATAAGGGAAATCCCTGGGGAATTCCCCTTCCGACATTTTGAAAACTGCTGATATATTTCCGATGTAAAAACTAAAATCTCTTCGTTCTGCCGATAAACCCATACAATTGGCGATCTAACAACATAAAAAGAATTCTAAAATACTAAGGAATGCATCGAGGTAGGTCATTTAGGTGTGCAATGCATAGTATTTTCACCAACTTTGTAAAAACATTGACTGACCAATTATACACGCGTACGACCACAATCTAAAGGGGTCGTAGGATGCGATAAATTGGAATGCATGTCAAACTGATGGAGACATCCAGACCGCAGGGCAAGGCACAAACGTTTTCGAAAGGTATTCTGATCCGAGCTGTATATTTCACTTTGAACATGAAAACGCACCAAAATTTTGCTAAATTGTCACTTCATTTCTTACTTCCGGGTAGTTCAACAAGTTAAACCCAATACCACGGCTTTCATTTATTAAGGTACAGCTGGAAAGTAACATTTTGGTAAAAAAATTGCTATACCTGCACATGTTATTTTCTGGTACAAAATTGAGCATGAAGGCATGTGTATATTTCTTTGCTTTTTTCAGGAAAGTATCATGACACTGTTTACTTTTAGTAAACCTGGAAACAGGTCAATGGTAGCTTCTATGTTGTCTGGAAACTTTGAAAGAAAATTTGGAAAAATAGAAAGTGTCAAATATCAGAATTTCCTGGAGTTCCCATTGATCTCCTACCAGATATCCTAAAAGAAGACAATGTAATGATAGGTTCCTGAAAAAAGCAAGGAAATTGTCACATACCTTCATACTTTATTTTGTACCAGAAAATAACATGTGCAGGTATAGCAATTTTTACCAAAATGTTACTTTCCAGCTGAGCCTTAATCTGAATGTTATTGTTGCCGTGATTGGGTTTAACTACCATGCTATGCTTTTATTGGTTGCAAATTCTCACTATCAGTTATTAATTAAACGCGCATGAAATTCCATGCGCTGCCATAGGCCACCATTAAATTTTTTGCATCAAGGGCCGAATAGGCACGGACATTAAACCTAGGACGGGCCACAAGATATGTCAGATAAGAAATAAGGCCCAGACTAAGTTTCACTTGTTGAACTAACTTCCGGGGCACTGAACGAAATACTTACCTTACTTACTTATGGTTGGGACTGCGCATACTTTAGATGTACTAATATGTGATAGGTAAATACCTGGTGGTACATAGCATGTAAAAGTATACCCCATCCCCCAAACATCCACATGCACACCTATTAAATAATTCTATGCTCTTTCTCTTTTTTTGATGCTGTTTCAAAAATGATGTTCATACTCTACTTTATGTTTTGCAGATTAGCATTTAGGAGCTTAGTGAGAAAGTATGACTGTGATGTCTGCTTTACACCAATGATTGTTGCAGATTCCTTTGTTAAATCATTGAAGGCCAGAGATTCAGAGTTCACAACAAATTCAGGTATATTTGTTCACACCCCACTTCTAGTTTAGGATTTGTAAATTAAGATGTGTATGATGAATATCAACCCAATTACCCTTGATGTTGGCTAATTCGGAAAACTTAATTATTTTGTGACATTGCGATTTATTAATTGGTTAAAATCATTATAGAATTAATTTGATCTTCCATTCAACATACATGCAATAAAGTCATAAGCAAAGAAGTGTTTTGGTTGGTTGATGAAAATGGAGAAATGTCTTAAAAAGGAGCATGTAGGTTATCGCAAACAATTTCGGAAGGTTATATCTTGGATTATGACTATTTTCTGACATTGAAGACAGGTTTATCTTTTAGATCAATTCATTATCTCAAAGAAAATTATATACAGTAATAATAAGATCAAACAAACTCGGAGATATTTAACTAGCAATCAACCCATCAACACACTTTTTCAAAGATGTTGACCCCATTTTCACCAAAAATGCAATCATTTTTTACAATGTTTAATGCATTACTATTCTTTATTTTGATGTATCAAATTGTTCTCGAAAGAAAAACTTAATTGCTTTGAGATAAGTGATCCCCGTGTTATTTCTCCATTGAAAAATCTCATGCTATCCATTGGTTTCAGTTCATTTTGATCATCCAAATTCAATATCTTTAAAGTCCCTGGAGCAATCAACTTTTCCTTTTAGGAAATCAAACATGTCTCAAAGCACACTCTAATTATGCATTCAACAATATAATAAAAGGTTGCATTTTTGGTGAAAACTAGGTCAACATTTTTGAAAAAGTATGTTGATTGGTCCGTTGCCCCTTCAATATCACTTAGGTCTGATTAACTACATTATCATTATATATACTTTTCTTGAAGATAATGAATGGATCTCAAAGATACACCCATGTTTATGATCAGAAAATATTCATAATTCAAGTTAAAATCGTTTGAAATTGTTTGCGATAACTTACATGCTCCTTTGTGTGTAGATGTAATGAAACAATTCTCATTTTAGCGGTTCACTCTTCAAACGAGGAGACATGGAAGTCTTTCTTTATAGGGACAAAATATTATCAATGATGCAATTCTCTGGGGAACAAATTCTTACTTCTTTGTTTTTCCCTCATTGGTTTAGCATGTGGATTTTCATACCTATTTTTCAATCCCTATGTTCAATCAAATCTCCATCCGATTGGATTGGTGCAATGTTCATTGTGTAGCTCAACAACAATCATTTGATGTAGCTTGGTGCAATGCTCACTGTATAGCTCAACAACAATCATTTGGTGCAGCTGCGTGCACTGTTCACTGTGTAGATCAACAATAATCATTTGGTGCAGCTTGGTGCACTGTTCACTGTGTAGCTGAACAACAATCATTTGGTGCAGCTTGGTGCACTGTTCACTGTGTAGCTAAACAACAATCATTTGGTGCAGCTTGGTGCACTGTTCACTGTAAAGCTCAACAATAATCATTTGGTGCAGCTTGGTGCAATGTTCACTGTGTAGCTCAACAACAATCATTTGGTGCAGCTGCGTGCACTGTTCACAGTGTAGCTCAACAACAATCATTTGGTGCAGCTGCGTGCACTGTTCACTGTAAAGCTCAACAACAATCATTTGGTGCAGCTTGGTGCAATGTTCACTGTAAAGCTCAACAACAATCATTTGGTGCAGCTTGGTGCAATGTTCAGTGTGTAGTTCAACACCTGATTGTTACAGTTTATTGCAATGTTTATTTCAGGCGATCGCCCATTAATTGTACAGTTTGCTGCCAGAAATGCTGAGGATTTTGCAGCTGCATCAGAGATTGTTCAACAGTAAGTGCTGACCTCATTTGAAAAACTCTGAATAGTATTACTGTATAATGATTAGCCAATTAGGTGCATATGTAGGTCAAAATTTGGATGCCTAGATGCATTTTAGATAAGAGTTTATTGGATGATTTCGGTAATGATCTTTTCCTTTTGCTATGTGTTGTAACTTTGCTAGTCTTAAAACTCTGCCTGGTAGTTTCAGAAAAAGGCTTGCATACAAGAACTCAATATTTAATCCATCATCAATTAATTGAATCTTCGGATTAAATTCATTTTAGGTGGTAAGCCAGCTATGAGGCAAGTGAGACAGTTGCTTCTTATATAAGTTTGATGGAAATATTTGCATAACCAATTAGTGAATCTTTAATCAACTTGTTTTATAAAAATCTCTTCACACAAAATGACATGTAATTGAATATAATTTAGATTTGCTGATGGAGTTGACTTGAACTGTGGCTGTCCTCAGAGATGGGCAATGTCAGAAGGCTATGGAGCCTGCCTCATTAAAAAGCCAGATCTCCTTACTGATATGGTTGCACAGACAAGGGCACGCATACAAGACCCAGACTTCTCTGTATCTATTAAAATCAGAATACAAAATAATGAAAGGTTAGTTATGTAAAATGAAAGGATAGTTAAATATGTTCTTAAAGCTTCCCGTATAAAAACAATATGGCGGCTCCATGCGAGTCAACTGGATCAGTCCATTTAAGAAATAGGGGGGAGTTTTGAAAAATCCTGTTGAAATTGTCTTGGAGATAAAGTAATCCGTAATGATTCTGAAAACATTATTGAGAGAGTGATTGTTCAAGGAATGCATGTACAACAGCCAATGTAAATCCTTGTATTAGAACTGCTATGTTTCATTTGTAGGATATTTCATAGGCCAAGCTGTGTACTAATACGTTATGGGGAAATTTAGATGTCAATTTTTCCTTATTATACACAAATAGAAGATCCCGAAACTTCACCCATAAATGTGGAATTGATTTGTCAAAATAAAAATCTCCCTTTTATAAGTGTGTGACGATCAATAATATACTTATGCTATATAACAGTTAGAGGTGTTGACACAACAACCTCGAGCCTGTGAACCCTTGAGAATTATTCCGGCATCAGGCCTTTATACTAAATGGTGAGCAACACCAGAAACGAGCGTTCAATTATCTAAACGATATGTGTCACCCTTTAATATAGTAAAATACCTAATACTGTATATTCATTACCGGATTTTCTCGCATATACGCCCCCCTAAATTAAGGCCCATGGGCCAAATGTAGTACGCTTATACGTCCATGGGCCTATAAAAAATGACTATTTATTGATTTTTTCAATAAATTCAAGAGTATTTTGTCACTGGCAGATCGTTTTGTCGTTACTTTGTTTCAACATTAAGTTCAACGCTTTGCCGTAAGTGGCAGTGGTGGATTGTTCTGTTGTTACTTTGTTTCAACATTAAGTCCAAGGTTGTAGGTGACATTTCCTTTATAATTCTTACAAAACATGCGGTAGGACTACAACAGTAGGTACGGTAGTCTTTGAGGAAGATGGCTGATGCCCACCCCGCGGTGAAATATGTGGGCTTTATCTACGTTTATTGACTCAGTGTTAGAATTCTACTAAATTTTATTTATTTTTTATTAAGCTTACCGCGCAGCTTATAGTGCGATACATGAATCTTACAGTATTTTGAGCACCTACCAATACTAAACCATTGTATTCATCAGCTCTTCTCACCTTTACACTCACTGGGCCAAAAATTGAAAGTAGTACACTTATACCCCCATGGGCGAAAAATAAGAGGTAAAATAAGAGACGAAATTACCCCTTCTTTCAGTTATACGCCCAGGGCTAATATGCGAGAAGATCCGGTAGGTCATGGACAGCTTTTTGGACTTTTCAAGACATGACTTCTGTAAATCTTTTCTAAAGACACAGATTTTATCTTATTGTTGTTTTCATGTTATTGGTTTGGGGAGCAATTAAGAAGTTGAAATGTTTTAATTAACTTTTAAATGGACTTTACTTGTATTTGAATATGATTTTACCAGGCAAACAGTCGAGCTTTGTCAAAGAGCTGAACATGCTGGTGTTTCCTGGATTGCAGTACATGGCCGTACTCCTGCAGAGCGCACACAGCCGGTCAATTATGACATCATGAAGCTCATCCAATCAAGTGTTTCTGTACCAGTTGTTGCTAATGGAGATATCAAAAGTCTTCAGGATGTCAAAGACATTAGTGAAAGAACTGGAGTGAAAGGTATGGTAGGATTTATTTATTTATTTCGTTTATCTATTCACCTTTATAAAATGATAGGAAGCAGTGTTAACATTATACGAGGGGTGATCAATAAGTAATGGACGCTTTTTTACACAGATGCTTTTTATAGACCAATCCCTTCGATTTTCTTACCAGTGATACATCATTCAATTATCTATCAACTCATTTGAAGACAAAATATATAATACATGTTGATATATTCTCATTTCCGTGAAGGAGGTACGGGTACCCCGGGACCGACATTTACACCACATATTCTGAAGCTATTTTAGCTTGTTTAACATGCAATGCAGTTGAATGCAGGCTGAACAAAACAAACCATTATGGTCATGAATTACCCCATTTTGTTATGCCATAGTTGATTTTGAATATTTTATCATCACTATGTGGTATTCATGCCACATTCATTCCACAGGGCCCTCTAAATAGGCTCCATCAAGTGCTACATGTACACAATTCCTCATCCTCTTAACTCAAGATTGTGAGACAAGGCTGAATCCATTCTCTGACATGGTAGCAAGGTACAGTTGCATGGGTTGTTTTATTTAATCAATGTTAATAAACCTGTGTCCTTTCTCTATAGAAATAAGTAGTATAGAAATAAACAAGGCACATGTGAGCAGATGTGGACAATATAGTGCATTGGCCAAGGGCTCAATTTTGAGGTCCAGGGATATTGTTTTCTGAACATTTTGCAATCTGTGGGCAGGTGCATTGTCCAAATGGAGTAGGGTGTTCCCTTCTCTCACCACCCCTTTCTTCCACAATGCTTTCTCAAATTGACCTGCAAACCCCTTCCATACAACACTTTGACATTACATATACTTTCTGTTTATGTGTTACCAGTCAGCAAAAAATTTCAAACAATACAACACTTCTTGCATATAAAAAGTTCAAATCTAACTCAAATTTACCAAACTGGCTAAAAACTGAATATGTGATGTAAATGTCGGTCCCGGGGTACCTGTACCTCCTTCACGGAAATAAGGATATATCAACATGTATTATATATTTTGTCTTCAAATCTTCAGAATTGATAGATAATTAAATGATGTATCACTGGTAGGAAAATCAAAGGGATTGGTCAATAAAAAGTATTTGTGTAAAAAGCGTCCATTATGGCCTAGTCACATAGCTCGGCCGATGTCCGGCATCGGTAGAGCTCGGTGGATTTTTTTGGAGCCACCGAGCTCTCCTCATCGGAAGCAGAGCTCGGTGACGTGAACGGACTCCGTCCGGACATCTTCAGGCGACCGACCGAACACCGGCCGGTGACCGTACGGAGTCTGTCTCAAAATGGTAGTTTTTTTCTGCCGATGTGGCAGCAACTTCCGGCCGGAGGTCGGCCGGACATCGGAAGGAATACGGCGGTACCCGAGCAGGTAACAGGACACCGTGCGATCGCCGGCCGGGTTGTTAACGGGCTTTGAACAGTGACCGGCCGATGCTCTGTCCCACATCGGCCGGAGCTCGGTCAGAGCTCGGCCGCTGTCCGTTAAAAAACCTCGTCCTCTGGTTGTCTCAGATGCACGGGACACCGGCCGATACTCCGCCGTGCACCGGCCGACGTGTTTTCCGATGTGGTTACGATGGGGCTGCGATGACATGATGAGGGAGCTCGGTGAGAGCCCGGTGAAATTTAACTCCGAAGTTAAAATTTCACCGAGCTACCACCGATGCGGTTTTAAGCAACAAACGCCACGGATGCCTGGCCGGTGTTCGGCCGAGTTCGGTGAAAATTGCATCGCTGGCTCATCGTTACCTCATCGGCCGGGCTATGTGACTAGGCCATTACTTATTGATCACCCCTCGTACACATTCAAAATTCTCAGTCTTAATTTTGATATACTGTAGATCTTAGCTAAAAATTTCTTGAACTATAAGTTTTGAAATTATCATATCTAATTTCTAAATTTGAAAAATCATTCCATACATGGACTGTAAGAGATAAACTTACATTGATGAATAGAGCCAATTGTTTCCTATTGAAAATGGACAATAAGGGGCTGGTGGCTGAGGTCATTCTACAAGTTATTACACAGGATATTTATACCATTTTCAATGACTCCTCTCTCCAAATCACTTTGCAACATGACATAGTACTTTAATTGAGTATGATAAAAATCTTTGTTATTGTTATTCATATAAGCATCCATACCAGGTTGTGTTTTGACATTTTTTAAAGTTCAGTGAAGATGTGAGTTGAGTTGAGATTTCGCCTTGAAACACTATGATTTCGTGACCAGATGGAATTCTCTCAAAAGATTTTACCCAGTCTTAATATCATCTCCACACATAACATGGTCGAGCCCTCTGCTAAGATTGAATGGGTCATTATTCATATATACCAATGATAAAGTCTCGTCTTTATGATGTGACTTCAGTTAAAAGAATGATTAAAATGATAAACACAACATTGTTATCTCTCCCATTTTCTCAAATGTGTGTACAAATTCACGAAAAGATATCTGAAGCTGATAAAAAATTCCAATTAGTCAACATTGACCCAAATGTTTTCAAATTGGTACATGTGCAAAATTCAAATTCTAAACTATAATGCATATTTTAAATAGGTGTTATGTGTGCCAGGGGTATTCTTCAAAACCCAGCCATGTTTGCAGGATACAATACAACACCTAAAGAGTGCATCAAACAATGGGTATGTTTGTGTGTTAACATCTGATCCTGGTTCCTACATGGACATTTGCCTCATTTCTGAGAAATTGACTTTTTGTCAAAAATATCACAATTTTAACAAAATATAAAAAACATAATCATTGAGTCTCTTTCATTGTTTCCAAATCAGATAATACACCTGTATATATTTCAATTGATGCTGCGAAGTATCATTGTTTCAGCTTTCCAGGTCATGTTATGTAATAAAATGTTGATAAATTATAGGCAATTGAATTGTCTTTAGTACATGTATCACATATAATTCTGTCACCACCAAATGGGCGACATATTGTTATAATTTTTTTATCTACAGTGTTCGGCAGTTGGAGTTGGATGTTTGGCAGTTGGTATTTGGGGTCTGTAACAAATGGCAGGTGGCATTTTGCAAGCTAATGCCTTGTTGTCTTCGGAGTTTTTTGTTTCAGTTTTAATTTATGTAATTTTAATTAATTTATTATTTGTTTTACACTCATCTTGTATGAGTAATACAAAACTTTTGTACTTTCAGATTGAACTATCGTTGTCATATGGAACATCATTCCAGTGTTTCCACAACCACTTAATCTACATGCTAGAAGATATCATACCTAAATCAGAAAGACTTACGTTCAACAGTCTTACTAGTGTACCAGCAGTAATTAGCTTTCTTAACCAGATGTATGATATATGAGCTGTTCTACATGCTAGAAGATATCATACCTAAATCAGAAAGACTAACATTCAACAGTCTTACTTGTGTACCAGCAGTAATTAGCTTTCTTAACCAGATGTATGATATATGAGCTGTTCTACATGCTAGAAGACATCACACCTAAATCAGAAAGACTAACATTCAACAGTCTTAGTAGTGTACCAGCAGTAATTAACTTTCTTAACCAGATGTATGATATATGAGCTGATCTACATGCTAGAAGACATCATACCTAAATCAGAAAGACTAACATTCAACAGTCTTAGTAGTGTACCAGCAGTAATTGACTTTCTTAACCAGATGTATGATATATGAGCTGATCTACATGCTAGAAGACATCATACCTAAATCAGAAAGACTTACATTCAACAGTCTTACTAGTGTACCAGCAGTAATTAACTTTCTTAACCAGATGTATGATATATGAGCTGATCTACATGCTAGAAGACATCATACCTAAATCAGAAAGTCTTACATTCAACAGTCTTAGTAGTGTACCAGCAGTAATTAACTTTCTTAACCAGATGTTTGATATATGAGCTGATCTACATGCTAGAAGATATCATACCTAAATCAGAAAGACTTTTCAACAGTCTTGCTAGTGTACCAGCAGTAATTAACTTTCTTAACCAGATGTATGATATATGAGCTGATATACATGCTAGAAGACATCATACCTAAATCAGAAAGACTTTTCAACAGTCTTGCTAGTGTACCAGCAGTAAATAACTTTCTTAACCAGATGTATGATATATGAGCTGATATACATGCTAGAAGATATCATACCTAAATCAGAAAGACTAACATTCAACAGTCTTACTAGTGTACCAGCAGTAATTAACTTTCTTAACCAGATGTATGATATATGAGCTGATATACATGCTAGAAGACATCATACCTAAATCAGAAAGACTTTTCAACAGTCTTGCTAGTGTACCAGCAGTAATTTACTTTCTTAACCAGATGTATGATATATGAGCTGATATACATGCTAGAAGACATCATACCTAAATCAGAAAGACTTCCATTCAGATTGAACTATCGTTGTCATATGGAACATCATTCCAGTGTTTCCACAACCACTTAATCTACATGCTACAATCTACAATCTACATTACGAGTGTACCAGCAGTAATTAACTTTCTCAACCAGATGTATGATATATGAGCTGATCTACATGCTAGAAGATATCATACCTAAATCAGAAAGACTAACATTCAACAGTCTTACTTGTGTACCAGCAGTAATTAACTTTCTTAACCAGATGTATGATATATGAGCTGATATACATGCTAGAAGATGTCATACCTAAATCAGAAAGACTTACATTCAACAGTCTTAGTAGTGTACCAGCAGTAATTAACTTTCTTAACCAGATGTATGATATATGAGCTGATATACATGCTAGAAGATGTCATACCTAAATCAGAAAGACTTACATTCAACAGTCTTAGTAGTGTACCAGCAGTAATTAACTTTCTTAACCAGATGTATGATATATGAGCTGATCTACATGCTAGAAGACATCATACCTAAATCAGAAAGACTAACATTCAACAGTCTTACTAGTGTACCAGCAGTAATTGACTTTCTTAACCAGATGTATGATATATGAGCTGATATACATGCTAGAAGACATCATACCTAAATCAGAAAGACTTTTCAACAGTCTTGCTAGTGTACCAGCAGTAAATAACTTTCTTAACCAGATGTATGATATATGAGCTGATATACATGCTAGAAGATATCATACCTAAATCAGAAAGACTAACATTCAACAGTCTTACTAGTGTACCAGCAGTAATTAACTTTCTTAACCAGATGTATGATATATGAGCTGATATACATGCTAGAAGACATCATACCTAAATCAGAAAGACTTTTCAACAGTCTTGCTAGTGTACCAGCAGTAATTTACTTTCTTAACCAGATGTATGATATATGAGCTGATATACATGCTAGAAGACATCATACCTAAATCAGAAAGACTTCCATTCAGATTGAACTATCGTTGTCATATGGAACATCATTCCAGTGTTTCCACAACCACTTAATCTACATGCTACAATCTACAATCTACATTACGAGTGTACCAGCAGTAATTAACTTTCTCAACCAGATGTATGATATATGAGCTGATCTACATGCTAGAAGATATCATACCTAAATCAGAAAGACTAACATTCAACAGTCTTACTTGTGTACCAGCAGTAATTAACTTTCTTAACCAGATGTATGATATATGAGCTGATATACATGCTAGAAGATGTCATACCTAAATCAGAAAGACTTACATTCAACAGTCTTAGTAGTGTACCAGCAGTAATTAACTTTCTTAACCAGATGTATGATATATGAGCTGATATACATGCTAGAAGATGTCATACCTAAATCAGAAAGACTTACATTCAACAGTCTTAGTAGTGTACCAGCAGTAATTAACTTTCTTAACCAGATGTATGATATATGAGCTGATCTACATGCTAGAAGACATCATACCTAAATCAGAAAGACTAACATTCAACAGTCTTACTAGTGTACCAGCAGTAATTGACTTTCTTAACCAGATGTATGATATATGAGCTGTTCTACATGCTAGAAGACATCATACCTAAATCAGAAAGACTTACATTCAACAATTTCACTAGTGTACCAACAGTAATTGGTTTTCTCATGATGTATGATTATATAATGTGAGCTATTTTTAGGTTTATAGTGGTGAGTTATTGACCCAACAAAATATTCAGTACCTGTTGTGTGAAGGTGAGGGGATCATAGGCCTAAGGGGTTCCAAAACTAGATAACAGTAATGCCAAGGGGTTCCAAAACTAGATAACAGTAATGCCAAGGGGTTCCAAAACTAGATAACAGTAATGCCAAGGGGTTCCAAAACTAGATAACAGTAATGCCAAGGGGTTCCAAAACTAGATAACAGTAATGCCAAGGGGTTCCAAAACTAGATAACAGTAATGCCAAGGGGTTCCAAAACTAGATAACAGTAATGCCAAGGGGTTCCAAAACTAGATAACAGTAATGCCAAGGGGTTCCAAAACTAGATAACAGTAATGCCAAGGGGTTCCAAAACTAGATAACAGTAATGCCAAGGAAATCCTATCAAACAGCCATAGCAGCCATTTTTGGAAAACCCCTCCACTACTTTTTGTCACCACCAAAAAGTGGTAATATATTGTTATGGTCTCTGTTTAGCTGACTTCAATTTTTTTCAAAATCATCTACATGTTTTCAGAAGTTCAAATCTAACTATATATTTAAGATTTGACCTTCAATGACCTTTTCAAGGTCAAAAGAGTTATTTTTTCAACTTATTTCACTATAGATTCGACGTTCAATGTCATTCTCAAGGTTAAAACAGATTTAACCTTCAATGACATTCTCAAGGTCAAAAAGGTCTTTTTTCATCTTGCTTCAAATTGACAAATTCTTTTTTCAAAACCATCTACAAGTTCTCAGAAGTTCAAATCTGACTTTAGATTTCACCTTCTCAGGGTCAAAAAAAGGTGTTTTTTCAACTTGCTTCAAATTGACTAATTTAATTTTTCAAAATCATCTACAACTTCTCGGAAATTCAAATATGACTAAGATTGAACTTGTTGATTGAAGTTGTTTATAGATTGAATAGGGGGAGTTTTTCATGCATTTCGCTTGATTTTAATCTAAAAAACATCAATACACTTTGTAACATTTTATTGACTATGAGATGCAATATATAATCCCAAAAATATTTCTCATGTTCAAGGATTGGGTGTGGATTAACACCCAGGTATTTTCATTTTTCAAACTTCAGAGGGCTGGGAATCATTGATCTTATTCGCTTTTGAATAATATAAATCCTGTTTTTTTGTTTGCCAATAATTTCTCAAACTGTGTAAATTGTACCCATTCCTTAATCCCTAGAATATTCTCTTGGAGGAATTTCCCAAAGTAATCCAATGGTATATTTCCAAGCAGATTTTGAGATCACAGGAAAGTAAATCTTTAATACACACCTTATTGTGTTGTTTTAGTTTATATCGCATATAGATGGAGCCATTCTCTATATCCCCCCAAACTTTGTTCGATGGAATAATACTGTAATATAACAGAAATCAAGTCAAGTATGTTTGTGCACTTTAGTGTATTTGAAAAAACTATCAGTACAGCTCTTGAAATTAAAGAAGCAATTTATTTTTGCATACAATAATTTCTTGTTCCACCCATCTTGGCATAGCTAACATGTCTCTGGAGGTGATCATCTTTCAAGTCTTTCTGAATATGATCATCTTTCAAGTCTCCGGACATGATCATCTTTCTGGATATGATCATTTCAAGTCTTTCTGAATATGATCATCTTTCAAGTCTTTCTGGACGTGATCATCTTTCAAGTCTTTCTGGATATGATCATTTCTCAAGTCTCAGAATCTCAAGTGAAGTCTGCTAGGAGTGGGAGGGGATGATCATTCCTTTTTGGAAGAGTCCTATTATATTTGTCTACTTATACTGTCTACCACCCACAATATGTTGATTCCTGAGAGCCCAAGGTTTACACGACTGAAAAACAACAATTTTAGACATCATTAGAGAATCATTAGATAAGACATTATCCCATTTAAGCTGATGTTTTATTATTTTCAACAGGTATCTTAAATCAATGCTTGAGGGTCATTGACAGTAACTTTATAAAGTTAAGAATTCATATATCAATTGTTGTAACTACCATGAATATAATGACGTAATAGTAAGAGAGCAATGAGCTTCTTGATCTTAATTCTTAATTTTACAAAGTTTCTGTTAATGACCCTTGTTATCATTGAACTCCTCCAAACAGTTATTGTGAAGTGCAATTCATATAATGTTAAATGTATGTTAAAGTATGTTACAAGGGTGAGGGGTAAAATAATAAAGAGTTTTTCATTCAAGTTTTGATAATGATGTGCTTAAGATTCATACTTAAAGGAACATTCCTTGCCAGACTATTTCTCTCCTGATATGGTAGCTACTATGAGGTTATATAATGGTTGATTTCGTATATCGTGTTTATACTCAAGTGAGTATATGATATATTCACGAGTGACTGAAGGGAACGAGTGAATATATCATATACTCACGAGAGTATAACGATATACAGAATCAACCATTATATGATCTTATTATCCCACCCTAATCCATCTTCGTTCACTCAGCTCCCGTCGGATGAACGCAGTGAAGACCGAGCGTGCGAAGATGACCCTAATCTTTAATCAATAAAAGTTTAATCTAAATTCAGCAGTTGTATATCAAGTCGAAGAGTTGTATACGCTGCCCCGGGAGTTGTATACGCTATCCAGGAGTTGTATATCGTTCTCAAGAGTTGTATACAATGAGTGTTGGTTTTATATTGCAGTTATACAATGCTATTATACAATCATATAAAGCACTTAGGGTGGGATAAAATCATATATATACTTTACATATTTAGCAAAACATGGGGAAATGTTTTCATATGGTCAATATTGATAATTTAAAAATGTAGTACTCATTCCCAGTAGGCTGCCATCTTTTCAGAATTCTTTCAGGAAGTGATGTCATCGACTCTCACCTGTTATAACCTTGTCTATTACAGTATAGGAAAGAAGTACAAAATCACTTCTAAACAAGAAGCCCTTATCTTCTGTGTAAAAATATTTTCAGGAGTTGTCAACTTAGAACTAAACAAGAGATCACCAAAAGGATTTTAATAATAGACCAAATTGAAAAAAATATTCAGCTGGTTTAGTAATTCTAATAGCTCCTTACTTAATGTTATATGCAAAGTTGAGAGTCGATGACATCACTTCCTGAGTGAAATTTTAAAAGATGGCAGCCTACTGGAATTGAGCACTACATTTTTTAGTGATCAATATTGACCATTTCAAAACATTTTTCTGTTTTTTGATAAACTTGCAAAGTATGTATATGGTTATAGCTACCATATTAGGAGAGAGATGGTCTGGCAAGGAATACCCCTTTAATATTTAATTGATACATCCATACAACAATCACTCAAAGTTTCTGTAGAAACCATAACACGCTATTCTTCAACTGCATTTCAATGTTTCAATGTATGTATTTACAATGACATTATATATTAATAAATCTTATTATGTCACCACCAAAAAGTGGTGACATATTGTTATGGTCTCCGTTTTTTTGACGGCAGTTGGTGGTTGGCGGTTGGTGGTTGGCGCCTGTAACAAAATATTACAACTTCCAATAACTGAACAAATACTGTTTAGACTGACTTCAATTTTTTTCAAAATCTTCTACAAGTTTTCAGGAGTTCAAATTTGACTTTATATTTAAGATTTGACCTTCAAAAAGGTCTCTTTTCAACTTGCATCAAATTGACCAATTTTTTTTTCAAAATCATCTACAAGTTATCAGAAGTTCAAATCTGACTTTAGATTTGAGATTTAACCTTCAATGATCTTCTCAAGGTCAAAAAAGGTCAAAAAGGTTGTTTTTCAACTTGCTTCAAATTAACCAATTTTTTCAAAATCATATACAAGTTCTCAAAAATTCAAATCTGACAACAGTTTTGACAATCAATGACATTCTCAAGGCTTTTATTTAAAAATCATCTACAAGTTATCGGAAGTTCAAATCTGACTTTAGTTTTGACATTCTCAAGGTCAAAAAAGATTTGACCTCCAATGACCTCCTCAAGGTCAAAAAGGTCTTTTTTCATATTGCTTCAAAATGACCAATTTTTTTCAAAATCATCTACAAGTTCTCAGAAGTTCAAATCTGACTATAGATTTGAGATTTCACTTTCAATGGCTTTCTTATGTTCAAAAAAGGTCTTTTTTCAACTTGCTTCAAATCGACCAATTTATTTTTTCTTCATCATCTACAAGTTCTCAGAAATTCAAATCTTACTTAAGATTGAAATCATTATATTGTGAGCAACTAGGTGGTGACATTTTGTCTTGTTAATGCCTTGTAAAAAGTTGAAAGAAAAAGAAGTGTATTTGTTTATTATAGCAATTTTTAAAGGTATGGGTATTGTAGTGATCTACCTTTAATACAAGTCCAACTGAAACAAATCAGGTGAAAAGATTTATGGAGATACTTACCCAAGCATACCAGCTTCATTGGTCTTTATATGATGTAACCATAACAGGATTGCATGGAACATATTGTTGCGACCCTGAAGCAAAGTAAAACATGCTAAAGAAATATTTAGAGAATAATTAGTACCATGGTGTATTTGCCTCATAAAAATCAGTCATATTTAGGCTCTGAATCAAATTAGGTGTACTAGTTAACATAAGCTAACTCCTTTTGCCACATGCTGGGATTGGACCCAGGACCTTGACATCAGAAGTCCAGAGTACCAACCTTTACATCACAGAGCCGAAGATCAAATACATGGAAAGATTTTTACCTTAGGCAGGTCCAAGATCTGCTCTCCAATGATGAGCTTATAATGTGGTGGGTTAACATGTGACTGGTAGATCAACAAACTCTCTTTCTTACTCACTGAAACATGAAACAATCACACATCACCTAACAGAACTAAGAGGGACAGAATCTAGTTTTTGAGGCTTTGGTGAGAAAAGGCAAAGCATATCTTACAGTTGATTTATTTTTTTATGGCTGGAGAAAAATATCTTGCTTCAACTAATTCAGATATATTCTGCTAATGAATTTAAAATGCAAGGCCTTCCCAATGACCTAATAATTATCCTTGAACCCGTAATGCTACGTGTAGTTCTCACATCACTAGACTGGTTTTATTTGTAATAAAGGTAGGTCTTTCTTTGGTCTAAAATTAATGATAGCTGGGTTTGAAATAAAAATCACAAACCTGGTTTGTCTGGAGTCTTTGCAAAATGTTTGTTTGTGAATGTTTTACCATCAGGGAATCTAGGGTGAGGTGGAAGTCTCTGGTCCATATAGCTACACAGACAGTGCATCACAATCTGAAATAATGTAGAAACAATGCTTTATTACTGGCTAGCTAGCTAATGGAAAACATCCCTGACACTTTGCCTGTAAACATGCAGACACTTGAAAAGTTGTCAAGATTTTTAGACAAAAAATCCAAAATGAAAATGATAAAATTCATCCAGCATATCTGAAAACTATGCACTTCTTGATAATCATCCAAAGAAACTAAACTCTAAATTTCAATCAAATGGTTCAAATAGGTAAGTAATAGACTAGATGCGAGTAGAAATAATCTTGATTTACGTTATTAAACATTCAAAATTCACTCAAAGTGATGTCATATTTGAAATCTACATGTAAAAGAACATCTAGAAATATGGGTTCGAAAATTGTTTATCAACTAGTTTGAACATTTAATTTTTTTGAAAATGTGACTTCTAGTTCGGGATGATTCCCCATAGACCCCATGTTACAAAACCACAAAAAGTGAAATATCTTTTCTTGTATTGGACAGATAACATTTTCTTTGAACTGGACATATCTTAATTTGCATAACTATTAGATACATAAGGGTTATATGAAAATTGAACCACTAAAACAGATGTAATTAAAGTTAAAGTGAACTTTCTACTATACCCGCCATGCTATCTGACCAGAACGAGCCACCTGGTGGTTAAACTGGTAACTACCTACTCGCATCTGCGTTATTCTGATCCTCTAGATAAACCTAAATTTATTGCACCAACCTGCACCATCAAAAGATTTTTGGACAGTGATTGAAATTTTAATTATAAAACCTGATGTGCATGTTACTCCAGTAAAATCTTGAAAAATAAATGAAAAAATTGCAACACAATGTAAACCTAGTGTAATCAATAGCCATTGGTAAGTGGAACAACATATCAAAAATCTAGAAAAATCTAAGTAGTGGAAGACTAAGAATTCAAGGGATGAAGATACCCCCCTCAATCACCCCCTAAATCTCAATGATATATCTTTAAAAAAATCTGGATATGCATCAGAGACATATTAAAATTGAGAAATCTATTCAACAGAAAATTGAAAATTGTCAGAAAATGTATTTTTGTGTATGTTTATACCCTACCTTGTATTATATTTTGGATCATTTTTCACTATATTTATGTATAACTCTATTATCAGGCTTCATGGTAACTTGTAAAAATTCATGCTAGCTGAACTAATGTCAATGATTAGGCATGGCCAATATCAAAACTTGAGCTTAAATAGGTTTGTCAGAAAAAAATGCTAAAAACATCATAAATGTGTTAATTTTTCAGGTTCAATTTTAGGGTCAGGATTAGCTTGACCAAATAAGTTTTGCATTTGAAGTGTATCAGCCGAATTTTTGTCTTATTATTGTACTATTGATGAGTACAATCCAATAGAACATGATTTTGTAGATGAATGGAACATGGGAAAGTGCATAAAAATGATTCTGACATAAATTGGGGGGGTAGACTATTTCAGCTTTTCGAATAACATGTCTAGATCATGGTTTGCTTCTGCAAGGATACAAATTGCCTTTTTATATTGAGAGATGAACTTCAAAAATACACAATACTCTTTTTTATTTATACCATGACTAAATTATCAATGTTTGAAAACTTTTCATTTTCCATGACAATGCAATTACACTGTAATACTATCTAAATCAATATCATCAATTTCATTTGTGTTTGCACAAATGCCTATAGAACCTATTTTTCTTTTGTGGTCTTGGCCTACGGATAACTGGCCTAGAAAAATCTGAAGTGCTTCTGGAAGGAACTCATTAGCCACTTCAGTAGAGTTCATGTCGTGGAATCCAGGATAGAAGTCTCCGGGTTGCATAATATCTTTGATTCCAGTCTTAATTAACTTTGCAGCAGTTACAATGACATTACGGATTTCATCTTCTTTTTTGTTTTGTTCACATTCATGGAAATTATGCAGAATTTTCGATGCTCGATTTTGGAACGTGATGACATTTTTCTTTTTTTGTATGTTTGTTATCAGGATGCTATCTTCAAAATGTGCCTTGAGTCTGTCCTTCATGTAACGGCAACCGAAAGGCTCATTTCCTTCTAAATACTCATTCATTTTTTCCAATGTGTCCTCAATTGAAATTTGCTCATCTTCAGCTTGCTCTAGATATTTTACTACCATTTTAAAAGCATTCTCCCTTTCTTCTTCTTGTAGTGTGTGCCAAAACTCCAGAAAATCCCATTAACTGATGTTGAGGTAGGTTACTATGATTTGACCCATAGTCAATATAGATTGGTTCATTGACTATTCATTTTTACTTGTCTGCACTCAAAAAAGTGACACGAAAGGGCTAAACGGCTTGCCCCAAGGTGCAACCGTCAAAAAGATGAGTTTGACAAAAATCTTTTTTTTTCAAATAATAGCAGCGAGTATATAAAATAGGAGGCAAATTTGATATTGATATGTATGATAGTCCATTTGGGTGTGGTCATTTTTATTAAAAACAATAATATTGAAGAATTATACATTTCTGACCTTAAAATGCCATTTTAATGCAAAAGTCACGGTTGCTATTAATTATATTCCTATTTTACCTATTTAATATTTTCTATATATTACACTTACCATTATATTCATTTTTGGCAACGTAAATAATAATGGGGCTCACACAAGGATCCACTTTATTTACAACTTTTTCATATTTAGTGATGTTTTGAAAAATTACTACGTTTAACAGAAAATTATTTGTTAAATGTTCAACAAAATAATGATTATGTGTTTGTTTCCTTGTTTCAACTGAAAAATGACAATTCATTGCTCTTGATCTTAGAGCGGCAGGGCATATACCAGTATGACCAATCTTCAATACAGTTGATCCTTGTGTGATCCCTACTATTATTTACTTTGCCAAAAACTAATATAATGGTTATTCAGATATATGAAAATCATTTGATAGTCAAAATAAGAATAATATAATTGACTTTTGAATAATAAAGCATTATATAGTCAGAAGTACCAAATTTGTACCATAATTGTAGCGTGGTTGCTAGTTAAGGCGGTAGACCATCAGAATCTAGATTAGAAGGTACTAGGTTTGGTTCCCACACTGAGCATTACCACGCAACTCCCCAAAAGAACCCTCTTGTCCTTACAGAGTGCCATATTTGCATATTAAAGTAAATAGACGATTTTGCCACCCTCCCGCCATATTCTTGTGTATCTTTATAATACTAGCAATCTACTGTTCGAGTCGGTCACAGCAGCCCCACATGGCCTTAAAAATAATTCCAAATACCTGGCTATTGACTTTTGACCTTTTCTGATGCATGACATGAACTAGCCCAAAGGCCTTAAAAGGCTTAATACCTAGATATTGACTTTTGACCTTGAATTGACATGACCCATCAGTAATGACAGCATCCCATGTGGCCTTAAAACGCCAAACACTAAGATATTGAAATTTGACCTTAGATTGACCTTGACCTCAGTTTACGTTTCAATGGAGTCAAGTGCAGCAGCCACTCCAAAACGCCAAATATTTAGATATTGATCTCTGGCCTTGACCTATAAAAATGACACTGATCTCAGGTCACTTTATTATTGGTGATCAAATGTCAGTGTAGCCACAAACGAGCCAACTACCTAGATATTGACCTTTGACCTTACTATAATTTTGAACCATAGATATTGACTTTGACCTCATGTCACCTTAGCTTGAGTTGCCAAGGGTTATAGCAGCCCCCAGGGCCTCAAAATGCCAAAGACAGAGATTATGACCTTGTAGGAATGACCTTGACCTCAGAACACATACCAATGGGTCCTCACATGAAGCAGCATCCCCCAAATGCCAAATATTCAGATACTGACCTCTGACCGTGAGATGACCGTGACCCATAAACAGTGACATTGACCGGAGGTCACTTTATCTTTGGTGATCAAATGTTACTGAAGACCCACAGTAGCCAACTACCTATGACCTAGATATTTGACCTTTGACCTTGAAACTACCTTGAAATCACCTTGTCATTGGTCGCCAAAGGTCACAATTGTTCTCACGTCAACTTGCTAGATATTGACCTTTGAACTTGAAATTTCCTTGATCCATTCAGACCTTGACTTCAGGTCACCTAATCATTGGTTGTGGAGGGTCAAATCAACGGCCAGGTGTCTTAAAAAGCCACCTACCTAAATATTGACATTGTACCTTGAAATGACCTTGACTTTTGTAGAATACACTTTTTATGAACAAAAATGAAACATTCAAAGTTGAAAACTGACCGTTTGAAAATAAAATTGCTAATGCTAATGTTTCAAAACAAAGGTATCTGTAAATGTAAAAGTAATGTTCGAATTGAAAAAAAGAAATATACTTCAATTATATAATTTTCTATCAGACTAAGTAAAATTGTAACTGTTTTAAATGTAAATGTTGCAATGAAAGCTCACATATATCTTGTTGCATATCAGTCTAGTGCAGCTGCTACAGGTATCACTCTGACAAACATCGGTGAACAAATCAAACTTGATGTGATGCAAATCGGTATCTTTTAATTTGGCGTCCACGCAGAATGTTGGACAAAATGGCTAACTGTTAGATAAACCATCAATAATAGAATTGTCAAAAGTTGCATTTATAAAATCAATTCCTGCCTCATCACTGTTACACCCATTACTACAAGATGTTGTCTCGACTAGATCACTGTCTGCAAGCTAAAAAAGTATCAAAATCACTGCCTGCTTTATCACAATAAACGTTTGTTACAAATAATTTCAGTAAAATGCAAATAGAAGGCCCATTTGATATTAATATGGAAAGATAGTCCACTTTAGTGCGGTAATTTTACTGCAACAACTACATATATGTGTACATGTATAATGCCATTTTATTCAAAAGTCAATCATTGTATTCCTATTTAACATATTAAAGGATTTTTATATATTTGAATAATCGTTATATTCATTTTTGGCAAAGTAAATAATCATAGGGCTCACACAAGGATCAACTTTATTGAAGACTTTTTGTACTGGTATATGCCCTGCAGCTCTAAGAGCAAGAGCAATGAATTGCGATTTTTAGTTGAAACAATGAAACAAACACAATACCATAATTACATTTAATATTTAACAAATAAAATTGTGTTTAACATAGTATTTTTTCAAAACATCACTAAGTATGAAAAAGTTGAAAATAAAGTGGATCCTTGTGTGATCCCTATAATTATTTACTTTGCCAAAAACTAACATAATGGTAATTGAAGCATTTAGAAAACATTGAATAAGTAAAATAGGAATATTATGATTAGCAACAGTGACTTTTGGATTAAAATGGCATTTCAAGGTCAGCAATAAATAATTCTTCACCATTATTGTTTTTAATAAAAACGACCACACCCAAATAGACTTTCATACATATCAATATCAAATATGCCTCTTATTTCATATACTCACTGCTATTATTTGAAAAACATGATTTTTTTCAAACTCATATTTTTGACGGTTGCACCTTGGGGCAAGCCGTTTAGCCCTTTCGTGTCACCTTTTTAACTGCAGACAAGTGAAAATGAATAGTCAATGAACCAATCTATAATGACTAAGGGCCACTTCTTAGTAATCTACCTCAACATCGGTTTAGACTAACTAAGCCACTTTTGAAGCGATTTGGCGCATACTATTGTGGCCTTCCCACATTTTTAAACTTTGAACCACCCTGTTCAAAAATTCGGGGGACATCCCTCCCAGTTCTAAAGTTTGTGCTACATACTTTATGGTACACAGCATCTGCTGCTGGAAGGTCTGGACAAAAAAGCATCCGATCTTTTACTTCATTGCTCCATGGCGAATTAAGTTTGTCGCATATTTTTAAACATGTGGAACTATAGTCTAGGGTCATTATAGGGTTCAGTTTGAAATCAGTCTTTCTACCTTGATATGGGTCACCCTGTCCACAAAATAGGCAATTTGTCTTATAATTGAATTTGACTTCTTGAGATCTTAGATTTTTGGAATTTCTTTCTGTTGGTGCACTTAGTTTCCGTTTCAAAGCAGATATGACATTAGTATTTGTATACTCTTTTCTACAATGGACATGAACAACTTGCCCAACTGCTATAGTAAAGCTATCATTTCTAGCATTAATTGCCTTTTGTAAACCTGACATGCCCTTTTCACCCAGTTTTACAGTCGGCACAGTACTGTCACAGAGTGTTTCATTACAAAGTATGCACTCATCATTATCCACATCCATCATCTCAGCCATGATTATGATTTCTACTTAACTAGTACTTAACTAACTACTTAACTAATCTTGTATATCTTATCTACCCTAACTAAATTATGTTAACTATCTTAACTACACTAAACTATCTCAACTACATGTAATTCATATTTTATCACATAACAGCTTAGCTTATTGCTATGGATGGTTCCCTATGACTGAATAGCTATATGTGAATGAAGCAAGACTGTATGTACAGTATTATTACATATCTACCATTTGCATGTCATGAGAATATACAAGTATATAATTGTCTCGATAAAGGAGGTATAGTGTAATGTCACAATAGTAACACTAAGACAAAGAAAAAAATCTTCAGCTATATATACAATAGACACAATTACACAACCTTACCACAAAATGTGGACTTTGGGATACCGCACCACAAATGTAAACTTGGGGATACCACACAACAAAATGTGGACTTGGGAATACCGCACCACAAAATGTGGACTTGGGAATACCGCACCACAAAATATGGACTTGGGAATACCGCACCACAAAATGTGGACTTGGGGATACCGCACCACAAAATGTGGACTTGGGGATACCGCACCACAAAATGTGAACTTGGGAATACCGCACCACAAAATGTCGACTTGGGAATACCGCACCACAAAATGTGGACTTGGGAATACCGCACCACAAAATATGGACTTGGGAATACCGCACCACAAAATGTGGACTTGGGGATACCACACCACAAAATGTGGACTTGGGGATACCGCACCACTAAATGTGGACTTGGGGATTCAGCTTGTTTCTGGACAATTAAATCAAAATCATACCTGTGTCCAAATACAGCTAACCAACTTTTCAGCTCACCTACCAGCACAGCTTTTCAGCACTGCTTATCAGCTCATCACAGCTCAATCAGCAAGGCAAATGACATCTGGCAATTTTGTGTATTGAAGCATTACATGTATAACTCAACCTAATTACATAATGTAATTTATCTTTTCATAATCAACTTATTCCTAGGTATGCAGATTAAATTTGCAATCACATCAAGGAAATTTTTGGTTAAATTGCAATATTTAAATAATGCTTGTAATTTGGTATAATGGAATATCACATAGACAATGTTTATTATTTTAATTATTTAATAATACTAGATGAAAATAAAGCATACAAAATAATCTAAGCCATGAATGCACATTATTCGACCAATTCAACATCCCACATGCCATGCTCATCCAGTATTATAAGTGTTTATAGAACACATGTACTATACTATTTGCGTTTATTATGCTCTGTTACTATGGCAACCCCTTGACCAATCATATTCAGACTCATTACATTAAAGAATTACATCAGCATCCATGACCTCTATAAATATAACTGTGACTGATCCTGTAAAATGACATTTCTAGGAAATTATCACCAAAAAGTGCCACGCCCACTTTTGAGTGGACAGAGTGATGGTCACCTAATAAAATATAGTCCAGAGTCAAAGATATCATATAATTCATCAAATTAATCATGTTATCTTATTAAACACTCCCCATATATGTTTTAAGGGTAACTTTATGTTCATTTCTAAATGATTTGAAGAGAAATGGCAACATCAGGTAGTATAGGAAGCTTCAAATTTACTGAAATATTAAAGATTTTGAGCATTTAAGTTGTGTTGCTATAGTAACCAATTGACCAATTTATATCAAACTTGCTGTGACAACTCAACTATATATAGGTGCATGATCCCTGAAAATTTTATTGTGATTGCAGTTACATAACAGAAATTATTAATGTTTATCATAGTACCCCCTCATAAAATTACCCCAGGGGGTATAAATGGTGATTTAAAGGTTTTCCACCACTTAGATTTTTCTAGATTTTTGATATGTCATTTGACTTACCAATGGCTATTGATTACACTAGGTTTACATTTTGTTGCAATTTTTTCATTTATTTGTGAATATTTACAACGGTTTTACTGGAGTATGTCTGTCTTATCACTTAAGCTATATAAATTGTCTACTTACCACACTATCTGTAGGTAGGTGCTCACCCCAGGGCTTCCCTTTATAATCCACACCAGACTGCCAGTGAAAATCACTCAAACTACCCCCACTACCTAACTCTGGAAACATAAAAAACATGTAAGTAAATAGTAAGTATAAATGGGTTTTATCCTCAGTTCTTTATTTGGTTTATTATAAGGCAAATACATATGATGGACAAGGCAATGTCACCAACTGATACATCCTTGACACAGCATTATGTATAAACTGAGACTCCAGCCTCCAAATGTAGTATGTATACTTATGAACACATGAATGACATAGGATAATGCAGGAATAATACCTCTCAGTCTCTGAACTACATATTGCTGGTTGGTGGATGCCTCTAGGAAAGGTATCATGCTGTTCAACATTGGGACGTGTTGACTCTTTGTAACTGCCAATTGCTTCAAAGTGGCTATGCTAACCTCTGAAAGCACAGAGACATGTATGTATCATATAAATTATGGATGGCCATTCTTTATTCCTTACCAACTTCTTCTAATGTTCTTTCATTCATATCGCCAACACTTGGAATTTATAATTGAACAGAACTTGTACTCACACGAGATATATGAAATAGTGTAAGGCTAATGGTATTTGTGTTATTGCCTAGACGGATGAATGAACAATTGTATGGATGGATAATTGTACTTTTGGATGGACTTATGATTGAATGAATGTGTTCTTTTTATGCCACAAATTTTGCACAATGGTATAATAATTACAATTTGGAAAGTGGGAAAGGTTAAGTTTGCCATAATACACCCAGTATGGGCTCTGATTTAGTGAAGCTAGGGTCTATCTGAACATTTTTATCCCTGTTGTTGTAACACTCAAGTTGTTACTTACCACCAATCTGCATATCTTCACATCCTATACGAGCTAGGTCTTCATTGATTTTATCCATTTCAACAACTAATCGCATGAATATAGTTTGGCATAACCACTGCAAAGATCAAACAACAAAACGTCACCACCTGGTTAAAGCAAGATAAAAAAGACCTTTTTGACCTTGAGGAGGTCATTAAAGGTCAAATCTATTTTGACCTTAAGAATGTCATTGAAGGTCAAATCTACAGTCAGATTTGAACTGTTGAGAATTTGTAGATGATTTTCAAAAAATAGGTCAATTTGAAGCAAGTTGAAAAAATACCTTTTTGACCTTTTTTTACCTTAAGAAGGTCATTGGAGGTCAAATCTCAAATCTTAAGTCAGATTTGAACTTCTGATAACTTATAGATGATTTAAAAAAATTGGTCAATTTGAAGCAAGTTGAAAAAAGACCTTTTTGACCTTGAAAGGTCATTGAAGGTCAAATCTTAAATGTAATGTCAGATTTGAACTATTGAAAACATGTAGATGATTTTGAAAACAATTTAAGTAAGTCTATACAGTATTTGATAAATTATTGGAAGTTGTAAGAATTTGTTACCAACCGCTGTCAAAAAAAGGAGACCATAACAATATATCACTACATTTTGGGGGTGACATAAAAATTTAATGATTTCATTTAAGTAATAAAAAGCAACAACTGCTCATTTTGCAAAATCTAAAGAAACACTTATTCTAAGTTATTAGTTCATTTTTCATTATGTAAGTGTATTAAACATCAACAAAAGATAAATTCATTTACCTTCCTCAGGTTTTCAGTCCACCTGTCTAAGTCTTCTCTGTAAATCCCACGTGCAAGCCAGAACTGAATACATATAACACAAATAAAACAAATGATCAGGGTGAAACATTACCAATGGGCCAGAAATCAAAAGCCAGTGAGAGTCAACTGAAGTTGGAAAGCAAAATCAAAAGCAAAAAGGTCTGTGATTTCCAAATGAACACTGGAAATGAAATGAAAATGAACACCAAAGTTGAGATGGCATATCTCGCTGATATATGTTGCTTAACACGGAAGTGAATGAGAGAAACATGATAGATTCAGCAAACTAATGCTTGGTTTAAAAAGAATTTTAGATTCTAAACAGGCTTGAAGTCAAAGATGCTCTGACAATGTATAGATCTCTACAATGAAATTCCCGAAGATATCATATAAAAAGAGTGGTCATTTCAATTTTTGCAAAAAATGGTTGTTTTTAAAAAATTGCTTTCAAATTTTAAACAGCCTTTAAAGTCAAAGTTGCTCTGAGAATGTAGTGATAGCTCTAGTAAAGATTCAGTAAGATATCTCATAAGAAAGAGTGGTCATGTCAAGTTTTGCAAATAATTAACAAAAAGGTGTACCTCAGCAGCAGCTGCAGGTGTTATGTCATAAGAATCATCATCATTAGATGCCTTGAGAGACTCTGGGGATCTACAGGCAACCTGGTACTGATATTTACGCAATATTGGTGTAAAATCTGAGGCACTTCTGTTGAAACTCCAGAATGATGGTCCCCCACTTGATGTCTCATTTGCAGCTATAATATAACAATGTTTCGACAGTTGTAAGCTAATGGCATACATGAACTCCATAGCTTAACTCTAAGGCCAGACATCACTTCTGTTCTACACATAAAATGTTGTAGTGATAACAATCATTTTGAGAGCATGTTATGCAAGATTTCCAGAAGATGAAAGTAAGTATTCACTCTATTTAACTACCTGGACTGATAGCAACTAAGAAGAATTTGGCAGAATGTTTTATAAATTTTTATTGATATTTGCAAAATATGGTGTTTTTAAAAGAAAATGATGACATAGACACAAATTGTACAAGAACACATGTTTCAGCATTACTTGGCTAAAATCTAAAGCATATGTGAATGTGTACAGGAATACTTTTTTGGCTATATTACCTAGCTGGTTTCTGTAGTCTTTCTCCTGTTCTTCTATGAGAAACTTTGCTAAACTATCAAGATCACTGATGTTACCATCTGCTGCCACTGCAACAAACATGGAGCATTTCACTCATTCAATGAACAAAGAATGTTTGGGGAGAAGCAATTCTGAGGACCTGTCACCTGTTCCATACATTTATGGATATACTGATTAAAATCAAAAAGTGGTAGAATTATAGATTAAAACTTTAAATAAAACAATGTTAAATAGCCCCAAATATAAAAATGTTCATATCTGGTTTTAAACAGTCTGATTTTGAATGATCAATGAGATATCACATCAGCAAATTACTATTACAGGTGTATTGGTATTTCACGACGGCAAAAACCATTAAAGGTGATTGGTTCAGTTCTGTACAAGTGATAATAATGCAGTACTATCATCTATTCAATTTATGCCTAGCTCAAGTCAAAATATGTGGAACATTATCAACAAATCATGTGTTAATTGAAAATGTGAAGCTACTGTGGATTTTACACATACTGTTTATCATATCTAGTTTGACAATTATTGCTGGTTTTGTGCCTATTTCATATTTTCTAGTATTTTATCTATCATGGAAAAAACAAAATGTAATTGCTTTACTTGGAGAGCTCCTCGCTGATTTCGGCAATCTAGAACGCAGTCCGCTTACATCTAAATAGGAGGAGCCACCAGTACTACGTGGACTTCCACTCTGTGACTGAAACAGTATACATATTGTTTATTAAACTGGAAATACAATGATCAATTCTAACTGCTTCATGTATTAAGAAACTCAAATAAAATAAAATAAGCACTGTTTCGACACTAGAATATTTTAACATAACAATGTTGATATCTTACCAGATTAAACGAGGAGTTTCCACTCACAGTGCCACCTATGAATGATCTTGAATAACTATCAGGTGGACTTTGTTGTGGAGAGGCCAGACCACCATAGGCTGTTGTTGGAGTGCTGCCTGGGCTATATGGTGTGCCATAGGATGGAACTGGGCTTGTGAATTTTGACCCTGGTGTAGAGATGGGGCTGTAGGGGGAGCCAGGGCTACCAGGAGTGTATGTTGAGCCTGAGCCTGGGCTACTACCTGCTGGGCTATATGGTGTGCCAGGTTGAGAGGTGGTCTGCCTAAAGGGTGATCCAGGCAGGCAGACTGGTGAGCTATGATATATACTAGGAGACTGGGAGAACACAGGAGAGCCAGTGCGAGAGGATGCAACCTTGGTCTTTTGGATTGTGCGGAAACCTGGCTCTAAAATAATAGAAATGATCATTTAACTAGAATTGTGACTATTAAAAGTAATGTTCTCTTCAACATAAATATAACAGTTACATTAAATAACTTAAGATACCAAATGTAAATTAAATAAACAAGTTTTTATTTTTTAGTTCATACATCATTTAATACAATGTACATTACATTGGCACATTCTTACCTAGCTCTTTAACACCCAAAAGTGTTCTTTCCCTATTGGTGAGCTCTACTATATTGTTGGAGAACTTGGGCCACAAGTACTGTGTGAATTCAGATAGCATATTAAGTGTAAAAACTACTGCGAGACCACATTCTGCAATAAAAAGAAACACATCCCTTCACTCTGCTGGTATACCATTCTTTTAGAATTGTCAAACAAAGAATTCAAGTGCCGCCATAATTTGCAGTCTCTCCAGTCTTGTTCCAAACAATTGTCAGTGAAAACGGCATTAGCTGAGGCTACTTAGGGTTTGAGAAACTGGAGATGTAAATGACTCAAGACATGTATATATGTACTATGGGGAACACATACTTACCTATGTACCAAACCAATGGAAGAGTCAGTCGCGTGTCACCCATCAGGCTCCCATACTGCCTGCAATGGAATATGTTTCAATTGATGAATTTGAAGTATTGGCAACATGGGACAACATTTGGAACATACACATGTTGGCAGAATGCAAGACTACATAGAATTTGCTAATCATTTAAAGCCCAAGCCAAAACCTGACAATGGCAATGTAATCTTTGTTGTACAACAAGATGAGGAACATTTTGTTATGATTTTAAAAAAAAACAGAAAAAAAGTTTGACAATTCAATATTGTAGACAGTTTTTACCACATACGAATCTAAAAAATCTGATACTCATAAAAATTATTTTATGTAATTTTACATATTATTTCATTATCATTCAATTTTATAGATTGACATCACAATAGTCATGAATATTGTTTATTCTTACTATTTGGAATGCTGTATTTTGCAACAATTGATTTGTATTTTCGTAGATAGTTTCATTTTATTTTGTTCATGCACTGTATTGACCAATAATTGTTGCTCTTTATTTGTTTTCCTTCAAGCAACTTTAGTTCAGGCATTGAGTACTTACAAGTCCATTATAATGAAGAGGATCATAAGCAGATTGAGCAAGGCCCATGTTACAGACAACCTTGAGACTGTCACTGCCTTCTTGGTGGCTAGAGTGCGATCTATTAGTGGACTCTCTACCTTCTTCAAACCGTGTACATCCAGTGACATGCTTATGCTTTTTCTTTGGTCTAAACAGATTAGAAATAAAATTAATGAATAACATAATAATCCAGGGGTATTATGAATGCATCAAGACTGAACTATGAAAAGTGTATTCACAATAACTGGGAGCTTTTCTGGAAGCATTTCAAACTTTTTTTTATCTAAGTTTGTCATCATCTTGGAGGGGAAGATAAAGATATGTCAACCAACCAAAAGATCCAAAATGGCAGCATCCCATGCAATTTTGTTCGCGCTTACAAATTTCCATGAACTACAGGTGAGGTTGTAAGTTATCATTCCTCAAACAACCACATGTCACCTATTTCAATGGCTGGACTGAACGACTGAAACAGAAATACTGAATTCAGCTAAGAAATTTTCGGATGATTCGCTATTTTCCGTTAAAACTGCCATTTTAGTTTCTTGTAGAAAATGTCCACCTCGACTGATAAAAAGAAGTCTTGATAGGCACAGAGGCAGCTGAAACTTTCCATAGTTCACAAGCAAAGGCCACTGAAGTTAGGAACACAAAGAGATATAAAGTAAGCTGCTGAATTCAGTTTTTTAGTTTCAGCCCTTACGATTACCAAGTGACCTATATCACACGATTAAAGGCTTCCCTATAGGCCTACAGATCAGACACAGACTTTGAAATAGATAAATCATATGTATACATGTACATAAGTACAAACTTGCCATTTTGTAAATACCAGACAAAGTGCCAACGTAATAAATGAACAGTATGGTATGGTAAGGGTTTGTTTACATTCGCTATGAATTTGTTGGATAGTTTGAAATTGAATTGTTGGGGTAGATCAAGGACATCTTCAGCACTGCGTCTTTCTTGAGATACCCATCCTTGGGTAGATTAAGATCAATCAGTAACAGGACTAGAGCTAGTTTGAGCTAGTTTGTATACTTTGTATGTACAGTATATTTTCCTTAATGTCAGTCTATATGTTCAGAATTGTGATGCAATCCTCAATAGAGTCACATGTTACTTTTCAAATATTAATCACTCCTTTGCACAAAGAGTGCACTTATATACCTAGAAGAGTTTAAAGAATATTTTTTTCATAAAATGTATAAAATAAATTTTGATTGCCTCTCGTACAAACGAATGTTCTTAACTTTATATTGAAGTATTCTACTCTTATGGATGCCACTGGATTAATCAGCAGTGCTCAGAGGTTACAAGTAAGAGCTGCAGATGACTCTTAGGTGAGTAACTGTGTAATTTATATCAGGATTGCCTTAGAATTGGGTTTGTCCAAGGGAAAAATCAATACCCGGTGATTTCAGCGGGAAGTGGCGTTTTGTTCAGTGGATGAGCTGCGCACGCACGCATAAATGTGATTATCAATATTATTTAGGGGAGGGATATTCAAGCTTATTTTCGTCATAGGTGCGACCCAGGGCTGTTGTCTTACGGACATTTCGTTGAAAATCAGCCATTCGGCTGATAATTGGTAAGAGTTTGCGATCTTATAATGTATAACTCAGACACATATTTTGACACGATTCTGTTGGAAATAAGCTTTGAACCGAGAGATATTCACGATTGATATGCACATTTTTGATTGCTTTTGCTTTTACATTGCACAATCCATGTATTGATAGAAGTAACAATAATGCAGATTGTTTTACCTTCAATACATGGCGGATTCACTACATATCGGTCTATTAAATACCATTTTGTGCCCTAAATAGTTTTATATTTCCATCCACGGCCTGGAGCCTAGGTGTGTTTGTCTCTTATGTGTATGATTGTGAATTGGTGGGGCTGGTAGGGGCACCAATCCCCAGGCCCCGTCCATCCTTTATTCTACTTCCCACTTATTATAATTTATGCTGTAACATTTAGACTTCGGTGGAAAACAATAGGAATTATTTTTCTTGCCAATCAATCATGAATCACAATCAAAATTTCAGAATGGATCAATCAGGCAATCGTCCAAAATCCAAATCAAGTTATAACATTATATGATATTCAGCAAGAAGTCCGGTAGAAATATAGAATATTAAAACATCAAAGGTTAAAGTTAAAAGGTAATCTGTCAATTTTCTGTCTGCAAAAGAACGTTTACATTTGACACAATAAAAGACTGAGGCTCACTAGAGGCAATTTGTTCGGTTTTTAGCGCATGCGCATCAAATCCAGCAATTTAATTGGTTCAAATTATCATAACACATGCGCAATTAAAGGACAACTGAAATAGCTTTTCTCAACTTGCAGCTACAAAAATGCGGTTTTCTCCATTGTAAGCCGAACGTAGAGTTCTTGCGATAGCCATTATAAAATAAATGTTAGATAACTGCTAACGGTCATAGATAACGAAATAAAACTAACTGATCAATCAAATTGGCCCCCACGTGATTAGTAACGTCATATACAAAATATAGCTTCGGTTGGGATTGTTGTGTAAACAAATAACAAAACATTATGGCATTATGACGTCATGATCAAATGGACCAAAACGGGCCACGTGGGGCCCAGTGGGAGATCACGTGGGGGCCAATAACATCACAACCGATTCGAATATTGCTTATTAAGCAGCTAATAACGATCGTTAGAGTGAAATAATTTTCACACTACTGATGAGAAAACATGTCCAAATACATCTATCAAAAAATTATATTGATTCCTTTAGGTTAAAAATACCATTTCATATCTGCTTTAATAACTTATAAGAACATTTAATTACTCAGATGCGAGTAGGTAGTTACCAGTTTTGCCACCAGGTGGCTGATTTGGGGGAATTAACATGGCAGGGTATTACAAAATTTCCTTACACTTGAATATGCATCAGTTTTAGTGATTCACTTTTCATATTACCCTTATGTATCTGATAATTATACAAATTAAAATATGTCCAGTAAAAGAAAAAATTATCTGCCCAACACAAGAAAAGATATTTCACTTTTTGTGGTTTTACAACATATGGTCTATGGGGAATTTCCCCGACCTAGAAGTCACATTTTCAAAGAAAATTATTTTTTCAAAGTTGATAAACTCTTTTCAAAATTACATTATAAATGTAATTTTACATGTAGATTCCAAATATGACATCAGTTTGACTGAATTGTGAATTTATAATGACGTAAATCAAGATTATTTCTACTCGCATCTGGGATATTTGAGATAGATGTCACTTAAGTTCATTATTTCACAGCAGTCCCTACCCATGATGCACCATATAGTGCGGGAATATTTTTGTTTAGTGTCAAACAAAAAGTATACACCCAAAACAAATGTATTGACATAATATCAACCTGCCCCAGATTTGTAGACGTGTGTTGTACAAACTTAAATCGAACCGATGGCAGAAACGCACTTTGAATCATGGGAATGAAGTACTTCCTTTAATGAAAAACCGAACCAAGTAAAAACCGAATCTCGCGCAGATTGCCCTGACCCCTGAGGCTTTGAAATCTAGGATTCCCCAGGAAAATATGACGTCATACTAATTAGCACAAGGAATTCCCTAGTGGTCTGGGTCGAGCTTCGTTCGAAAACACAATCCGATAAATACATGCTAATTTCTAAGGAGATAGGAAGGAAGTATGTAACGTGTTTATCGATTTTGTTTAAAGATTTAATCAATTATCAAATTGTTTAAGTGGATAAAGTGGTCACACTTGCTTCAATTCATACCCTTTGCATTCGTTTGACTTCACTTCTTAAAAGAGAGCTTCGTCTTCACTCTTTCAAACTAAAATAAACCTGTGAACTCACCGCGCCAATCAGTGTTCGTCGGCCAAATTTGACCGACGTTCTATATATGGTCATTCCCTCTGACGTCATCTTTGAGCCCGGAATTGACCAATGACATGCGCATATTTAATTAGAACGCATTTGGCGTGTGTTTCTTCAAGCTCGCTGAATGGTGGAAAAAAGGTCAGCGCATAGGTCAGAAGTGATTTATTACTCAAACTGTCACCGGTACTCGTCGTGGGGGCGGGGCTACTAAACTGTAATATGGTCTCTACTAGGCAGAGTGTAGTTTAACTAGACTCTGCACGCAGGGTATTCAATTCATAGCGTAATCGACGGATAGAAACTGCACCAAATTCCCGATATCCTACCCCGTATTACTGTAGGCTATTAAGCACAGTAACCTGCAGAGGGCGCTATCACAAACAAGTACTGCACGAACCGATAAATTTGCGGGTATTGTAACGCCCTTGTTTTGTCTTGGCGGTAGACTAAATCGGCGCGCATGAGCAGTCAATCGTTTAATATTCGGAGTGGCTCCAGGACCGACAATTGTCGGTACTGGAGACTGTCCAGGGGTATTTGCTGGGGTACCGACAATTGTCGGCACTCTATCGTCACCTAGTAGTGTCAGATAGAGAACCGACAATTGTCGGTACGCAAGTGGCTGCTACGTGTTTTTGCTAGAGAGCCGACAATTTCATAAATAAATTCACTACTTTTAATGTGACAAATAACTTCATCACTGGTAGTCTAGTGGTTAGCGAGCACGATTCCAACACACTCGGTCCCGAGTTCGAATCCCGGCAAGACCTATTTTTCTTTTGAGGGGGGATAGTGCTTCTTTTGCAGTATGGAATCGTACAGGCATTAACTTGTAGTGAGCCATAATTTATTTCGACAAAAATTGATTCAACTTCCATCAAAATTGTCCTACAAGCTTCAATTAAAAAACATTTTAAAGCTCTTTTCTTGTTCTATCTAATGGGTCGATATATACAATTAGGAGGGGATGCTTTCGCCCCCGTCGACCTCTACCCTTACTACGCCATGGCACAGGAGAAATATCTCATTTGGAATATATCACTGTTTACTTTGCGTTTGGTAGCTCTCTCGTAGCCATTAACTAAGGGAGCCAAATGCAACTTCCATCAAAAATTGTGCTATAAGGTATGAGTACCGTAATCCAACACCAAATTCGAAAATTCATAACAATACTTTGCACATATGGCGTTCGTGACCAACTATGAAACGCTTACCCCCCATAGTGTTATACATCAAAATGCACCTGTCCATATAGGGGTTCGATTGACCTACATCAAATTATAGGGAGTCAGGTTACTTTTTGAGATATCAGCGTCCGTTTATTGTAACTCGCGTTTGCTACCACTTCCTCAATTCTGATATGACAGGCAAACGCGTAGTAAACATCCTCACGTTCGGAACTATTTTGACCTACATCGCTATTTTCGTAATTCAAATAAAAGTTGAACTCCTCTTTATTTTGATACCAATTAAATAGTGGCATACTAGGTACCCTAGAAGCCAACTATGGGTTATTTAGAACGATACCACAGGTTTTTAAATGGACTATATACCTTTTGGCGGATGGATATGGAACCTCATACCATACGATAAGCTCTAAAAAACATTCTAGCTATTTTCTTCTATCTAATGGGTAGCAAACGCCCCTTCCTTTTTATTGGGTTTTCAACGTTTACTACCATTCCCTGTTCCCGGGCTACCATTTTTTGACTGGGTTTGGTAATCCCCGGGTAACCGGGGCTAATGCCCTCCCCGGGTTTTGCACTTGTTCCCAAAATATCCGTATGATATCTGAAATATCCCCCCGCGCATTGCGCATGCGCCAGAAAATTCGAAAATCAATATTTGTCGGTCCTCTAGCGTGTAAACACAGCATATCTCCCGTACCGACAATTTATTTGTCGGTCCTCTAGCGTGCCACCACATCAGAGTCTAGAGTACCGACAATTGTCGGTACTCTAGCCTTTACGTTTAATATTAGAATACCACAAAATGCCATTCGAATATCACCCCAGACTTATTTGCAACCGAATACTCGAGTATTCGTTTCACCCCTAGTCCAAAGCCTTCTCTATATTCTAGAGACTCGAGTAAATCAAATCGAATTCAAATCATACGACAAATGTCTTTTGTCAATAAATTTTTAACAAACATTTAATATATTTACCTTATTTGATCAATATTTCTCATGCACCGTCTTTCAATTTAATTTAGATATATCTCTGTATCTTCTGGTCCATCAGTTCCTTTTATTTCCATGCATTTACAATGTTATTTATGTTTTTGCGATAAATTTCACAACTTCAATTTTTTCACAATTTCATTTCACGCCATACATTTTTATAAGCTCTCCTTTCATTGGTCAATAGTTTCGCCACTGGTTATCGTAACACGAGCTTTGATTGGTTGGATTTTGTGGCGGCTATTTTAAAGTCGCATGACAGGTTCCTCTGGTCGCATGATTCGTTCATCTGCTTGTTGCCCTGTATTGGCCCTTCTACAGGGTGGTCAAAAACTGGAAACCCTGCATTTTCCCACAGATGTTGGCCAGATTGTTTTGTAGTAGGATCATAGGCTCAAAGAATAATTATATATATATTAATTAAGCTACTGATTCTACTACAAAATAATCTTGCCGGGATCTATGCATTTTCCTTATATTTTTGTCACTTTAAAATATTACTCCCTGATATTTCATACATTTGTACATCATTCAATTTCCTACCACCCTACCACATTTCATGACTATTAGACTGATAGTCACAATTTTACAGCATTATGAATAACATGATTCAGATTTGGCCATCATCGCGCTGTAGGCAAAACAGCACAGTTGTCAATGACCCGAACCTGGGAATGCATTCCTCAGCAGCGATGGCCTGAATGACACGAATGGTCTCACTTTTGAGGTTTGCAATTGTCCTGAGGTCATTCTCATATACTCTATCTCTGCCATATCCCCACAAATAGGGACATTTTAGACGATGAATACAGGTTTCCCCACAGCGCAATAGTGAACACTGGACATGTTATTTAAAGGTGCCAATTAGTGCAGAGGGGCCATTCAACGATCATGGACCAGTGCCAAAATATATTTAAGTTTGGATATTTCATCAAGACTAACATCTATTTTTATTATCTACAAAGAAACCCCCTAGATAAACATTATTTCAGCTGATATTCCTCTTGAAACATGGTGGATCTTAAAAATATAAAAGTGGATTTCCCCTTTTTCAAGCTTTGAACTGAATTTACACTTCTTAAGGCTGAAATTGATAGTTTATCCATACATTTTAAGAAAATAGGTATGTCAAAGAAGATGTTAAGCCAAATGTTGCCTTGATAGCTCAGAATTTTTTTTGATTTTCCTATTTTCTCCCTACAGGCCTTGTTGCCCCTTTAAAGTACTAAAACATTTGACTATCAATCTGATGGTCATGAAATAAAGTAGGCTGGTAGCAAATTGAATGATGTACAAAAGTGTAAAATATCAGGGAGTTATTTTTTAAAATGACAAAGCTATGAGGAAAATGGTATTAGGGTTTCCATTTTTTGACCACCCTGTACGTTAGATCTGCCTTCCTTATGGCCAACAAGCTCTAAATGTATCAACATTTGAAAACTGGTTTAACTTCATGTATATAAACCTAAGATGTGAAAAGATAATTGATGAGGCTAGTCTCCATAAATCAACACAATTATAGATACCACCCACGATGTGAAATAGAAAACTCAGATAGAGCTAGGAGTCACTCTATTCAGGATATAAGTAACACCCCGGGGGTTCACTGTATTAAACCTAGCCGTAGAAATTATAACTCGGAGTTATAATATTTGTTCATTTCTACGGTCCCCGTAGTAATCAACAGGCTGTTGCCATGCGACTGCCGTAGGAAATGTGACTGCAAATAAAAGTATCCGACCGCAGAAGTTCCAAGGCGACCGTAAAAATGTTACTGACCGCAATATCGCCGGAGGAAATGTGACTGCGGTGTGATTAACGTTGATTCTTTTTATTTCATATATATCAGTACAATTTATAAATGTTGTTTGAAGTGTTAGGATGTACACTCCATATAGACAGGTTCCAATTTCAGAATATCTCAAGGGAAAGGGTTTTTGAGGCATTTTTTACAGACCTATTTTTTCTGGATCAGGTTTTCATGCTGATAAAGATATTAAAAGATGACAGCTCAACGGGGTGGTCACGAATTTTAGCGTTTTTACCCCCCTAGGAAATTATTTTAGGGTACTATAATATTAGTTCATAACTCAAAGGATATATATCTATTGTTCTGAGTTCTACAGCATACATTGTTAGTACAGAGATGAATACTACCCTTAAGTTATAGGTTGATATCTTTGTTGGTTTCGGAAAAATACAATTAATTAGAAAAAAATATGCAATTTTTTGTCATTTTTTTCTTGCTTATTTTATATTTGTAGCTTCAAGCAAAATATGATAACTTAAACAGCTCAAAGTAGTATTCTAACAACATTCCCAAGCTATGTGTGATATTGTAATACATCTATTATAGTGATGAGGTACTATTTTGTGATTTTAATATGACTTTATAGTGCCCTACACCCCTGGTAAATAGAAGAAAGTTGGTGTGGTTTTCTTCTGGTTTTAACATTTTATTGTCTTCTTAGTTGAAGATGCAATCAATTCTGTCAGTTAACCCTGAGAAGCTTTACAATGGTTAACTATTCCCATGAATAGAGGGTTGGGACCTCAAAAATACCAGAACTGTTACGTGGCATCCTTGGGCAACACTCTTCAGAGCATTTTCCTTATTTTATCCGATAAAATCTGCAGGGGACACTAAGAAACCTATATATCTAAGATACTAATGAAGATACTGAATTCAAATTTTCAGGATTTGGTCCTGGTATGATAGGTAATCTGTATGACAAAAATGACAAAAAGAAAAAACTCTGTTGCCATAGTAACAAGAATACGACACTATTTGTTTCCTAAGAAATGTGTTTTAAGAGGTTTTGTCATTCTCTTCATATTTTTAATTCTAAATATGTCTACAATGTGGGATGATTAAAATTATGGTAAAGTTATCTTTTCTATTGTTCTATTGTTCCCTAAAACAGAAGTTGCTATGGCGACACATAGATCATAGTAAAAATCCTGGGATGATCGCTCTATTTGTCAGGAAACTAAAATGGAAACTGAAAAATGAGTTTCTTCCTACTGAATAGCAATTTGGTAGACCAAGGCTGACACACACAGGAGAAAATCAGTTCTATGTCATTTTGTTGTTATTTTTTTATTTATCGTGCTCTGGGACTTATAACACCTAATGCCGAATCTTTTCCAACTGCAAAGAATCTCAACAAATATGGCCTAAGATTTGGACAATGATGATGAAACTCTGAGGGAAAATTAGACGAAACATTAATGTGAGTGGTCCAAAAATAACACTTACATGTTTTGAAAAAGTTATGCTCTTGGGTGAATCAGTGCTCATTTAAGGATAGTCTGAATCAGGTGAATTTTTAACCTAATTGTACGCCTCCCCTAAACCCCCAAATTTTGATAATTGTCGAAAAGTGGCAAACAACAATTAAACAAACATCATTAAAGTTCAATATGGGTATTTCGCTTCTATGTCATAAAGATATGGTACGATCTCAGGTCAATCAATAAATTTCACAAGTGACACTCTATCTTATGAAGAAAATATTATCGTATTTGAAGACATGTCAAAAATTTGGTGGAAATAATTTTGTCTCTCCTGATTTGACCTGGAAAGGTTCAGGTAAGTTATCACAAACAATTTCAGACAGTTATATCTTTGATTATGACTATTTTCTGACCATGAAGACAGGTATATAGGGATAATAAAGTCAATCGGACTCGGAGATATTTCACTAGCAATCAACCCATCAATATATTTTTTCAAAGTTGTTGACCTCATTTTCACCAAAAATGCAATCATTTTAACAATGTTTAATGTATTACTATTCTTTATTTTAATGTATCAAATAGCTCTTGAAAAGAAAACTGAATTCCCCTAAGATTAGTGTTCCCCATGTTATTTCCCCTTTGAAAAAATTCATGCTATCCATTGGTTTCAGTTCATTTTGGTCACCCTGGAGCAATCCACTTTTCCTCCTAGGAAATAGAACATGTCTCAAAGCATATTCTAATTATGCATTCAACAATATAATTAAAGGTTGCATCTTTGGAAAAAATTAGGTCAACATTTTTAGTAAAAAGTATGTTGATTGGGCCATTCCCTTTAATATCACTAAGGTCTGATTAATCATTATATTTGCTTCTCTTGAAGATAATGAATAGATCTAAAAATATACCCATGTTCATGGTCAGAAAATATTCATAATTCAAGTTAGAATTGTCTGAAGTTGTTTGCGATAACCTACATGCTCCTTTATAACATTATTATGTAAATACAGTAGAACCTGTGTAAGTGGAACACTCTCCGTTCTGCCATTCTGGCATTCTAAATCCTCCTCATTCTGCCAAAAATGTTTTCTGACATTCTTAATCCTCAATCCTCGGGGTCAACCCAGTTGTCCGAAACCCAGTTGTCCGAAACCCAATTCTCCGAAACCCAGTTGTCCGAAACCCAGTTCTCCGAAAATTAGGGGATCTTATCAAAAAATACAATTTCTTAAAACGAATCATGTTGCAACCTCTGCGAATCACGACAGCATAACATTTGAATCACGTTGACATCATTGCAAAATTAGGCTAAATATGCTAAGTCAAGACGTTAATTAGCCCACGAAAGTTCATGGTTAACTTGAGAACTACAAAATACAACCAAATACTTTTCGAACACACAAAAGCAATATTTCTCACCTAACGTCTTCATAGTTTAATTTAGGAACGTATTTTAAACGCATGATAGCCAAATATATCAAGATACTAATGAAGTTATCTAGTGTTGACAAAGTTTTGAAATATATTTTATCCAGATCCATCAGAAATTAATCCAATACATTACTTTACTAGTTCTAGTATCTTGCATGACTCATTCATAAGAATTCTTTAATTCTACCTCTTTCCCAATACGTCCTCAGACAGACAAGAAATTGAAATCACACCCGTTTGTTTGCGTGGCATATTTATACGTATACGCACTTTCTCTGATTATTGTCAAACAAATACATTTCAGGAGAAGAACATAAAAAACAAATGCCTGAAACGAATGCCAAAACATAAATCCCAAGTGATTAAGTTTAGAATGTTTTATTCTTTTACGATTTGATAAGAGACCGAGACTAAGAAATTAAATGCGACAAAATATTTTGTATACTGTTTTATTCTTAGACTTAAAGTTCTATGCGAACTTATTTTATCTGTTTCAAAATGTTTCATTTTATTTTGCCTATATAAAAGAGATTGAAGAAGATAAGATAAACTGTTCCGTAATATATATGTGTTTTAATAACCTTTTTTAGAATCACAATGTAAAATAAATCTTCCGTTCCTGCCATTCTGGTAACGCCATGCAATGGATGCAATTCAAAGTGAGAGAGAGATCTATGAATATCAGAATGCGTCCATGTCATTAATTTGGCAAAATACATGGCATGAAACTGACGTAAGCTTAAGTAAGCTACGCCCCCCCCCTTTTTCTCTGGTAAATTATGACTTTATTTTTCGGAGTAATGGGTTTCGGACAACTGGGTTTCGGGGAATTGGGTTTCGGACAACTGGGTTTCGGAGAACTGGGTTTCGGACAACTGGGTTTCGGAGAACTGGGGTGTACCCGTCTAGTTGCTCAAATGAGATCAATTGATGATTATAATGTTAGACTTTATGTCAATGTCCAGACTGTATGCCAACCTCTCTAGTATGTGATTACACTAGATTTCATTATGATCCATGTACTAAATTGAAAACTTACATACAAAATATCTTAAGTCCTGTTTTCTAGTAATAAATGAATTAGAATGTCACCTAACATTTGATGATGGTATGAATTTATTGATTTGGTGTCTATCAATAAATGTTTCTAACTTAATGCTGCAAAATGATAAAATTCACCACATCCACTTTCTTCAATTTTCCAGGGGTAGGGCACTAAAAAGTCATATTAAAATTACAAAATAGTACTTCATAACTAAAATAGATGTATTACAATACCACACATAGCTTGGAAATGTATTTAGAATACTACTATGAGCTGTTAAAGCTGTCATATTATGCTTGAAGCTAAAAATATAAAATTGGCAAGACAAAAATTGCTTATCTTTTTCCTGTTTTTTGTATTTTTCTGAGACCAAAAAGGGTATCAACTCATAACTTTAGGATAGTATTCATATTTGTACTATCAATGTATGGTGTACAACTCAGAACAATAGCTCATATATCCTTTGAGTTATGAACTAGTTTCATAGTACCCCCTAGAATATTTTCCTAGGGGGGTAAAAATGCCGAAATTTAGTGTCGTGACCACCCCGTTGAGCTGTCATCTTTTAATATCTTTATCAGCATGAAAAACTGATCTAGTAAAAATAGGTCTGTTGCTTTTTCTAAAAAATGCCTCGAAAACTTGAATTATTTGAATCGGAACCTGTCTAATAAGTTTGGCAACCTTAGCTCACCCATTGAAATACGTGTTGAAGTATCTTTACGTTTGAATTTTTATTTACTAATTAACGTGCGATGAAATAACTTATAATATTGATGGAAACGTAACTTGAATTTATATCCAATTCCTCCAAATTTTCTCATTTTTTTCCTCAATTACAATAGGTCAAAAATTGATGATAAATTTGATGAATTTTTGAAAATCGTCAAATTACGTTTCCATCATTAGTATAAGTATTTTCATCGCAGGTCAAGTAAATAAAAATTCAAAGTTAAAGAGGGGAGCTAAGGTTGCCAAACTTATGGAGGGGAGTGTACATAGTATCAAATAAAAAGTGCAAGTCAAATTAATTGCTGTGGTATCAGTTACCTTACATCAAACAGTATACGTATTGTGTTGTGTTTACAGCAAATACATGGCCGAAAACTAACATAAAAAATGTTTCCAAAGGTACATTATCCATCAAACCCTACTACAGCAGACGCGAGTCAACGGCAAACCTAGGGCAAACCCGACGTGTGGCCAGCGTTGGACCTTTCTGCGGTCTGGCAACGGCTTGTTGATTTCAAGGGGGCCGCAGAAATGAACAAATATTAAAACTCCGAGTTATAATTTCTACGCCTACCTTGCGGCCTGTAAAGAACTGGATATGCCGTACGGACACCGCAAGGCGAGCGTAGTTTTCCTACGCTCCGCAGATATTCACTGATTTAATTAATTGATCACCTGCGGTCGACGCACGGCCGCCGTACGACAAATGTGACTGGGGTGTTAGTCTCAGGTTGATCTGAACAAAACCTGTAGTTTTCAAAAAGATCCCTCGACATTAAATCTGAAAAACATTGCTCGGAATTCTCTATAAAAATATTTACCACTCCTTAAAATATCTGTCTGAAAAGATTCTAATGGCACTTTAATCACTAAATACATACAACACATGCTAACTCCCATGCCTCGGAATATGTTGAAGACTAGCACTGCCACAAAGTTTGCCAAAAATGAAGTAAACAATTTTTATTGATAAACTTCAATATTTATCTATTGCAGTGACAAAATTTTAGGCCTATACATATAATTTAGCACAAGGCAATTTACTAAAAATTACATTTTGCGTCCATCATTATATCTCACTACCCAGTAGTTTTGAACAAGGCATTGCCAAATGTCACCACCTGTCATATATGCAGAACGTGAAATGCTGAACTCCAAACGATGACCCCAAGACGCCGTTACAAAAAAGTTGGAGACCATAACAATATGTCATCACTGACAAGTGGTGACATAAAAAGTGCTACATAGGAGCTTGATGTTTGACTACAATATTTAAACCTTCTCATTTAATACATCCAAACCATAACAACTAGAAAACATATATAGTGATTGCAATTTGAACATAAAATTAGATATTGCACTTCTGAGCTAAACTAAACACTAAAAACTAAATATAGATTCTCATGCCTTAAAATATTTTAAAGACATAAAAAGACAATATATTAAAAATGACCAAAAAGGTTCGAGTTGGGAACAATGGTGTAAATTACTAGCATAGATCCTCGTAAAATGGGAATTGAGCATATAGTTCAGACAAATGAGTTTTCATTTGGCAAAAATTGCTGTTGATAGACAGACAGATGGATATGAGGAAAGACAGATTGGCCTTGTGAAGACATACTGTATTAAAAATAATACCAACATTTAATATATTTTGAGCAAATTTTAATATCAACCACTGCATCCTTTCCCTCTATCTTATCTATTTGAATATAAATCTAATAAAATATACAAATCCTGCCTGATGGGTTATGTCACAATAATAAGAACAATTGATTTACTGGTCTATAATGGTGTATACATGACTATTAACATTCATTATAGACAAATGAATATAATGTATCTTGCTATGGCATACTGTTATCATGTTAGAATTGGCACAAACACCTCGCTAGATTCTATGATTTATGGCAAATATAACACCTCAATTGCTTTTACATTTTTAACCATGAACAGAATAAAATCTAAGGTCATATATTATACCAAAATACATTATACAATAGATCATCGAATCTCCATCCTCTCTTAAATAGATATCACACACCTAGCTAGGCAAGGTGTGTCCGATTCCAGCCAATCTGAACAGAGTATTCACATAATGAACAGTGTGTGAAATATCAATAACGCATTTGTTGTGTACAGTTACAAAGCGATTGAAATTTTTCCAATACTTGACCTTTGCAAAAGGTTTCAATGAAAATATGTTCTTTTAGTGCTTTTCTATCTTTTAGGTGATTTTATAGAAAATATTTTGCAATGTGTGAAAAGAATTTAAGCCCACCAGGACTCAATGCATTGTGGCTGCTTCATTCCACTCAGATGTTGTTTCCTAAACTTTGGAAAATGACATCTTCGTGGAATGGTTCAGCACACAATGCACTGAGTCCAAATATCTTCATTAATTGTTATACTGTACAGTCTCATTCCCTGAAATTTTAAAATAATATGCTGTACATGTCCATATGCAAATATGTATGTAACCATGTATGTAGATGCAGGACCCCTTCAGAATTTGGTAATTTTAAGTCTAACCTCCCTCAGATATGGGACTGGAGTTACTCCAAGCTTATCCATGATAATCCACTGCATAACTGTTTAATCAACCATATATATTACCACCTGTGCCAAGTCTATTTTTGTTCCCATAATTAAGTTCAGCACCCCCTGATAGTGGGATATCCAAGCCTGTGCAGAAGGTTGCCTCTGCTGCTAGGAACAGGCAAAGTTGACCAGCCTCCTCTATTGTACCAAATCTCCCCAATAACTGCATAAAGTAGAAAAATCTCAGATACAGGATCATCATGCATGATAAACTTCACACGGGAGCTAGTTCCTTTAGCAGAAATAAGGAAAAGAGAGTTGTGTGTTCAATAGCTTACAAATTATTTCAGGCAAACTAGATAGCATAAGCATCTATGTACATGTATATTTAACATTATATTAACCTCATACAAGTATCTCTCACCTGTGCATTTTTCCCTCCTTCAATAGTTGCCTTCTCATCGCTTGAGGAAGCTGCCCCTGCGGCCCACAGTGGGGTCCAAATATTACCAGGGGAGAACCTAGGTACAGAAGTATGTGCCAAAAATTACGCTATAAACTAATTTCCAAAAGAATTACTTCATTATACATGTGTAAATACTGCCGTAAATAATACTGTTCTGTTTTATATACAGGGTGTTTGTATATATATACAGGGTGTCCTTAAAATTATTCTGAGACAAACATGGAATAACTCTGTAAGTGATGAACGAATATTGTTTCAGCACCATCACCCATTTTTTCATGTTTGGATTTGCACTCAGCGGCGCATCCATTGTGATAGAGGTCATATAGAGCATTACATGTCATTTAGAATTTTTCAGTAAGTAATTTCAATTTCCAGGACTTTTGAACTGCTAATTGGAAAATGAATTCTTGTTATCATGTGAAAGTTCAGCTTTATAAAAGCGTTATATTTTCATATCATTTGTGAAAGCCTTTGAGTCAATATTTGAAAGCAAGAAATTTGTAATAATTCATCATAGATTTCATATTGTGAAGCAAGTAAATCTTTAGCTCATGTGCATGTATATATAAATGTATTTACTAGCATCAAATTTAGAATGTAGAATAAGGCCATTCCAAGTTAAATGTATTCCAAATACCCCCTCTCCTAAGATTAAGGCTAAGTCAGAAAATACCCTTTGTAAATGTTAAGATATGTACAATTCCAAATGACAATTGAAACTTAAAAACTGTGCATATTATAGTGAAAGAAGTTCCTGAATTGAGAACTATTATTGTCGTCATAAAAAATAACATGACCATAAAGGTCTTTTTAATTCTCATACTCTTGGTATTTTTCATGGAATTTTTAATATGAAATATGAAACCCAGCCTCTCAAGACATTAAACATATAAATAACTTTGAACTGCCTAATCTACTCACGAGTTAACTCGAACTTCATATTTGGCCTCATCTATTGCTAATGCCCGGCACATGGAGGTTATTGCACCCTGAAAGGTGGAAGAAATAATAATGATTATATAAACTAAATAGGGCAATGTTATTGCGCATCATGTTAACTTTAAACAAACTTATCAAATTACTTATTTCGGGGACATTTTAAATGACAAAAATGAATGTTTCTCTTCAATGAACTGTAGCTGTTGTAGCTGTTGAGTTGATGCAACCATGGGTCTCTTGAAAGCCCATGATGCAACTGTATTGTAATAGACTTGGTAATTAATTATTGACATTCATGTATATTGCCCTATTGCACTGAGTGGATGTGCTAAACCAATGATTGAAAAGTACCTTTGTTGACACATAAGTAACTGCTCCTAGTTGACCTATCTGTGCCACCAGACTGGAGTCCATTATAATATTGCCCTTCACCTTCCTGAGCTCTGGTAAAGCAAACTACAACATAAACAGCATGTGAGAACATGTCTTTCCACATAGACAGGGGTGCAAAATTACCATGGCACAAAATGGGCTTCATTGATTAAATTTAGTAAAACTTGCGTGGAGATATATCAGAATTTCCACCAATTTAAGCATTTGGATGGCCACTTTGGAATGTTCAAAGGCACAAATCATAAAGACAATATAGCATTTGAGACAAATACGATATTTGTGATCTTACAGTATCTGTCTACTCTACTTTGGACAAGTCTCTTAATAATAGCGAATTCTCACTTCAGGCAACCATTTGGAATTTTCTGAGGCAATAGAAATATTGTTCCATTTACCATTTTCTCATTATGCTTTACAACAACAATTTTTAGACTGACCTTGGAGAAGAGAAAATAGTTGACGACATTGATGTTAAGAAGGTTCCTAAAGTCTTCACCACTAAAATCATCTATTGGCTTGTGGCTGGGATCTTGAACATGTAAAAATAAAAATACATGTAAGAATTTCTCCATCTAAAATGTCACTCGACTTTTTTGTGATTATGAGTCAAAGAAAGCATTCTTGAGTTTCAAATTGACTTCTGTGGTAACTTGAAACCATCTTCTTATTTATTCCACTTACAATATATTCTTTGAAAATCGGATTTTAAGGGTGTTAATCAGGGTAATTCTGTGCCATTTTATCAAAAAGCTTGTTGCTATCTAGAAACAAGCAATTGTGATCTTGTTGTTACCTAGGAACGAGCAACTGTGATGTCACGTCACACTCATATTAATTCTGGAATTACATGGCAGCCATTTTGGAAATTTCAAAAAAGTTCCCAATTAAAAAGGCTAAATGCTGTTTACAAATTGGAAACTATGGCAGAATCAACAAAGGGTTTGTGAAATAATTAGGATATGGTTTCAAAATTATGCACATGACAATATATGACTACTAAATGCAGGCAGGGACTTTTAATTGCCAAAAAGTCGAGTGACATTTTAGCTGGCGAAGAACTTAGTAATATATTTTGATTGAAATTTGAGTTAAACTTGTATTTTGGAAATCTACTGTGTCCTTTTGGATCTACAGCATGCATATGAAGAATTTATAAATAAATCCAGCGTTAAATGTTTACATGATCATCATTTAAAATGATATGAGTACATAAATCCAGAATTTGATGTTTACACCAGTGTGGATCATCATTGTAAAAGATACATAAATCCAGTATTTGATGTTTACACCAGTATGGATCATTATTGCAATAGATGCATAATTCTAGTATTTGATGTTCACACCAGTATGCATCATCATCTAAAAAGATACATAAATCCAGGATTTGATGTTCACACCAGTATGAATCATTATTGCATTAGATACATAAATCTAGCATCATATGTTTACACCGGTGTGGGTTGTCATCATTGCAATAGATATAATAAATCAGTAATTGATGTTTATACAAGTATGGATCATCAATGCAATAGATACATATATCCAGTTTTTGATGTTTATATAAGTGTGGATCATCATTGCAATCAATATATAAATCAAGTATTCACACCAGTTTGGGTCATCATCATTGCAATAGATACATAATAATGATGAATCAGTAAGCGGTGTTTACAGCAGTGTGGATCATCATTGCAACAGATACATAAATCCAGAATTAGATACTTACACCAGTGTGGGTTGTCATCATTGCAATAGATACATAATGAATCAGTAATTGATGTTTACACCAATGTGGATCATCATTGCAATAGATACATAAATACAGTGTTTGATGTTAACCCCAATTTGTGCATCTTCATTGCAATGGTTACATAATTAGATGTTACACCAGTGTGGGTCATTATTATTGCAAGAGATACATAATAAATCAGTAATTGATGTTTACACCAGTGTGGATCATCATAGTAATATGCATAAATAAAGTTTCTAATCTTTACACCAGTGTGGATCATCATTGCGATACATGTAGATACATAAATCCAGTACTTGATGTTTACACCAGTGTGGATCATCATTGCAATCAATACATATTAATAAACCAGTATTTGATGTTTACACCAGTGTATATAATCATTGCAATAGATACATAAATCCAGTATTTGATGTTTACACCAGTGTGGATCATCATTGCAATAGATACATAAATCCATATTTGATGTTTACACAAGTGTGGATCATCAATGCAATAGATACATCCTGTACATGTATTTGATGTTTACATCAATATGGATTTTCATTGTGATAGATACATAAATAGATACATAAATCAGTATTTGATATTCATATACACCAGTGTGGGTCATTATTGCAATACAAATTTTCATAAGCTGCATATACCAAGGGTGAATTTAGTGTACATGTGATTACATATAATTAACTATTATACTTACGTGTTCCAGCATTGTTTATGAGGCAGTCAATCCTACCAAACTTCTCCACTGTAATATCAACAACATTCTGAAATAAACAATGAACTAATGTTGAATTGACATTGCTCCAAAATTCATTTATCTACATATTTGAGAAGGTGCAGAAAATCTAATCTAGTGAATGCTCACCTTAATCTCATCCTCCTTGGAAACATCACATTTAAGAAACAGTGACTCTCCTGGACCTGTCTTGTTAACTTCTTCTTCTAGCGCTTTACCTTCCTTCTCTGGAATAAACAGATTCAAGAAGATGTAGCTACAGCCTTATTATAAATTAAAGGAATGGGTTGATCTTTGTCATGATAAAAGAAATGATACTATACAGATAGAACATATTTGCTCACCTTAGTGGCAATATTGAATATGAACGACAAAAGCTTGCAATATTAAGTAATGATCTGATTTCACTATATAAAGGATAATTTAAGACCCTAATCAGGTTTCAATACAAAACTTTGAACCAGTAAATTATCTGTATGATAATACAATAGGATAGTTTCTAAATAGCAGAAAAATCAATGAAATCTCGTGCTGCCATCTTTTATTCAGCTTTTAACTCTGGCTAGAGCTCCATTCACTTACATGCTAAAATCTTGGAAAAGTGGCTTAATTTCATGATTTATCAAAGTGTGTTTGTTGAATCTGTATAAAACTTGAATGATATACCACATGATGACCCTGTTTATGAACATGTTGTGATTAAACATGCTAATGTTGATTGACATACAAATAATCCACGGTTTTAAAGAATTTTAGCATTGCATCTATGGACATTTGGCCCAACTTTTTTTAAATTGTCATAGAAAATTATTCAAATTACATAACTGTGTAAATCAAAGCTATTTTAAAAGAAAACATTCCACTGAATTCAAATATACCATTTAAAAGAAGGTAATGTAAGTCATTAGAGGTCTAATATGCAAGTCTCTTAAAATCTCATGAAAAACGAGATTTAGCGAGATTTCAAAAGCTATTTGGAAACTATACTATTGTTCTCCCACAATATATGCATATGTTTGTGTGTCAAACAATAGGCACTTATTTTGACAGAGAATCAAATAAGTAGTCTAGATAAGGTTTAAGACAAAGCTAATTGCTTGGATATATGACCTTAGAAGATACAGTCTATCCTCTGATAACTAACATTGGCATTAAAAATGATTTTAGGCATTAAGAGGGTTTCTTGATACTAAAAAGGTTTTTTCTTTGACACTAAAATGGCTTTTCTATGACACAAAATGGGGTTTTCTTTGGTAAAAAGTGTTTCTCTTTTGGCTTAAAAGGCCTTTTCTCTGGTGCTAAAGGAGCTTTTATTTGACCCATCATGTAAGTGTTCCGATCCTTTCCTTACCCTAGATTGGTACCAGCTGGCACCGTGGCAACAAAAAAGAAACTTAAGGTTCTTCAACTTACCTCCTCTTGCACAGAAGACAACCTTAGCACCATTTCTGACTGGAAAGTATAGAAAACTGAATTAAGAAATCAGAATGTGACATAAAAGCTTCCAAAACTTGAACAAACTGGTGATAATATATATATTAGAAAAAAATAATCAGAAATTAAAACTCACCCAGAAGCTGTAACTGAATAGATATAATAGATATAATGATGTTTATTCAATGCTTCAGTTAGGTTTTTGAAGTGTGTCCATGAGACCATTTAGGACAAATAGTCATCCAAAATAAAGGTAGATATTTTTAAATCATAAAGTAACTTCACAATAAACAACAGAAGTTCAAAAATTGCTCTTGTAGAAAACAAATTATTTACCATTTAAAATAGAAAAAGGTCAAAATAATTTTTTTTAATCCAAAATGTATTATATTGCACTAGAAATTACTCCAAACTTTGATATATAGAGTGGTTCAAAAAGGTGTTACTGATTTTAACATGTAGTTTAACCCACTCATTATTGGCATGATTGACCTCAAACTTTCTGAGTTGACTAAGAATTGATGCAAGTCCATCATCATGTCCATTTTAGTGAATGACATGTATGACCATGGGCATTCTATTGAAAGCCAATGGTATGACAAAGCTCTCTTTCACCTATCTGGACATGTCAACAAGCAGAACATGAGATTCTGGGCTGCACAGACACAAGATAGACAAGTAACCCTACACAGACAAGATAGACCACTTAATGCTGAGAAACTAACAATATGATGTGCTATACCATTTTGATTCCAATGCCCAAGGAAACCTTTTAACGGTGAATTTCGAAAGGTACCAGAATATGATCATCTGCAAGTGTTTCCTACTTGCCTAGAGATAGAACAGATGGGTGAGAATGAGAAGTGCCATCTTCAAGCAGGATGGGAGTATTTCCTGGTGATAGGCTTCCCATGCAGGACTGATGAGCTTAAGGCTAACATTACACATGAGATCAACCAAATAACAATAGATATGATTCAATAAAATATTGCATGGGCTTTCAACCATGGTTATTGTTAACTTCAATGGGGTCAACCCAGTTGTCCGAAACCCAGTTGTCCGAAACCCAGTTGTCCGAAACCCAGTTGTCCGAAACCCAGTTGTCCGAAACCCAGTTCTCCGAAACCCAGTTCTCCGAAAATTAGGGGATCTTATCGAAAATGCAATTTCTTAAAACGAATCTTGTCTTGACAACGTATACTGTTTTATTCTTAAAGTTCTATGTGATAATTATAGGATATCCTATGATTTGAGGAATATCATTTTTATCTACGAGGTGATATTGATATCTGCACGAGAGAGCGAAGCGAACGAGTGCATATATCAATATCACCGAGTAGATTAAAATGATATTCTGAAAAAAATCATAGGATGTTCTTATTATCCTACACTTACAAGGAGTGTACTGAATGTATAATATCATTGTAAAATTAATTCCATGCCAAATAGAGTCAATTTGGCGGGAAATCAACAAGCGGAGTATATCGTCACAATATCCTCCGCATATTGGGTTTTCCGGAGTATATCGTCACGATATCCTCCGCCCGGAGTATATCGTTTCGATATCCTCCGGATATTCATTTTGCCAATAAATATCAAATTTATTTTTTCATGTTATTATACATTTAGTACACTAAGTGTAGGATAACTTATTTTATCTGTTTCAAAATGTTTCATTTTATTTTGCCTATACATGTATATAAAAGAGATTGAAGAAGATAAGATAAACTGTTCCGTAATATATCAATGTAAAATAAATCTCCCGTTCCTGCCATTCTGGTAACGCCATGCAATGGATGCAATTCAAAGTGAGAGAGAGATCTATGAATAATCAGAATGCGTCCATGCCATTAATTTGGCCAAATACATGGCATGAAACTGACGTAAGCTTAAGTAAGCTATGCCCCCCCCTCCTTTCTCTGGTAAATTATGACTTTATTTTTCGGAGTAATGGGTTTCGGACAACTGGGTTTCGGACAACTGGGTTTCGGACAACTGGGGTGTACCCAACTTCAATATGCGTGTCCAAGCAATACTTGGTCTGTGTGGCATGTTGATAGAACACCAAAATGGGCTAAGTGATTTGATTGGCAGCCACCAAAACCAAAAACATGAAAACCACTTTAGTGGAACAAAACTTACTTCAATCATTACATATAGTCATCTCAGAAAGTTTGAGGCCAATCATGTCCATAATGAATGAGTTATTACATTTTAAAGTCAGTAACATCTTTTTGGATCACCATGTATACTGCCATCTCCTAAAGTAGTACTCATTGTTTTTTGGTACTCATTTCAATATAAATTTAGATTATAAAAAGTAACTATTTCTCATTTACAATGGGGGTGTATGTGTGTGGGTGAGAAACTCAATTAAAGCAATCATGTTTGAATCATAATTATAAATAACAACCAAGAAAAGCATCAATGAGACCTAATGAATACAATAGAGGCTGATATCTTATGATGCAAGGCCGGAATACAGAGATAACCTTGGAGGTACCAGGGCTGTTACTAGGACCAAAATTTTGGCGAGGCAAGCTTTCAGCTGAAACAATCGAATAATTTTGGCAACGTACCGGAGAACGACATTTTACTAAGAAATGGCAATAATTTAGCACAATATATTTTTTAACTAGAGTTCTACTTTGATTTTGACAAAAGTAAGTATTCCATGCAATGGCTATTTCATTCATGAGTTTGTAGGAATTCTGTTGGAACCCAGTTCTGATCAAGTACGAACTTATTGAAATCGGCGCAGTCGGACTTTACTCCGAAAGATGGTTTTTCGATTACAACATTTAAGTATAGACTTTTGAAAAAAGTACAGAATAGTCCTTATACTATTGAATAATTCTGTTATTTCTGATTCACACGACTCTGATTTGTTTAATTAAAAAAAAAGTTTTAAAAATATTACTTAGGAACGTAACCGGAGCTTGGAACATAACCGGAGCAGATCAGTTGAATTATATAATTAAAAAAAAAAATATATGATTTAAACTTTAAAGCATATATATTAATAAATACGCATTCGAACAATCCCGTATGTTTTTAAATTAGTATATGTGCTTTATATAATATATTTTAATTTTTTTGATTAAATAATTCAACTGATCTGCTCCGGTTACGTTCCCAGCTCCGGTTACGTTCCTAAAGTGGGGGACAAAAATAAAACTCAACGTTCACAAGTTGTCACAATGAGCTAATTTCCAAGTTTCGTGTCTCAAACTCTCCCAAGCGGTAGAAAAATAATTCCTGTTCACTAAAGTAGCACAATAAATGAATCCAAAGCTTCATACCTGCAAATAATGGATAAATCCCTACCAAATCGAATGAATGTTTTCATGAATCGCCATGTTTGTTATCCAAGGACGGTTGACTCCCAGAATGCAACATCAGTTACCGTATTTACTCATGACAGGTTTCAAAATGGCGGAACAGCATTTTGAAAGCTGGCACGAGTCATGTTGCATTCTGGGAGCCAATCCTTTGTTCCGGCGCAAACAGGCGACAAAATCACCTCAACATTTGAAGAGTCGGCATAACATGTGAATATCTACTTCAACTTTTGAAGTTCTTATTTGTCATTAGGGACACAAATTCCACTATATTTGGACTTACTCAGACGGAGAATATAGAGCACTGAATACACTGAGGTAAGAATTTATTACATGTGCGACAGCATGTAATTTTCATAGCTTTTGCAATTCTTTATGATCCCCACTGTAAGTAATATTTTTAAAACTTTTTTTAGTTAAACAAATCAGAGTCGTGTGAATCAGAAATAACAGAATTATTCAAAAGTATAAGGACTATTCTGTACTTTTTTCAAAAGTCTATACTTAAATGTTGTGAAAAGTTATAATCGAAAAACCATCTTTCGGAGTAAAGTCCGTCTGCGCCGATTTCAATAACTTCGTACTTGATCAGAACTGGGTTCCAACAGAATTCCTACAAACTCATGAATGAAATAGTTATTGCATGAAGTATTTACTTTTGTCAAAATCAAAATAGAACTCTAGTTAAAAAATATATTGTGCTAAATTATTGCCATTTCTTAGTAAAATGTCGTTCTCCGGTACGTTGCCAAAATTAGATCTATTCGATGGTAGATCTAGTGGTACCCCGTGAGATTAATAAATAGTAATCAGTGCATAACCAAAAATAAAAATACTGAAACGTAAAATAAAGGTCTAATTACCAAAAACTCGAACGCATCCCTCTCCAATACCTTTAGATCCTCCTGTAATTATAGCAACTTTATCTTTATAACGAGAACCTCCTTCCATTGTATTTACTTCTTTTGACATTTTGCCTGTCACATGACAGTCACGTGATAAAGTTATTCTGTTTAATATCTTCAATATTGATATAATACATAAATATATTCTCAGGTCGATATGAAATATTAACACATAAAACATGATATATGATCAATATTGTCATGACAATTATGTCTGGATAGGTTTCACACAGAACAAAGAGATTGCAACAAATATATAAACAGAATGATCAGTCCGAGGTTAATTGGCAGATTCAAATCGAGGCTCACAAAATTGAAATTTTCGGAAGTTTCACAAAACTTCTTTTTTTAACCCTAAATTGTACAATATGCTTTAGAAATTACGTTATCAAGCACTGAGTTTAAGAAAAATATACTAAACATCTTATAGGTAAGATATAATTCTGATTTTATTGGTAAAACATGGAAATCATGAAAAGAATTATCACGATCTAAAACTACCTGTCATTTATTTTTGTCCCCAACTGTACTTTGTAAAGAGTCAACTCAGAAAACTTTATGTCTCTGAGACTGAGTAGTCCAACAAGATTAGACCTAGCCTCACAGGAATTCGTCTAGAAGGAAAAAGAAGTCAATAGAGCAAGCCTCGCCTCAATAAGCACAGAATACATAAGAGCCACGTTAGATTTTGAAACTTATGGCTCTCAAAAAGGGAAATGGACAGCTGAATAATAGTGACCTTTTAAATACAAATTAGTCGATCAGCTGCCTAATTTTGTTCTCTAACTATGTTGTACATCATTATCATCCTTCCGTGCAAGTATTGGAGCGCTGAAGTACTTCCTTTTCGATCAAGACTTGTAATTGTTAGTCGAATGAATGTTTTTACTGCCAAATTCCAATATGGCGTTTTCTGCTCGGACATTTCCGTGACTCTCCGGAGGTTGTCCGAACCTAATCATTCTCAAAATTCATTTCGTTCACTGCATATCTCGCTCCTAGCAAACCGCCATATTGGAAATGGGTCGAAAAAACATTCACTCGATGAACAATTTACAAGTCTTGATCGAAAAATAAGTATTTCAGCGGTCCAATACTTGCACGGATTGATGATACTGATATAAGACACAGTTAGAGACCAAAAGTAAGCCGCTGAAATCTTTATTCATATTTTAAAGGTCACTATTACTAAGCTGTCCAAGTGCGCCATGGGAAAGCTATTGTATCAAAATCTACATAGCTTTCGCAGGAAGTAAACCACATTTTGATCAAGGCCCAAAAAATGCAAGGAAATATAAAGTATTCATAATTTACCACCTCATTGGATAGATTAAAAGCACAGAAATACAATGAGATGGAGAAACTTGTGTTCTGGCAAAATAATAGTGTTATTTTTTAAAAAAAAAGAAGTAAAACCAAAAACAAATCCACGCATTCTTTACCAAATTTTTCAGTTTTTTCAGCTATACTTACCTGATTTTCCAGATCATTCACTTATATTGACAACTTCCTATTGTTGTTGAAAGTTATATCCGTTTCCTTACGAATTTTACTTATGCTTCAGAATTATCCATCTCAACAAAACCATGCATCATAACATCACAATTTTCATAGATTTCGCAATCTTAAAATGTGGCCAACTTTGCTAAAAATAATTCCATGTTTTCTATCAGGAAGTGATATATAACACTGCCATCTATTTTCACCATGACCCCCAGGGGCTGTGTATGGGGGATCGGGAAAACAATTTGCATAAATTTGAGATCTTTCTGAAGTATAACTTTATTATACTCAAAAAATGAAAGGCAATTTAAAGTATGTGTACTATAGATTATAAATACAATTATATCGTTTTTGTAATTTGGGCCTTGTAAAATTCAAAATGGCCGCCTTACGTCAGATTTCGCAATAATTTTAGGAAGTTTTGGGTAGATCATTATTATGGTATCGTTTTTCTGATTTGTGCCTCAGAAAAATTTCAAAATGGCTGCCAACAGGATTATTCAGTGGTCCATGATCGTATATGAACAGATAACATATCATTGGAAAGGGGAGACATGTGGCTTCATTTTAGATTAAATGAATTTGATGTAATTATCACTGGATTTGTGGTATTTCAATGTTTCTGTTTGTTGCATTTTTTTGAGACGCACTGTATAGCAGATGTTGTTTTATTTTACTTAAAATAGAAAACCTAACACTAACTTTTGACAGATATTCAAAGTTAATGTTGATGTGATGTATTGATGCATTCACAGTTTGACATCCATTAATTGATTCAATAGCCACCCATTTGTGACTCCCTATTAGGTTAAACCATTTTAAGCCATCATCATACATGACTATATTAAAGCACTCATGAAAAGACAATTTAGATTGGAACAGAAGAAAAGTTGTACCTTCTGTCTGTTATTCTCCATATAAACAAAGTTACAGCTATACTGTATGCTGACCTTTTGTTGATATTTCAGGTTCCTTTGTATGTTATAAGGCATCGTGCTGAAGATACCATGAGCAACAATATGGACCATTACCACTGTAGGACATACCGCAATGAGCATTGCGAGGTTGCAGGTGTTCCTGGCGTCAGTTGTCAACTGGTTGAATGTAAACACAAATGTGGAGTTAAACTTCATCTTTGTCAGGTATGTGAAATCATAGACTTCTACATTACATGAATTTATATTGCCAACATTGAATTAGTAGAAAATATTTCCTTGATATGTGCCAGTCTCAATATTTCAACACTCAATTTCATTGTCAATATAAAACAATATTGGACACCAGTAAATTGATTTAAATGCATCATTTTCACTTGATAATAATCATTGACAGACTGCACTATTTGAATATTTCTAAAAAATGCTCACATGTGTCAACATTTCCTGTATATTATCTAAAAGTGACTGGCTCAGTCATAACGTTAGGGATAATATTAGAATCAGCTATCCTAGATTCATTTTTTGATGTACATTTTCAATGAAACAGATCTTTAAATTGAGGATTAAGATGTTCAATACAGATAAAGAATAACTAATAATGCTTGTACTAATTTCTGCAGTTCTCCTAAAATTCCAGAATTTAATTTTTTCATTTCAGGTCCGCAAGCATTACCTTGACTGCATTGCTAAAGATGAAGAATCAGCTCATGAACATTGTAATAAATGTTACTTGATGAAGTGTATGGAAAAACTGTCTCCTCAATGTTGTGAAAGGATGTCATGCTCCAATGAATGTGGATTGATATTTCATAAATGTAAGGCAGCAGACCATGAAGAAATTTGCCTCAAGGCTATAGTTCAATGTACTAACCATACAAATGGTTGTCCAGTAGAGCTTTCACGCCACAAGATAAACGAACATTTGAATGTTTGTCCAGCAAGTGTTATTTATTGCACCATGGAGTGGAATCGTTGGCCAATCCATTGCAGTGAGAGGAAATCCAGGGTGCCATTCGTTCAAGGCAATCTACATGCCAAATATGGTCAGTTAGATGTTGCATTAGCTTTGCGTGACCAACGCATGTTAAATTCAGCATTGAAAGCTCCCCGCAGTACTAGGAGAGCTATGCGCAACAAACTCACAAAATATTTTCCTGCTGTCCCTCTTCACAACCAATCAACTAGTTCTAATGGTATAAGTAATAATCCAAAGTCAAATGACACGTCTCATACAATATCTGATGATGATAGTGATGTCATAGAGAGAACACCACCTGCACTTTCTCGTAGCTTGTGCAGTGATCTTTACCGCTCTGCAAAGCAAACTACAGAATCCCTCAGTGAAGCAATTAACCTGGCTGTGAATAGTACCCCTAGCAAACAAAAGAAGCAAACAGAGGAGTTCAACGATTCAGGCTTCATAGATGAGTAGCCAGATCTCATAAAGTCTTCAAATAAAGAAGTTTAAACCTCCAAAAGGTTACCGGCTAATCTTGGTACCGTTGGAAAGCTAAACACCTGCACTAACATGTTTGAAGACTATAAAAATTCAGAACAGGTGGAAAAGTTCTTAAAAATGCTGGTTTCCATGGTAACTGCAATGTTGTCAGTATTAAGGACAAATTATATACTTTTGAACATATATATAGAACGCTTTGACCATACATCATGATAAAAGTACCACTGTAAAGGTAATTTAAAAACCTTTTGAAAAATCATATTTTTAGGATTTTCGGGCCTATTGTGATGTCATAGAACTAAAAACGCTCGATTTTTCGGTGATTTTGACAGAATTTAGACACGTGTCGTGTGCTAATGTAATCTACATTATCTAATAAAACTATTTTGAGTTTAAAAGTGACTTAACACAACACTTATATGTATATTATCGGGCAAACGATATCATTATGATTGTGATGTCATAATACAAAGAGATAGAGGCCTAATTCAAATATCTAATATCGAGATTATTGACAAATCGAGATACATTTGAGACATTTATATTATATTTTATACATTTTCAATGATAACTTAAAAATCCTCAACATTAAATGTTATGTTTAATATATCTATAAAAAGGTTACTGTCTAATCATGGTACTGTTGGAAAGCTTAGCATCTGTGTTAACATGCCTAATGACTAAAATAAATCAAAACAGGTGAGAACATTTCTAAAAATGATGGTTTCCATGGTAACTGCAATGATGTCACTATTAAGTCCAGGAATATACTTTTGAAGATATCTAGAGAACGGTTTGACCATATATCATATTAAAACTATCATTGTAAAGCTAATTTAACAAACCTGTAAACAATACACATTTCTTGAGGTTTCGGGCTCATTGTGATGTCATAGAAATAGAAACGCTCGATTTTTGGTGATTTTACAAAATACAAATACATATCATGTGCTTTTGTAGCCTAATAGTATTGGAGATAAACTATTTTGTGTTTATACGTGACTGAACACAACACTTACATGTATTAATATATCAGGCAAACAATATCATTGTGATTATGATGTCATTATGCAAAAAGATAGAGGCCTAAATCAAACACATGTATCTAGTACCCAGAATTTTAACAAATCCAGATATTGAATGAGAAAGGTAGAAGGTATTTTTGGGCTTTGATACTGATCAAAAGCTTGCATATTGAGCTTTACGGATGCACTGGTGTTTTTTAAGATTTTTAAGCAAAAAATTATTTTAATCGTTCGTTTCCATAGTAACAGTTTATATTAATCATTATGAGATCATAATGACATTGGTACCATATGAAAGCAAAAATAATTTCTGGTATTTCTAGAAAAATATGCAAACTATTCATTATGATTAATTTTGACGTTAAGTTTACATATTTACAATGAAATAATTGTAATACAGCATGGTGTTATATATATCGGGTGTCCCAAAAATGAGACACTTTTTGACAAAGTATTTTCTCGGCAACCACATTCACTGAAAATTTGTACAAAGTAGCCCAAGAGTATCATTAGCAACGTATAAAACTATGAAAAAGATCAAGTAAATGTGAGTACTAATTAATTCAACGTAGAATGTCAAAAGATCCCATACCGGAGCAACGCACTGAGAACTTTATATCGTTTGCACCAAAAAACGGGAAAAAATTTGACGAGTAATTTCTCAGGAATAGATGAACCAAATTCTTCTTCTGCTAGCACCATGAATATGTAAGAAATCTCTCATATATTATGTGTGTATTTGTAAATTAAACACAGTATGTCAAAATATCCAATATCAATGTAAAAGTTACTTATTAACCCATTTCCAAGCAAAAATACCTTTCCGTATTTATTCTAACAATATCATCTCCAATGAATTTTGAGAATAAATGGATTTTGGATATTTTGGAAGAATGAAACAAATTAATTAGTCATGCCACACAGACAAGCTATTTTGACTGATCACAGAATATTTGGTTGATCTTTTTTAGATTTTTACAACTTGCAAATGATACTCTTAGGCTACTTTGTGCAAATTTTTAGTGAATTTGGTTCATCAGTTGCCCAGAAAATACTTGTTAAAAAGTGTCTCATTTTTTGGGACACCAGATATATATTTTTACTATGAAGTGATGAATATGTTAGATCTAGGTACATTTATTTACTGTTGAAATCAAAATTAAATACTATACATGTTGCACCAATACTAAAATTGCATTTCATGCCATAGCATAGTTTTGCCCGATGCAAGATTTATCAAGACTTACAGACTGTGTAATAGGTCAGCACCAAGGCCAAAATTAGAGAAATATTTTGTGACCTAGGTCACTCTAAGTTGGTCCTGGCCCTAGAAAAAGAAATTGAAAAGAGAAATTGGGCCTAAAGGTGACGCCCTCTACAATTTGACCTCATATTTAAAATAATGTTTAATATTTATTTCTAACACATAAGAACATCACAAATACTATATAGTAGCTTAAAGCAGATATGAAATGGTATTTTTAACCTAAAGGAATCAATATAATTTTTTGATAGATGTATTTGGACATGTTTTCTCATCAGTAGTGTGAAAATTATTTCACACTAACGATCGTTATAGCTGCTGAATAAGCAATATTCGAATTGGTTGTGACGTTATTGGCCCCCACGTGATCTCTCACTGGTCCCCACGTGGCCCGTTTTGGTCCATTAGACTATGACGCCATAATGCCAGAATGTTTTGTTATTTGTTTACACAACAATCCTATGGTTGTCGTGACGTTGTGATTACTAAGAAACCAATAAACCAAAGCTATATTTTGTATATGACGTTACTAATCACGTGGGGGCCAATTTGATTGATCAGTTAGTTTTATTTCGTTATCTATGACCGTTAGCAGTTATCTAACATTTATTTTATAATGGCTATCGCAAGAACTTTACGTTGGGCTTACAATGGAGAAAACCGCATTTTTGTAGCTGCAATTTGAGAAAAGCTATTTCAGTTGTCCTTTAAATTGACCAGAGTTAGATTAATTTGTGTATTTAAAGAAGTATTTATTGGTGAAAATTATAACTCGAGGAAATAAAGTTGATTAACCCCCTAAAACGAAACCTATTTTAAAGGGGGGATTAACATTATACTCTAAACCTTTTGTTTCATTTAAGATTTGACTGTCAAAATAATTTTCATCATTGAAACACAATGCTAACATTGACATTTTTAAAGGCCCCATATTAACTTTAAACTTCTTTGGCTTATATTGTAGTCTTACCCAATGTTCAAAGTGTGATATGTGAAACCTATTTTTTAAATTTCAAAAAGTGTTTTTTGAACTTTCAGAGGTTGCGAGTATCTTTTAATAAGAGATCATTCACACCAATGCATAGCAATCATCCGCACGTGTTTTTTTTAAATTGGCTCGTAAATAACATTTGATATTTATTCTTGAACTAGTGTGTCCTTTGTCCAATCCTTGCATTGGTATTTCTTTTACAAAAAAAACTTTTAAAGCTTTATCTTAGCCAAATTCATCATACAACTCAACTTAGCCTTACATACATTGTTCATGTGAGGTCAAATGCTTTTTTTATTTAATTAGATTAATTTGGGACATTTACTAAAGCACCACAAGATTTAGATAACACTAGGGTATGCAAGGAAATCATTAAGGGCTACCAATGAGGGCTATTAAAGCACCACCAAGTCATACTATGAAAGCATTGAGGGAATAAGAATACTAGTGAATCATGAAGGGGCCTTTAGCACCACCAAGGCATACTAGGGAATTATTAATGACTATTATTGAACCTAAAGAAACTATTTAAACACCACCAAGCCACACTATGGAATCACTAAGGGCTATTAAGAAACTAATTGGGGCTATTTAAGCACAACCTGAGCATACTAGGGAATCACTAAGGGATATTAAAAAACTAATTGGGGTTATTTAAGCACAACCCGAGCATACTAGGGAATCACTGAGGGATATTAAGAAACTAATTGGGGCTATTTAAGCACAACCCGAGCATACTGGGGAATCACTAAGGGCTATTTAAAAACTAATTGAGGCTATTTAAGCACAACCCGAGCATACTACGGAATCACTAAGGGCTATTAAGAAACTAATTGGGGCAATTTACACACAACCCGGCCATACTAGGGAATCACTAAGGGCTATTAAGAAACTAATTGGGGCTATTTAAGCACAACTCGAGTATACTAGAGAATCTCTAAGGGATATTAAGAAACTAATTGGGGCTATTTAAGCACAACCTGAGCATATAAGGGAATCACTGGGGGGTATTAAGAGACCCATTGGTGCTATTTAAGCACAACCCGAGCATACTAGGGAATCACTAAGGGCTATTAAGAAACTAATTGGGGCTATTTAAGCACAACCCGAGCATATAAGGGAATCACTAAGGGCTGTTAAGAAACCGATTGGGGCTATTTAAGCACAACCCGAGCATATATGGGAATCACTAAGGGCTATCAAGAAACTAATTCGGGTTATTTAAGCACAACCCGAGCATACTAGGGAATCCCTAAGGGCTGTTAAGAAACTGATTGGGGCTATATAACTTATAAGCACAACCCGAGCATACTAGGGAATCACTAAGGGCTATCAAGAAACTAATTCGGGCTATTTAAGCACAACCCGAGCATATACGGGGATCACTAAGGGCTATTAAGAAACTAATTGGGGCTATTTAAGCACAACCAGAGCATACTAGGGAATCATTAAGGGCTATTAAGAAATCAATTGAACATTTTAAGCACAACCAGAGCATACTAGGGAATCATTAGGGGCTATTAAGAACCAATCTAGAGGATACAAGGGAATCACTAAGGGCTATTAAGAAACTAATTGGGGCTATTTAAGCACAACCAGAGCATACTAGGGAATCATTAAGGGCTATTAAGAAATCAATTGAACATTTTAAGCACAACCTGAGCATACTAGGGAATCATTAGGGGCTATTAAGAACCAATCTAGAGGATACAAGGGAATCACTAAGGGCTATTAAGAAACTAATTGGGGCTATTTAAGCACAACCAGAGCATACTAGGGAATCATTAAGGGCTATTAAGAAATCAATTTAACATTTTAAGCACAACCTGAGCATACTAGGGAATCATTAGGGGCTATTAAGAACCAATCTAGAGGATACAAGGGAATCACTAAGGGCTATTAAGAAACTAATTGGGGCTATTTAAGCACAACCAGAGCATACTAGGGAATCATTAAGGGCTATTAAGAAATCAATTGAACATTTTAAGCACAACCTGAGCATACTAGGGAATCATTAGGGGCTATTAAGAACCAATCTAGAGGATACAAGGGAATCACTAAGGGCTATTGAGAAACTAATTGGGGCTATTTAAGCACAACCCGAGCATATAAGGAAATTGCTAAGGGCTATAAAGAAATCAATTTTGGCTATTTAAGCACAACCCGTTTATACGAGGGAATCACTAAGCGCTATCAATGAGCCAATATTGACTGTTAAAGCACTAATTATCGCTATTTCTGTAAGGTAGGGTCGCCATTTTTACTGAAATATGATATGTTCCTAGGAAATGTAAACAAAGTCAGGCCACGGCTGTGATCAATTGATAGTGGTGTTATTATATCAAAAGTACGGGTCATGATGCCATTATTAATATGAAAATTAGCTTATTTGAATATTGTTTTCATAAAAACATCAGAAATATTTTTTTGCTTTCATAGGGTACCAATATTAATTCAATCAACAACGTTGTAGCATGAATAATGAACCATAAACTAATAGTCTTCAAATATGTCATTTGAAGAATGTAATCCTATTTTCTTTATTTTATTGCTATTTTTACTGTTAATGAAAATTGTATGTTGTAAATTGTATGTTTGGCCCTAAAAGGGCATCAGTACTAATAAATCCTATTATATATATATATTAACTCAATTGGACAAGAACAACTGAGATATGCCCACTCTGCACTATGCTGTTATCTCTGAATATATAGAAAACATTAAATGGTTACTATGGAACCGAGCGCTTTAAGTAAATCTCACCCTAAAGTCTCAATTAAATATCTAAACTTTTCTTGCCTGACATACTGATACACATACATGTTGTTTTTAGAAGCTTTTTATCATAATTTTACATATAAGTACCATATGCCTCCAGAAAAACTTGACACATATTATAACATTTGCTAGAAATCACAAAAAAAATTAGATATGTGTTTATGATGGGGTTGTGGAATTATCTTTTCGACGATGTATCGAACGTGACATATTGTTGAAGCTTTTCAAATTATCTTAAGATTACTCCAAATTTATCCGAATATGTCAAAAATCTCGATATATTTGAAATATACCTTTATCTAAAAGTTTTGAATTATGACATCACAAGTACAATGATATTACTTGTCTGATATACTAATACATATAAGTGTTGTACAACATGTCCTAAATCATGTATTTACACAAAATAGTTTATTCTGTAACTACTATCGGCTACAAAAGCGCATGATATGTACTTGTGTGAATTATGTCGAAATCACCAAAAATCAAGCGTTTCTATTTATATAACATCACAATGAGCCCAAAACCCCGGAAAATATGTATTTTCAACAAGTTTGTTAAATTACCTTTACAATGAAACTTTAAACATGACATATGGTCAAAGCGTTCCCTAGATATCTTCAAAAGTATATTTATGGACTTTTATAGTGACAACATTGCAGTTACCATGGAAACCATCATTTTTAAAAATGTTCTCACCTGTTTTGATTTATTTTAGGGATTAGGCATGTTAACACAGATGCTAAGCTTTCCAATGGTACCATGATTAGCCAGTAACCTTTTCATCGATAATTATATTTAACATGACATTATATTGTTGAGGATTTTTTAATCATTGAAAATGTATAAAATGTATAAATGCCTCAAATATATCTGGATTTGTCAAAAATCTCGATATTAGATATTTGAAGTAGGCCTCTATCTCTTTGTATTATGACATCACAATCATAGTGATATTGTTTGTTCGATATACTAATAGTATGTGTTGTGTTAAGTCACTTAAAGACAAAACATAGTTTACTTTAAGTATTGTAGCTTACAGAAGCATATGATACATGTTTAAATTCTATCAAAATCACCGAAAATTCAGCCGTTTCTAGTTCTATGACATCACAATGAGCCCAATAATCCAAAAAATACATTTTTTCAAAAAGTTTGTTAAATTACCTTTACAGTGATACTTTTATCAAGACATATGGTCAAAGTGTTCTCTAGATATGTTCAAAAGTATATTCATGGGCCTTAATGGTGACAACATTGCAGTTACCATGGAAACCAGCATTTTAAAGAATTTTCTCACCTGTTCTGAATTGTTTTAGTTGTCAAACATATTAGTGCAGATGCTAAGCTTTCCAACAGTACCATGATTTGCCAGTAACCTTTTCATCGATATATTAAACATAACATTATATTGTTGAGGATTTTTTAAGTTATCATTGAAAATGTATAAAATGTATAAATGCCTCAAATATATCTGGATTTGTCAATAATCTCGATATTAGATATTTGAAGTAGGCCTCTATCTCTTTGTATTATGACATCACAATCATAGTGATATTGTTTGTTCGATATACTAATAGTATGTGTTGTGTTAAATCACTTAAAGACAAAACATAGTTTACTTTAAGTATTGTAGCTTACAGAAGCATATGATACATGTTTAAATTCTGTCAAAATCACCGAAAAATCAGCCGTTTCTAGTTCTATGACATCACAATGAGTCCAATAATCCAAAAAATACATTTTTTCAAAAACTGTGTCAAATTATCTTTACAGTGATACTTTTATCAAGACATATGGTCAAAGCGTCATCTAGATATGTTCAAAAGTATATTCACGGGCCTTAATAGTGACAACTTTGCAGTTACCATGGAAACCAGCATTTTAAAGAACTTTTCCACCTGTTCTGAATGTTTTTAGTCATCAAGCATGTTAGTGCAGAAGTTAAGCTTTCCAACGGTACCAAGATTAGCCAGTAACCTTTCGGAGGTTTAATCTCTTCAAATATTGCCGGCTGCTACTCGTCTATCAGCATTGAGCAACCAGGTGCAATACTCAGTGATACTAGTGCAATGAATGAAAGTGATGTCTGTGATATTTCAAACATTGAATCAGCAGATGCTAATGATTCAGTCTCCTCATTGAATGACTGCAGTTATAAAACTGATGAAAGAAACCTTGCATCAACACCAATTATGAATAAATCAGCAGGTGACAACTCAGTTATACCTACTCCTCCAATCGCACCAATAACATTGCATCAGATGCTAGCTCTAGATCTGAATGTTGAATCAGTGACACGTTATCAAGTGAAACCCAAGGCTATGTATACATTTCTCTGTGCCCAGGAGTTCCGCAGAGATGAATACCCATGGCACTTTAGAAATGTTCACAATGATATTCACAGCTGTCTAAATGGATGGCTGGAACAACGATGCCCTCTTGCTCATTATGGCTGCACTTATTCAATTAGACGATTTTACCCAAATGAAAAAGGATCAACTGTTGTCCATAGCAGTGCAACTGAAAGTTTTGGACTCAAACCCAAGATTCCTGAAGAGCACAAAATCAAGAGATACCAGCACTCATTTGATGAATCTGATAGATCTTTGGAAGAGATTTCAGAGAGCCCTAATGTGATACCAAAGAAGACAAAGACACCTGAAATGCTAACAAGCACAAGTTATGATGCAGAAATACACTTGAATGGTGGCTTATCTAGTGCAGAGTCTAGCAGGGAGGGGACCCCAAGTAGGCCAAGACTGGACATTCTCACTAGTCTTCCCTTTGAAATAATACAAGCAATAGCAAGGTAAAACAAAATTACAATTTTCACTATATTTGATAAAAGAAGTTTTTATCCTATGTTTGTATAGGTTAATATGAATGTTAACTAAATGTATGTTAATTCACATGACAGTTATAATTGGAAGTAAAATCACCTGCTGCTAATGAAACAGTATATAAACAGGGGGAGGGGCTGTTATTCTTCTTTGGATAAAGTTCATATCTTGACATCGAAAGCAGGATGTACACACAGTTATACATGTAGTGTCATATTAACAAGGGGTGTTAACCCTTAACCTCTTGAATTCCAGGTTTTAAAATAGGTTGAAACCAGATCATTTTTCATATTTGACTGCTTTTGACATTTAACTACATACATACACAACAGGTGATGTTCAATCTAAAAAAATTAGACGATGGAGATCATTTCTAGACATTTAAAATTTTTTTTTGTGTAAATCGGATAAAAATTGTTCAAATAAGAGCAATTTTAGTGAACATTTTTGTGACAGATTATCTCGTCACTCTGGGTTTCAAGGTCATTTCTGAGGTGACGAGAAATCTTGTCACTCTGGGTTGTCAAGAGGTTAAACGGTTAGGTTATAGAGAATTACACCAATGGTTAGGGGGGGGGGGGGCAGCCCCCTATGATCTAGGAAACAACCAATCATAGGAGGATGTATTAGGTAACATTGGAAGGCTTATTCAATTGCCAGTATTCTGAGCTTAGTTTTATTATATTGAGCCATTAATGATGAAGAAATTTATATTCTAAGAACATAGGGGTTTATCGTTTCAAGTCAATACTGACAGTTCAGGTATTTCAGTAACTTTGACCAGCTCTAACTTTCATTCTATGGGCGGTTAGAGTCATATTTTTTCGCTGAAACATGCCTTATTCAATTTTAAGAAAGGCCAGAAAGTTTCAGATCAAAAGACAAACTACGAAAAAAGTTATCGAAAAAATCCTTAGGATCTGCCCCCCTAACTGTTTAAGGGTTAACCATTTAAATAACTGTAATGCGAATTAATATACTTGAATGATGATACCTTTTGATCAACATTAAGACCTGATTTCAATTATTTGCACTTGTTTCAGGCACTTGGATTCATTCAGTCTACGAAACCTTGCCCTTGTTAGTAACCTAATGCGAGATGTTTGCCTCAGCCTGGTGGAAGAACGAGGAATAGTCATACAACAGTGGGAGAAACAAAGCCCTGGGACGCAACCAGTCTGGCAAATAACATATAAGGTACCTATAAGCATGTCTACACCCATCAACAGCTTTGAAATGCTGCACCTATTTGTAAAAATAAATTCATGAGAATTTAGTTAAAAATTGTAAAAGAGAGAACTTTGCCGGCTTTGTACATCTAGAACCAAATAATTACTTTTCTTAATATGTTTATTTTTTATTTTTTTGCTTGTTATGTCACCACCAAAAAGTGGTGACATATTGTTATGGTCTCCGTTTTTTTACGGTGGTTGGCAGTTGGCGTCTGTAACAAATTCTTACAACTTCCAATAACGTAACAAATACTGTTTAGACTGACTTCAATTTTTTTTAAATCATCTACAAGTTTTCAGAAGTTTATATATAAGATTTGACCTTCAATGACCTTTTCAAGTTCAAAAAAGGTCAAAAAGGTATTTTTCAACTTGCTTCAAATCGACCAATTTATTTTCAAAATCATCTACAAGTTCTCAATAGATTTGACCTTTTCAAGGTCAAAAAGGTATTTTTATATCCCCATATTGTCGGCCTAGGCGCGTCCGTCTGTTGGTCCGTCTGTCGGTCCGTCTGTCTGTCTGTCCGTCTGTCTGTCCGTACGTCCGGCAGTTTTCTCCAAAACCGCTACAGATATCACCTTCAAATTTTCAGGGATAACTTATGAGTGCATACAGATGTGGATTCAGGTGTACTTTGTTGTAAAAGCCTATCTTATTGTTAACAGTAGTTATATGTGATAATTTGGTAAAAAGAAATCAGCAAAAACTCGATAATCACTTTTTTATTGTCGGCCATTTTGGATTTTTCCGTCCTAAAATCTTGTCTGTAAATTGTCTTGTCTTTCAGGTGAACCGTTTAATAGATCAATTTAAAATTTTCAGGGATGATTCTTAGTATACAAGTCTAGATCTGATTAGTTTTTGGGCATTCTGTGTAAATGTCAAGGCAGCCATTTTGGATTTCCGTCCTAAAATCTTGTCTGTAAAGTCTTGTCTACACATTTCCAGGCTTTCCAGGTGAACCGTTTGGTAGATCAAATTCAAATTTTCAGGGATGATCTAGTATGAAAATCTAGATCTGATTAGTTTTTGGGCATTCTGGGTAAATGTCAAGGCAGCCATTTTGGATTTTCTGTCCTAAAATCTTGTCTGTAAAGTATTGTCTACTCATTTCCAGGTGAATCGTTTGGTAGATCAATTTCAAATTTTCAGGGATGATTCTTAGTATGAAAATCTAGAACAGAGTAGTTTTTTGGCATTCTGGATAAATTTCAAGGCAGCCATTTTGGATTTTCCGTCCTAAAATCTTGTCTGTAAAGTATTGTTTACATGTTTTCTGGTTAACTGTGTGACGGTAAATTTTAAGGTGGCCATTTTGGATTTTCCGTCCTCAAATTGTGTCGGTAAAGTCTTGTCTACTCATTTTTAGGATAACCATTTGACGGGATCACCCATAGGTGGGGACATTTTGTACACATTTGTGTTCTTGTTTAATCTTGCTTCAAACAAATTGAACAATTTTTTTTCAAAATCATCTACAATATCTCAGAAGTTCAAATCTGACTTTAGATTTGAGATTTCACCTTCAATGACCTTCTCAGGGTCAAAAGGCTTTATTTATTTTTCCAAAATCATTACAAGTTCAAATCAGACTTAAGATTGAACTCATAATATTATGAGCAATTAGGTGGTGACATTTTGTCATGTTAATGCCTTATGTACTGTGCTTTCTCCCTGACATTTATCTAAGTATGGGATAAATACTTTGTATGTCATGGTCAGTTTTGGATATAAGAAACATCTTTGAAAAGCAAATGATATTTACATTCTTTCATTTATGGGACCCCGAGGTAGATATATTATATTTTCTTCAGGATATTTCATAAATCCTAAACCTTCCATAACATATATAGTATAATATGTAAAACTATTATGAATAGGCAGCCATTTTGGATTTCCGTCCTAAAATCTTGTCTGTAAAGTCTTGTCTACACATTTCCAGGCTTTCCAGGTGAACCGTTTGGTAGATCAAATTCAAATTTTCAGAGATGATTCTTAGTATGAAAATCTAGATCTGATTAGTTTTTGGGCATTCTGGGTAAATGTCAAGGCAGCCATTTTGGATTTTCTGTCCTAAAATCTTGTCTGTAAAGTCTTGTCTACTCATTTCCAGGTGAATCGTTTGGTAGATCAATCTCAAATTTTCAGGGATGATTCTTAGTATGAAAATCTAGAACAGAGTAGTTTTTTGGCATTCTGGATAAATTTCAAGGCAGCCATTTTGGATTTTCCGTCCTAAAATCTTGTCTGTAAAGTATTGTTTACATGTTTTCTGGTTAACTGTGTGACGGTAAATTTTAAGGTGGCCATTTTGGATTTTCCGTCCTCAAATTGTGTCGGTAAAGTCTTGTCTACTCATTTTTAGGATAACCATTTGACGGGATCACCCATAGGTGGGGACATTTTGTACACATTTGTGTTCTTGTTTAATCTTGCTTCAAACAAATTGAACAATTTTTTTTCAAAATCATCTACAATATCTCAGAAGTTCAAATCTGACTTTAGATTTGAGATTTCACCTTCAATGACCTTCTCAGGGTCAAAAGGCTTTATTTATTTTTCCAAAATCATTACAAGTTCAAATCAGACTTAAGATTGAACTCATAATATTATGAGCAATTAGGTGGTGACATTTTGTCATGTTAATGCCTTATGTACTGTGCTTTCTCCCTGACATTTATCTAAGTATGGGATAAATACTTTGTATGTCATGGTCAGTTTTGGATATAAGAAACATCTTTGAAAAGCAAATGATATTTACATTCTTTCATTTATGGGACCCCGAGGTAGATATATTATATTTTCTTCAGGATATTTCATAAATCCTAAACCTTCCATAACATATATAGAATAATATGTAAAACTATTATGAATAGATCGTATGATTTTTATTACTTTGTTTTAGATACATTGCTGTCACTAATTTATATACAAAATGATGTTCCCATAATTTTAACAATAAAATGGTCTTTTTCAAATCTCTTTTTCCAGAGGTGGCTGTTTAGTAATGGTTTCACACCCATTAAGAAATGGGGCTTTGAGGAAAACCAGTGCATGTCAAATCACCTGAAGACATGTTCATACTATAACAAGGTTGTCAAGTCAGAGCCATACTTGTACCCTATGGGGTTGCTATGTAATCGTGAATTAGAGGAGATATTATACAAGTCAGCAGGCAGGGAACAAAATGCAGAAGAGGAAACATCCAAAGTTCAAGTCCTTTACAACTTCTACAAATAAAGGGAATTTCAGTCTTTTATTGATTGGCATTGATACATTATGCATGTGTTATTTTGTTGTTTCAGATATGGTGTTAGACTTTTCTTGTTTTATGAATTATAATAGCATGACACGACACCCCGTATATTAAGCATAAACTATTTCAGGTTCTCATGGTATTGAATTCATTACAGCATCCCAAAATGTAATCTTCTTAACTTGCAAGTGATATTCACATTTTACTGAACTTCATTGATTTGTTCTCACTGCTTCTATTCATGTTACCAATTATTATTTCCCATTAACAGCTTATAGTTCTATTTCAGATAGGAAAATGGCTAATAAGCATGGAAATTGTGTCATCAGTCTGTTTACACTAACTATTTAGGCATAAATGAAGTCCTTTGAAGAAGGATGACTATAACGATATGTTTTGTAATTATTTTGGGGGCTTCCAGATCAAAACATGTCCTCTCATGTTGGTATGTGTGTGTTTGGATTTGGAAATGTATTGTACTGGTATGTGGAAATAATAGTTCTATGCCTTGCTTGGGTTTAACTAACCAGCATGTAATGTGTGATTGCAGAGTTGGAAGTTCAGTTCAGCATTCTCTCCTATACACAAATGGGGCTTCCAAGAGCACAATAGTTTGTCCAACCACCTGAAGCAATGCCCATTCAACATCAAAGAGATAAACACTGAGCCTTATAGCTATAGCTTTGGAATGGAACAAAATCCCCCTCTCAAACAGGATGGGTTGCTGGACAATTCATCCAAAGACCAAGACAACTCATCCCAAGACAATTAATTCCAAGACAACTTATCCCAAGACAACTCATCCCAAGAAAACCCATTATACCTTATTAAAATCATTTTTAATATTAAATTTTAGTGTTTGAAATGGCTCTTGGAAGTCATGACTGTTTCAAGATTACATAACTTCTTATGGCTTACCATTCTAATGGAGCAATTGTTTTCTAAGATACCTTTTCTTAAATGTGTCAATTTTAAAAGCTCAATGAGCATTGTTAGATTCAAATTGATATAAGGATTTTGAATATAGTAACATTGTATAGAAAAATATGTATATGTCAGAAATAGCAATTATCATATGTTGCACAAAGTCATCATGTCAAAATAACAAATAAAATATGAAGAGAATTTTAACTTAATAGTTTCAATTACGATTACTGTAAAATTCTTTTGAAAGATTCTTCCAAATAATAAACATTTGTTCATCATCGGGATTATGTTTGTACTCACTATTCATTTTAAAATAATATTATGTTTGTACTGACTATTCATTAGGTCCTTATCACTAATACATATAAATATGAGCAGATCGAAGAATCCCTTTTTATTATAGGCTATTTAATCAACAGTAACAGTTTCATATATAGCGTGTGTAACCTAACACACATAATAATGTATGCAAGTGGTGTCTATATTGAATAATAAAAGAGGTTAAACCCACAGAGAGCGAGTGCTGCTCCAAGTAGCAGCCTGAATGAAGGCCTTCACTGTACTTATATAGTACTTTAACAGGGTTAATTTCATGCTATTTAATTTGGAGTATGTGAGATTTTGAAGATTCATGACATTCATTGTGCACTATTATGTCATAAATGATGAGCAATATGACATTATCATGAGTCTGTATAATTATGTTATCTTGTTGAAGGCTTGGCCCTTTATGTATATAGATTGTACTATTTATTGTAGAGTACTAGTGCTATTAAAGTGGCATTGGGCATAGAATTATTTGATTCACCTGAAATCAATTGTCAACAAATGTTAAGTAATATTCAGAAGGTATGCATCTCTTGATATCCACAGCAAGTATATCACTTAACTGAAAGTATGCCAATTAGAGACTAAATGTGTCATTGATTTGTCAAAAATACCTAACCTATGGCGGATCCGGGGGGGGGGGCCCATGGGGCCCGGGCCCCCCCCCCCTAAGGTTGGCCCAGAAAAAAAAAAGTTGGGCCCAAAAAAATTTTAGGCTAAAAAAGGCCTTAAGGCCCCAAAAAGTGGGCCTTTTGGTCATTATTGGGCCTTTTAAGGCCTTATTTTTTTAATTTTAGGCCAAATTTTGAAGAAAATGGGCCTCAAATTTTCAAAATTTGGGCCCACTTTTCAGTTTTAGGGGCCCGAAATTTTTTGCCGCGCAAGCGCGGATGGTTTTTCTCTGACCTCAAATTTGGGCCCCCCCCCTTGTTGGTTCCTGGATCCGCCACTGCTAACAGTATGTGCAATGCTACTTTAAAATGGCTGTTTTATATATTGTAATTTACACCAATGTTTATTTCTTTTATACACTTTGTTCACGTACAATTATACACATATATTGTAGAGTTCAATAATTTATTACATCTTTGATAACTTTACAAACTTTCAAAATAATATTGTTTCAGTACATCTCAAATGATGTATGTACTTTTATGCTCACGATAATTATAACAATTGAAATTGGAATGAAGCCCACTTTTCAAGGATTTTAGAATAAAAGAATTGTGAAACTGAAATTATTTAGTTTTTAATATTTAATATGCAGATACGTCTGAAGACATTGCCTTAATAGGCCAAAATCAATTAAATATGCAAGTTTAGAGATGTCTATTTGAAAGTGCCAGTTATTTAAAAAAATATGTAAATAGGATTAACACCATTGATAATGAGTCAATGACTCAAATAATGGTAAATGTATCCCATATTTCATTATTTGCATATTTATTTGAACAATTTGGCAGACAAGCAAAAACAAGCCACAGGGTGAACAGAATCGCACCCTTGAACAGAATACACTTTTCGGGATGGAAAATTCAAAATGGCCACCTTAACATTTACCCAGACTGCCTAAAAACTAATCAGTTCTAAACTTTCCATAGTAACATCTCTAAAATTTCAGGATGAATCCATGAAACCTGTAAACAACCCTCAAGAGACACGTTTTAAGGTATTACTTCACAGTGTATCAGCTTTTTTTCTACAATTCAGATTTTCCTGAAAAAAATCCTGGTAAAAGATATACTGATGTATTACAAAATATGTGAAAATTGGAAACTGTTTAGTTATTTCTCAAAAAATGTTTTAATTTAACATTGCTCTCTATGGGAAATTTTTTTTTATTATTTTTTAAAACAAGCCTTCACAGACACGATTTTAGGACGAAAAATCCAAAATGGCCACCTTAACATTTACCCAGAATACCGAAAAACTAATCAGTTCTGAACTTTCATAGGTAGAAACATCCCCGAGAATTTCAAATGAATCCCTCAAAGTGCTGGAAACCTGTAGAAAAAGCCTTGACAGACAAGATTTTAGGACGGAAAATCCAAAATGGCCGCCTTAACATTTACCCAGAATGCCGAAAAACTAATCAGTTCTAAACTTTCATAGGTAGAAACATCCCTGAGAATTTCAAATGAATCCCTCAAACGGTTTGGCTGGAAACCTGTAGACAAGATTATTCGGGATGCCCGCCCAACTGCCCACGCTCAAACAATTGTCCCAAAATGATTTATGCTGATTTTGGAGCCAAAATTTGCCCCTCCAACATAGGCAACAGAACAAGTATGTATACATCAAACTGACACTACTGGGCATTATTTTTTAAAATTTTGAGTCTGATTCTACAGAAAATGGGCTTCAATGTTTTCTAATTCAAGAAGGCATCTACCCCTCAAGATTTCCATGATCACGCTTGGGTTATTTCAGCATGGAATTTCATGATTGAATAATACTTCAAATATATACAATCAAATAGAATAAAATAAATGAAACCATTTTAGACCATAATGTATTATTTCAGCCATCTATTTTTGTTGATTTTAATATCCTTGCTTACATTAGTCAAATATCAGTCATTGCCGTTTTTTAAAAAGAGGGTACCTTCCCTATGGTGCCAAATGATTCACCCCTATATGATTAGTTTTCATTACATTTTATTCCATACTTTAAGTACAATCTGTTAATACTAATACTATATATTTTACTATAGGCATAATAGAAAGCCAATAGAACACATTATATGCAAATAGCTCAATCGATATTACAAGGCTGGTTTTTATCAAGATCACCTAGCAACCTGTCAACAAAAAGGTTTTTGTAAACATAGAGTACAGTAGCTCACTATAATACTGATATCATTAGCATTGGAGCTACTACATTGTATATCGTTACTTACTGAAGCACCAAGAACATTAAATTCAGTGGAATAAAGCAGAATGTCAAGGCAATACTTCACCCAGCAGAGGCCAAGTGAATATAATGGAGAATCGCCCTATAATGGTGGCAAAAACTACCCTGAACAAGTCACAGATGAATATCTAACATGTAAGATTTGCCATGTACCAGGATTCAGACGTGCCAAGGTGCTGAAATGCGGACATTCGTTCTGTCTTCCATGCTTGGAAAGCATTGCCAGAGGGATGCATGTATTTCTATGCCCCACATGTGCAGTTCCACAGAAAGTCCCTGACGTGGGAATTGCAGGACTTAAGGATAATCTGTTCTTCAACACACAAGTGAACTTTCTTTTGGATAGACACAATAATGCCAGAGGAAGGGAAAACTCATTCTATACAATACATAACTATTAACAAGATTCTGTAGGCTAGTCTTAGAGACACAACATGCCAGGGATGCATGTAAGACTGATTTACAAGCCATGTGTCATCACACAAGCATCTAAATCTGTCAACAAATTGACTGAAAGGAATACACTAAAAGAACAGTATGCCACAGAGAGATGCATGTTACATAAACATATTTTATTTATATGCTTTACAATTGTGCCATTAATACTTTACATTGGAAAGCAACCAGATGTGGCATACAACTTATAATGTCTGTTTGACATTAGTCTATTGATGGCTGGATCATGAACACAAATAACATTTGGATGACTTCAATTTGCATTATCTTTATTTTGTATATTTCAAGATTATTGTGACATTTAATTTTTTCCAGTGTTTTCTCAAATTACTCAAAAGTGCAATTTTTATTATAATTTCAAATGTATCCTTACATATTGTACATTTTTTAAAAAATATTGATTTACAGTGTAACGTTATCTTATAAAAAATATATTATTCGCTAAGAAAAGCTAAACATTCTTACATTTTGGTTTATATATAACTTTTATCTGTTACATGATTAAATAGTCATATTAAATACTCACAAAGAACTGACAGGCTTTGTTGTTGAAGTCTCATATTTTAAATGAGACTTAGGAGGTTTGTGCATACAATATTCTAGTATTTAACCATTAAGGATTTAAACTTTTATTCAATTCATGACATATTTTAATTTTATGTACAATATTCTATTTGAACTTTTGATTTTCACAGTTATTACTTGTGCTCAATTTCTGATGATCTAACATTTTCGAAAAAAAAGTTTGAGTCATTTCCCATTGACACACTATTGAAAATTATGTAAATGATTTACTCATTTAAGAACCATAGTTGTAAGCCTAAACTACAATCTGCATGTCAATAACATTATATTAACATTTCTCCATGAAGGATTTGTATACTTAAGTTCAAGCAAAACTGCTATTGCCATCTATTTAAGCAAATATAAGTCCTTTACTTTTTTCATTTCATATGTCATCTGAGACAGAGGGGTGCTGCAATATATCTGTAGGTTTATACATATGTCATCTGAGACAGAGGGGTGCTGCAATATGTCTGTAGGTTTATACATATGTCATCTGAGACAGAGGGGTGCTGCAATATGTCTGTAGGTTTATACATATGTCATCTGAGACAGAGGGGTGCTGTAATATGTCTGTAGGTTTATACATATGTCATCTGAGACACAGGGGTGCTGCAATATGTCTGTAGGTTTATACATATGTCATCTGAGACAGAGGGGTGCTGTAATATGTCTGTAGGTTTATACAT